TAGTCTAAATTAGTTTTATGTGGCTTTTAGGTTTATTTGCCCAGTTGATTAAGGTGACAGTAGCGTGGGGCTACACTGTGTAACTTACTTCTGTGGTAGATACATAATTTAGTCAAACGTGAGCAGAAAGTACACAGTATTTTTAACAAGCTTGTTCATGCAAGTGTACATGTACACTGTCGCTATATGTATTGAACTTGGAAGTTTCAAGTTTCATCTATTCAAACAGATAGCATAACTGTAAACTTTCATTGGCACGCTAACAAGTGCACGTGTCTTGATTGTTCGACAGATGCCAATCCCGATAGAGGATACTAATCGAAAGTTTGTGTTTGGTAAGGTAAATCTTACCTGCTTGAAGTTATTGCTTACTTTCTCGTCGCTGAAACCAACAAGTTTGTTTGCTCAACAGGTGGCCGCACGGTCTTAACTTTGAGTTTAGTTTCGAACTTTTTGTAATAATTCCAGAAAACGTAGCAGGAGTGTGTAGCATAAATTTTAACAAACTAAGATAATGGGAAACTCTGTGATAAATGTGTTTGCGTTCGTTATATTTTAATACCGAATAATTTAATAGACGTTATCTTCAAATTTGCGGGAAAATGCGGTGTGTCTTGTCTTGGAAAAAGGCAAAGGCTTGTTTCCAAAGGACGACTTCCTTGCGAGAACCCATTCACAAAAAGCTACCATGTTTTTTTTAACAGTCTGCTAATTAATCCTACTTATTACTTGTGATACTAAGAGAATAAACAAGCAGCTAAAATTTATTTCATTTATGTCTCCTTTTATTAAAAATCATGACACTTTGACTGGTTTGTTTCCTCACATGACGAAGATCTGTCGTGGCAGGCCGTCATGCGGAGACATCCCCTAACATATTGGAAAGATGTCTCTGGAGCAAACTGAAGGTAAATACTGATTTTTGTCCCGTGTTATGGTGTAAGATCGGCACATATAAACACATAAAGAGCACACCAATAGCGTATATATTTAGTAGTCCTAAATCACGAATAAAACAAGCGCAAGTGTTGATAAAGCTGGTCCTGTAAGCTGGCCAGCTGGAGGCCTTTTTGTCCACCGGCGACGGTCGATGTTTTGGATTCGTTTGCCACCACTCACGTCAAATTATGATAATTTTAGTAAGTTTTCTATTCTAATCTGATGCATCATGGTCATTGTGAGCAGCCCTGTAGTCATTCGTCATCATGGCGTGTTAACATGATTTACACGTTGACCATCTGATGTAAGGCTTACAATGCAATATATGTAAATCTGATAGCTTAATTAACTTAATTCTCAGTGCAGTTATATAATACCCAGTACCTCTTTGTAAATATTATATGTTTGTAATCTTTATAAGGACCCATTTTCTGTCATTGGGCACATAGTCCCCTCACAACTATGCAGCTATTTGTTTAATATATACCATCTAGCTGTCTATGTCTATATAGCTTGATCATTCTTTGTATTTTTTTATCATTATGTACTTCTGAAATAAGTTAATGTGTTTCAGATCTGAAAGCATTTGAGAGGCGTCTCACGGAGGTGATTTCACAGCTTCAGCCAGCCACTGGGAGGTGGAGATGTAAGTACTGGTCAACAAGGGTAGCAGGGGTCAGTTGAAGTGAAACGATTGTTCAATGAAGATTGATCAACTTAACCAGGACTTGCTGAATGCAGTCAGATAAACAGATTTACTCGCCTCCTCCTGGTGTTGAGTAGAATACAGATAAGAGCAGCCGTTAATTACGAGAAACCAGTGGAGGTGTGTTGATCTGTGAATCTGATTGCATTTAACAAGAGTCCCCACAGATTTGGTTTGATCTACATATTTTGATAATTTTATTGGAGTGCCCTAAGACCTTCAACAGAAAAATGGTTTTACTTGCATTCTTGATCTGCAGAAACGCTGTGCACCAAGTTGAAAATCATTGTTTAAAAACTGGTCACATTTATAGGTTACCACACCAAGTAACATGTACTCTGTATGTTTTTAGAGTCAGAGGATGTTGTGACAAAGTTATTTAGTTTTTGTTTTAACTTAAAGCTGATTTACACATTTTTATAATAAGCTTGGTGGATATCAATAATATATGCACAATCAACTTATATATATGCCAGTATTTTCATTAAACAGCCTTCCCCTCTCTATTCTTTTATAATTAATATATATACTGCATATAAATATTGTGGGCATTGTTATACATCAAGCATAGCTATCAGATATTCAGTATTTGTGTTTATAATCTTATTTGCATTTTTTTTAAAATAAAATTCATGGTTATTTCCAGCTGCACTAATGATAGTTCTTTTTTAGTATGAATTTCATGTGTGTCCTGTCAGAGTTTTACCTGTTTTGCATTATTATTATTATTATTATTATTATTATTATAAAAAGCTTATTTATAATTTATTATTATCAATTCCAGTGGTGCTAATAGTTGTATCAGTCTGTACTGCCACAGGAGCCTGGAACTGGCTGCTGGATCCTGAGACATCACATGTAAGATAAATATTATATACCTATATCAGAGTTATACAGTTTTTATATGACTTGTTTCTCAAGCCCCTCTGACCTTAAAATATCTAAACTAGGAAAAAATCAAGAAAAACTGAGATTGTGACACACAACACAAAGTGAAAATGAGTTGGGGGGAATGATCTAAAACTGGCAAGGCTGATGTTGTTGCTGTCATGTAAAGAGGGCCACAACAGTTTTGTGAATTGAATTAGACTCACTGGGTCTTATCAGTGTGCTTTAGAGAAAAGCAAAACAAAACATTAGCCCAGTGTGTGAAGTTGTACTCATAGTTTTTTTAGATAAAGTATTTACTGACAATAAAAAAAAATGATTGATGTAATTTTAATCAGTGTTATATGTGTTATTTTTCAGGTATCATTTTTCCAGTCTCTCCTCAACCATCCCTTCTTCACCATCACGTGCATCATCTTACTTGGGCTCTTCTTGTGTGGAATTCATAAAAGAGTGGTGGCTCCATCTATGTATCCTTTTATGGTGAATAATGCGATATATAGTTGATATTTTTATGAGAGTTTCATTATATTTTTTTTCAGCATCTGTTGTCACATTCTAACATTGTTAGCTGTCTATGCTATTTCTGTCTAATACTGCTGTATGTTTGTGAAACCAAAAGTGAAATTAATAATAAATATGTTAATAAAATAAATAAGTGAATAATTGGTCCTTGACTGGTGTACAGCATAGCATCAAGATGTCGGATGGTACTAGCAGATTACAATATGTCATGTGATGATGTAAGTGCCAAGCAGATCATGCATTGTTTAAATGATAGATCTTGGGTGAAATTTGGTGTAGACGTTGATCAGCGATGAGTCAACATTGATTGAACATTAAAAATGTGGTATTGATTCAGTGTTGAATATAGCTCGAGTCCAAATCTTGCTTCAGCCTTGACCTGTGAATTAATATAAAATGATATCTTTTAGTTATAAATTTTATAACCAGTTATAACATGTAGCAGTTGTGCTTCTAACAGCAATACCTTGTTTCTCTTTCAGACAGGGAAACTAATATTAAAACCACGACCGACAGCATGACGTCAGCTCTAATCAAAATGTTAGGAAAAAAGTGACTCCTTCGGGAATTGTACATGAACAGCGACATAAGTAAACCCAGGCTGTTGCTAGGACAAAGTGCTCATCTGTGTTTTCATGAAATATCTGTATAAAGACTGTCACAGTGCAATCGAATGGCATATTATTAGCTTGAGAAATATGCTGTTTTATTTATCGTAAAGAGCACAGTGTTGCTGTTCCCTATAGAGCATGTTGAGGTTGGAGGAAAAACTGCCATGTTTCTCTTCAAAAAGCGAGTTTGTTTTATACTGCATTGTGGTGAAAATGGACAGCATTATCATGTTGAATCCAGTGTTGTATAATAATTGTGATGTGAAGCCTTGATGCTTGTATGGTGGGACATTGCGCCACTTCATTGTGACTGATGTTATAAACATGTCCACTAAATGTACTACTGTCATTTGTCAGGTTAAGTAGAGAATAAATGATGAACTGCACACGATTCTGTGGGGTTTTTATTACTAAATCTAATAGTGCTAATGCCATTTAGATAATTAGTACATTAGCATAGCACTTGCATTTCATTACAAAAAATTCTTGACTTATGATTTTTCATTATTGTTAGTTTCAAGAAATGCAGTAGAAAGGGAAAATATAATTTTATGTCAAAGGAAAAAATGTTTTTAAAAAATGGACATTTAGGAACACATCAAGAATATCAAGTGGAATGTGGAAAATGATTTATTGTCAACAATATGTTCCAAATTGATTCACTAAATTCACACAAATGTCAACTGTTCTCTAAATCTGCCTGTCTTCCACGTGAATGACAGCTATAGTTTAGTCAAAGAAACATGTCTTCCTTTGTAGAATATTTCGTCATCTCCAGTAGGGAGTTCATTGAGTTGATCCTGTAAAAATAGCAAATATTTAGTTACCTTAATTATTTACTGTACTTGAATGAAGAGATTGATTTTTTTCAGTACATCATATTGTATTATTATATATATTATTATATTTAGTGTAATATTCTTTTCATATGACAGTAAATACAACGAATAAATGGTCTCTATATAACAGCAAATGTTGAACTTTCCTGGAAATTACAATATCCCCCGTAATCACCAAGGTATGCTATTTTACAATTTTATGAGCAATATCCCAAAAATGGACTTGATATGGATGTGCTTTCTCTGCACAATTCTGCAATTTAGAATTTAGTTTGCATGGTACCTTAAGACTAAGTGAACAAGGCAACAAAAATGCACAAAGTAGTCCATTTCGTTAAATTTGACACAATAATTAATAATCCTTAATTTTTTATTTTTTTTTTTAAGAACAGTTCAAAATGAGTAAATTTCGATTTCTGGTCATCTCTTGAAATTAGAATTTTGACTAGCTGAATCATAGTTCTAAACCTTACCAAATGGCATCATTTGCCTTCTTAAATACCAAAACTTTTGGGACCATTCAGTGGGTTCCAAACCCCACGTCCAGAATGGGCGCAGGTTAGGGGGGTAAGGTAGGCTTCGCATCTGCGGACCCCCCCTCCCTTCAAATAATCCTTGATCCGCCCCTGAAAATTATGCATGCACGTGTCAGCCATAAAATCAATGCAGTGTGGCATTAATGAACGACAAAATGGAAACAGAAAAAGACTTATTATTTAAATTTAAGACATTGTTATAAATGAGAAGATTTCAAAATACTAACGAACACAGGTGGTATATCCATCCCCTTGGTAGCCATTTTTACAGATACAATATTGATGATATAGCTTATCGCATTCATCATGGTTTCGGATTTTTTTCTTTATTGTGCCATCCTTTAATTTCACAACGCACTCGGCATTGGTGGCACAAGACACTGAAAATAAATGAAAATATGTCTGTGCTTTCGTTTTTAGGTATCACCACACTCCAAAATTACTTTTGACATCATTAAGTCCCCATTCCCTGGATGTTCACGCACGGAAGTTAATTACCCCCTTACAGCTTGTAGTAGGCGGGACGGACATTTAAGCCGGATTATCTGACAGTAATCTAGTGAGACTCCCTACGGGGATAGATCGATCTAAATGTCTGGGAATACGCCCATAAATACATGTGCGTCATGTGCTAAGGCATTGTATTGCACGGAAAATGAGGTCTTCAGAAAATAATCTTCAGAATTCTGTGTACATTAACACAGGCGCACAGCAGTTCTTAATGACACAAAATTAACTCGATTGAATGTTAAAAATTATAATATTAAATTAACAAAAGTAATCTCTTTTTATATGTATTATTCTTATTACTATTATTATTATTATTATTATTATTATTATTATTATTAGTGCTTTTACAATTTACATTGCACAACTATTGGGGAACGTGAGTCCGTTGCTGCTATCAAGCATGGCAATGGCCTAAATAATGAAAGCTATCTATACCGACCTCACAAAAATATTCAAGTATGCAATTTTTGACGAACGCAACCTACATGTACCTATGTTGCAAACGCGACCAGATGTTCCACCAGAGCAGTGACACCGAAAGTCACCATTATCGAGATCCGTGCATGTCCCACCATTCAAGCAAGGCTGAGAGTCGCAAGCTGTGATTTCTGGAAAAAATAAATATTGGACCTTGCCTTGACTGATAATTGTGCATGATATAAATCCAAGTCCCACACAGATGTAACACGCACATCACACTGACTCTGTACAGCAAAAAAAATTGTTTTTGAAAATTTCTACACTTTCCACTTAATGACCAAATCACTGTCAAAATTAAGATATTTTCACAGGTTTTTGATTTTCAAGTTCCTAATGTTTTTAGCCATTCTTGTAATAGCAATGTGAACGGGTAAGTTCCACATTTGATGTTACTTACGAAAAGGGGATGTAAGCCTAGGAGGGAGGGAGCGTTTGACCATCAATTATAAACTGCAGGACAAACGATTGTAAAATGCTTTAAACTACTTACTAGTACAGGAGGAATATCCATTGCCTTTGAAGCCCTTTTTGCAAACACAATATCGACCACTACTTTGAAAGCAGTCATTATTTTCCTCTGGCTTTTTCTCTATTTTACCGTACTGTTTCTCCAGAACACATTCAGCGTTGGCCGCACAAGACACTATAAACAAGAGACAATTCATAAAATGAAGAACATTCATGAAAATTAGCTTCCTTTCCTTTTTAATCTTGTTATCGGCACATATGAAGTGTGGCCTTCCTACAGACTCATACATGTATATGACTCATTGATTTTTTAAAAAACTTATTTCAAATATTGCCCTTAGTAATTCTGTAGTGGTTATGTGTATATTCGTATTCTGAAGTATCAGAATGGAAAACAGGACATTCCGTTGGCTAGAATCCCACCTACGTCAAGACAGGCATTGTAATATTACTGAATTAAGCATATGAACTGATGTCAAATAATAATAATAATAATAATAATAATAATAAGGTAGCTAAGCTGTCGAATTTACAGACGAAAAGAAGAGAAAATGTTGCACAACATAGGTTATTTTGTCAGTTTTGATGCAATGTTATATATAAATGCTTTACAGCAAGATCCACATCATATTTTAATTATGCACAGCAGCTGTCACGGATAATAAGATTAGAGGATCAGAGTGGCGACATCACAACCAGATATTGCACCATCACAAGACTATAGATGGTGGTAGATGGTAGCTATGAATTATCTGTTTTAGGGTCCATTCCCACAGATATTTGGATCGATCTATCTCCCTGGGGAGTCTCGCTAAATTACTGTCAACTTGGCTGGCTTAAATGTCTGTCATGCCTAGTAAAGTTGTTAGGGGATAATTATCTTTATCCCCCTAGCTGACCCGGTAGGCGTGACTGACATTTAAGCTGGTTAGTTGATAACAATTTAGTGAGACTCCTCAGGGGGTTAGATCGATCCAGATGGATCGATCTATGTATGGGAAACCAGTAGTTAGGTCATATTAAGATGCCCTATATATAATTTCACATTGCATTTTAAAAGTTTCCATGAGTGTATTTCTGATAGTTTTGTAACTATGGGACTTGATGGTGAAAATAGGTCAAAGGTAAAATTGAAGGTCACATTAAGAAAGTAACTTTGGGTGTTTCTCTCCAGTTTTTGGAGATATAAGGGCCAGACATTATGTAGGGTACCTGTACATTCCATGGTGACAGGTACATGTAGGTCAACGGTCAAATACAAGATCATAATAAAATTGTCAATATACGACTTCCAATTCAAGTTCATTAGTAGCTATCTAGTTTTTGGAATATTTGGCATTTTAATTTTTTAATTTTTTTTACCACTGAGCACTGCGACGCTTTGCTTTTGAAATAATGCAACTCCTAAATCATGTGGAAAACAAAAAAATGGCCACCACTCCCAGTGTTGCGCTTGAAAAAAAAACAGCCATAGCGTACCTTTTTTGCAAGTGCTTATTGATCCTTCGGAACATTGGCATTTGGAATCACTGCCATCGAGGTAAACACACGTCGACTTATTACTACAGGACCGATCCTCACATATTTCTGAAATAACAGCACAAAGTAAACTACTCTTACAGATTATTATTGTTTTATCAGTCCTTTTCTTGTCACATTAAGACGTGTATGTCATTGTATGTCATGATTTCTGCACATTTGCTGGGGGTATCCCAGCAAACACGTCACGTTCGGATCACGTGGCTAGAACGTTACTACCACATTATAACGTCATACACTACATAGCAACGTGCTAGCCGTTAAATCCGAACGTGACGTGTTTGCTACATAAATTTGATGCTCTAATGAGGCAAAAGCAGCAAGAATATTGTTTTTCAAAATTTAAAAATAAATGAAAAAAAAGTTACCAGAGCAGGACATATATCCATTTCCAAAATAGTTCTTTTCACATAGGCAATAGTGACCACCTTTTGTATTGCATCCAGCATTATGTAAAGGCCTTTTCTTTAAATTGCCAGGCTTCTTTTTAACTTCAATGCAATTTGCGTTTGCTGCACACGACACTGAAAAAGAATGTAGAATCTAACTTTGGTGTTGCTCACAGCAAATTGTTTTTCTTTCAGCGGACTATGTGACTTAATGGTTTAAATTATACCAATGAAGTACTTAAAATGGTACCGATACTCTGACTTTTGGAGGGAAGTCAGCCTGTAAAATTCCGTCTGCTGTTATGTAGGCATAGCATATTGCTTTACTAAATGAATGACATCAGCTAGAATCAAATGGTTGCATGTTCATATCAGAACTATATAACCTTTAAATCGATTGATTTATAATCAGTATACGGTGTTCTAAATACAATTATAAGCAGTTTTCTGGCACGTATTATAAAACAGTTTACCTTTATTGCACCACATTCCATGTGTATTTCCAAGACATTTGCACTTAAAACCATAATTTGTGTCATTGCGGTTGATACATACGCCGTTATTAAGGCAAGGCTGGGAGTCACACGGAGCTGAAAAGAACATTTTGCAGATAATTTAGATTTTAACCTGGGCTTGACTGAACAACTCCCTCCCTCAACCGCCCCCAGATTACAGACTCATATGGGATTGTTCTTTTAATTTGTCTGGTATGCTGCTATAAACAGATATATATTGAGTCAAAACTTTCATGTGTCAAAGAGAAAACCACGAAGTAATACAGGGTACAAAGTCCATTCATTAAATAAATGTGGACAATTGCTGAGTAATTTAAATCTAAAAATTTAGTCTTGCTCTAATAAATTTTAAAACCATTTCTAACATGCAATTTGACACGTTCTGGCTCATTTCACTTCAACATTTGAAACTGAAGTGTGTCTGCAGCCTTGTGCACAGTCAAAAATTCACATTCAAAATTAAGAAACATATTGCTGTCTCGGAATACAGAGATAAAATCACAATCTTTACTTTTTCGTTTCTTGGACAAGAAAATACGTCCCCAAACTCCTCGGAATAATGGCCAATGTCACAGTGGCCCCTATACTTACAGTTTGCGGCAGTGTAGCTGACGAAGACACACACCATTAACGCTACAACGAGGAGCAGATAGAACGCCAATCCCTTCATCACTGATCAGGCTGATTTTAGAATTAATGTTCTGCACTTCACTTCTAAAGTAAAATTAGATTTCATGAAGAGCGCAGTTATACAAAATTTCCACATTTTATCAAATTAGTATTTTTTGTTAATTTTGAAATCGAACTTTTTGTCAGTTTAGTTTTTTTAAATTGCAAATTACTGTTCGATAAGAGTTTTAATGACCTAGTTCCTTTTTCAAACATAAATTAAAATATATTTTAGATAGCTTAATCAATCAATCAATAACTGAAAAGCCGAAGAAATTAATGGCAAATTGATAGGTAGATCAAACATAATGCAAACTGATATGATACGATATTATCGGTTATATTGAATCACAGTGGGATGAAAATAAATTGAAAAAAATATATATTGGATAGGATAGGATAGAAAGGTCGAGCAAATGCTTGACAAACAAGAACAATCGCCGATACTAGTTTCAGTAGGTCAACAATTCCATCTCTCTTTCGTATGATTTGGCAAATGCACAACACTGCAACCCAAAATGTACATGTTCTTATAAATTGTAAATAACTTGTATTGTTACCGTTCTTCTGGATACACTGTATGTTTACCTGTTACCTTATCTTTAATAGTACCGCACATACCATTCACTTTCTGCTTACATAAACATTTCTTCGTCGAGATATAACCTACCTTAACCTCGTTTGTCTGCACTGAATTCATATCGGCCAATATGGCATCTACCAGTTCAAAATTGTTTTACTTAATGCACCTCCAGTATCATGGCGTCTGTCATGATGGTTGTCGTGGCTCGTTACAGAGTACTGTTTATGAGGACGGAGAACGGAATGCAACGCCGACACCCCCCCCCCCCCCCCCTCTCTCTCTCTCCATAAAATACATAGTGTTGTACCTGACATTTTCCATTATTCTATTTTTCTCTCACCTTTCCTATATGAGTGACCCACATTGAAAAGCTTTATTAAAACATTATACCACTATTTGAAATTTACCATGATAAATAAATGGAACTGTATAACCTTAATTGATCCGAAGTGAGGGCATAGACAATTTAGTGTTGATCCCGCCACTTCCATTTAATCTTAACTCCATATATGCTTGCACGCAGTCTGGTTGAAATAACTCGATCCTTCTTCAAATTCAGCCATTAAGAAAACAAGTATACAGCATTGGTCAAAAAAGGCTTCCCCACCTCCAATTCCACGGGCTTTTATTTACAAATGATCACTTCACAATACCTGTGTGTGTGTGAGTGTGTGTGTGCGTGTGCGTGTGAGGTGGGTGTGGGTGTGTGTGTGTGCGTGTGCGTGTGAGGTGGGGGTGGGGGGTCGAATCATGATGATGACAAATCGCTTAAGTGTCAAGATTTGAGCGTTAGTCTTGTCAGATTTGCGGACCGGTTTGCTTCTGTTCAAACTGTGGAATAGACGTATACAGAACTGTCATGTTGAATCCAATGGTGTATAATAATTGTGATATGGCTTCTTAAGGCTTGTATGGTGGAACATTGCGCCAAATTTTCTGTTGTCATTTGATTGCCATTTTCATTGTCAGGTTAAGTAGATAATAAATACTGTACATGATTCAAAGTCTTATTGTGATTATGTCATTTAAATTGTACTCTTAGCATAATATCAGGCAAAATTCTAGCAAGTTTGCAGAAAATTTGCTGAAAATTGGCAGCAATTAATTTTTTTCTTGCAAACTTCTCCAAACTATTTTCCGCAAACTTTTCATTTTGTTAACAGAGTACATTAACTTTTGAATTTTCAAGATTTCTTCTTGGTCTACTTTCAATTTTAATAACTCACTACATTTGTTATATCAATAATATTATTCAAGGTCATTTGCTTTATTTTATTATGATTTCATTCAACAAATTAAAGAAGTATAAAAAGAGAATATCAATCTGTCAAAAAATATAGTTTTAAAGAGATTAAGATTTAGGAGCACGTCAAGAAAGTGTTGTAATGCAATGTTGAAAATAATTTATTGTTATCTACCGGTGCATGAACCAAATTGCTCCATTAAATTCAAATGAAATTTATTATCAACGGATATCCAAAACCGTTTTACTTCCAAGTGTATTTCTTGAAGAACCTGCTATGGTTTAGACTAAGAAATATGTATGCCATCCTTTGCAGAATGCCCCGTTATATTCTCGGGGGAGTTTATTTAATGGATCCTGTAAAAAAAAGAAACTATGTTTAGTAACCTTATTTTTTTCACTCCACGACTTTTTGGTTTTTTCATGATCAGCATATCGTATTATATGTAGCGTAATATCCTTTTATACGAAAGTAAACACAGTGAGTAAAAGGTCTTTATGGCAAACATTACATTTTCCTGGAAATCCCAACATTTTTTCCCTTTAATCATCAAGGTACACAATTTTACAATTCTATGGACTATATAGTACAAAAAATGGTCTTTGGTAGCAATGCCTCGTAGATACCCTCTTTCTTGATGTATCTTCACTTCAATGCCGTTACTCAAAAGTATGGCAACTCCCTTTGCATTTGAACTTAATGAGTTTTAATATTTATTTAAAAAATAAGCACTTAAAGCCCCACTGTGCTTCAATATATGGCTCTAGGGTAAGCATGAAAAGATGGGCACTGCAATACTTTAACGTTTAATTTGTAAATCAGGGCATCTTTTCTTGGGAGGCACAGCCTAATCCTTGACATTTTACAAAAGCAATTTTTTTCACTCAAAAAGCAGGAATTTTAAACACCGGTTATTATATATTGATACCTAACAAAATGTTCGGTATTTTTGAGAAGCAAGGTTGATATATTATCACAACTGTCAAACCACAAACACAAACCTGAACAAGACATACACACACCTACTCACTTGATTTTTTCAAAGAGAAAAAGATAGAAGAATATAAAATAAAATCTTGAGAGCTTGTGGAACACTATTGTGGTTGACAGTGCCTGCGTCGGACGTAGGGTGATCTTCATTTGAAAAAAAACAACAAAATACAAGATATTACTCACGAAATTAAAACGTTTGGTTGCATAAAATCACCACAAGATAGGATATTGTTATAATTATAAGTAGAGATTATCATACAGTGAGCGCTGATTTGTTTACATAGATGCTAATACCCTTACAAAATTTCTAGCAGGACGTTCTATAAGACTCTAATATGGGACTCCCCAGGAATCATACAGGACTCTACAAAACCCATCTGCCGATCTTCATATAGTATTCCTATTTATGACTTATTTCCTATAGGAACCTATACGATTTTGGGTCACTTTGCTATGGGGCCCTATAGGAAATTTCCATAAGTGCATGCAGTTACGACAATTAGCCTCTTTCTCTTTCACGATAACTCGAGAACTGGACAAAAAATTACTTGTTATTCATCCAAGCTCGAGGCGAAATACACCAATAAGGACTCAATACCTTCACTCAAAGCAAATCAGATTTCTACCTAGTATTTACTCGCACGTAATTTTGATTCACCATCACCGAGAAAATACAAATGTATGACGCCATTCCAAAACATGATTTTAGACAAATATAGGTTATTAAATAAATAACAAAAAATACAAGACCAGAGTTTGAATATGAGCAACATCAGGTTTTTGATTTTATGAAGAATAAAATTTAAAAATACTTACGAACACAGGAGGTATTTCCGTTCCCATGGTAGCCATCTTTACAGACGCAATAGTGGTTGAACACTGTATTGCATTCATCATTTTCATCGGGCATTTTCCTAATCGTGCCGTCCTTTAATTTCATTACACATTCGGCGTTTGTCGCACAATGAACTGAAAATGCATTTAAGAAATTATTCATCATCTCAGATCGAAATTTTGTGTCATTTTCATAAATTTAATCATGTTGTCATCATTATTATTTATACTTTAACAAACTGCAACTACTTCTTTTGTATAAACAGTCTAAGACTCTTTTAATAAAGTGACCCCTCAACTTTTTTGAACACACGCAAATAACATGTACCTATGTTGCAGGTAAGGCCGGATCTTCTGCCTGAACATTGACACCGGAAGTTACCATTATCGAGATCCGAGCATGTCCCACCATTCAAGCAAGGCTGAGAGTCGCAAGCTGTGATTTCTGGAAAGGAAGAAATTAATTGGCGATTTTGAAAATTCAAGCCCTCCACGAATTAAGCTAGTACACCACGTTGACTCTGTATGTTTTCTCACTTTCTGTTAGTCGCCATAAGACACATGTCCACGACTTGACAACATTACAATGTATACACCATTTTATTATTATTATTATTATTATTATCTTAAAGATTCTCTTTTTTTAAGCCACATTGAGATGGACACTGATAAATGTCACCCCTAATGGTAGCTAAAATAAAAAAAAGGGTGGGAGGGGGGAGAAGCTAACAAAGGAGAAAGCGTTTGATCTGACATTAATTAACTTCGGGACACACGATGGTAAAATGCTTTAAAGTACTTACTAGTACAGGAGGTATATCCATTGCCTTTGAACCCCTTTTTGCAAACACAGTATTGACCACTATGTTGAATGCAGTCATTATTTTCTTTCGGCTTTTTCTCTATATTGTTGTTAATTCTGTCCACAACACATTCAGCGTTGGCCGCACAAGACACTGTTATGCGAAAAAAATCACGAAAATTAGTCCAATTTTTTTTAATCTAGTTATCGGCACAGAAGTATGAGGTGTGTCCTCGTTGTAGACTCGAATATGACAGATTAAACAAGCAACATTTCAGGTAATGATGCATGTCATTCTGTGCAGGTTATACATTATAGTCATATTCGGAGTACCAAATGGAAAGTCAGAAGATTTCATTGGCTAGAACCCCGCCTACAATGTAGGTCAAGACAGGCGTATGACATCACTAAATGAAGCATATCAACTAGTGTCAAAAAGAATAATCATAATAAAGAATTCCTGAAAACAGCCCTGTTAACAAATATAATGACTGAAACTTAAAATTCTAAAACAAGGCAACTGCAACTACCATCTTGCAAATTTCGGTTTACATACTCTTAAAAACAGCCATAACGTACCTTTTTTGCAAGTGCTTACTGATCCTTCAGAACATTGGCATTTGGCATCCCTGCCATCGAGGTAAACACATGTTCTATTATTACTACAGGACCGATCCTCACAAATTTCTGAAAATGAGACTACAAAGTAAACTACTCGTACAGATTTATTCTTGTTTTCTCAGCATTTATTACGGATAGACTCTTGTTCAAAAAGGTTGTCCCACCTTTAGTCCTATGTGTTTCTGTTTACAAATGATCATATGATAGCTGCTAACCGTTTTATATACCAAATTTCACATGACTTAAGAAAAGCTTAAATGATGGTGGTCGCAACACTCACTCCAAATCATCCCTCAAGAACTGTATATTCAAGCTCAAAGGTTGTTGTTCCCTCCTCAGAACATTGCATTTCTACAACTAACCAATCAACAATCGAAAACTGTCATGATGAAGCCTGTAGTTATCCCTGAAGTCACCTCAAGTAAATAGAGTGAGATATCAGATAAAAATACCACGACCATTGGCTTCAGCTATGCAATCGTCACTGTAATGGAGTGCATTTATTTTTTTATTTTTGATCTAAGTAAACATGTTAGGGGATGTGTGCAGGGTAACATCGTCTGAGGTGCCGTGTCCCTCCACGTTTGGGGTGAATTCTATGTTTTTTTTTTTTTTTTTTTTTTTTTTTTTTGAAATAGTTCCTTCCGTCAATGGGACCATTTACCGTAACATTCTCAGCGGATATTTCACTAAAAAGGTCACTTCAAGGATGATTACAGGCTTCATCATGACAGGGCACTTGCTGGCAGTTCTTGTCTAATGAGTGATTTGTTGCAGAGAAGCAATATGGGCCAACCTTTCTTACCAAAAATCTTTGTCGTCATTTCCGCACATATATTGGGGATAGAGAGAAAATATGATGGACTAATAAGTTTTATGGGCTTATAAGCCATAAGCTGCAAGAGTTTCTTTTTTTTTCTAAATTTTTTTAACTTACCAGAGCAGGACATGTACCCGTTTCCAAAGAAGTTCTTTTGACAAAGACAATATTGGTCATTTTTTGCATTGCATCCAGCACTATTTAAGGGCCTCTTCTTTAAATTGCCGCTCATTTTAACTTCGATGCATTCGGCATGTGCTGCACACGGCACTGATAAAGAATACAGAATCTGTATTCGGCGTTGCTCAAAGCCAAAATACCTTACTCTTTTAACGGACTATTTGGCTTAAGCATAGGACTCGCTTAAATTTATATCATGCATATAAAGACACTTAAAATGTTGGTGTTATTCTCTGTAGAAGGCATATATAGTAGTCTTCAGCCTGTAAAATTCCGTCTGATGCTATGCGGGCATATTGCTTTACTAAATGAGGCATATCAGTTACTAGTAGACTGAAATGGAGACATAATCTTATCAGAATTATTAATATACCTTGATTTATTATATTTCAGTCAATCTATTTGCTGCATTTTACATACAATTTTTAATGAGATATTTTGGTAATTATTTTAAAAGAAACACGGCCTACCTTTGTTGCACCACTTTCCATATGTATTTCCGCGACATTTACACTCAAAACCATGCGGTATGTCAGCACGATTGACACATACTCCGTTATTAAGGCAAGGCTGGGAGTCGCACGCAGCTGAATAGAACATTTGCAGATAAGGTAGTTTTTAACGAGGGATTGTCACCCCATCCCCCCGTCACTCTACTCCACCCCTTCCCCACCCCTACCCCACCCTACCTGCAGGCATCTGGCACTAGCTGTGCTTTCAAACTGCTTTTATTTTAATTGATCGCACATGCTACAAAATATACTGAGTCAAAAAGTTTATGTAGAATAGGCAATACAAAGTATTATAAAGTGAAATATTTTAAACCATTATGATAATTGTTGCGGAATTTAAAAAAAGAAATACACTCTACCCCATTCCCATTTGCACCATTGGTCTACGTAGATCGATCTAAGACCCCATTCCCAGAGATTTTGATCGATCCAACTAGATCCACCTAACTCCCTGGGGGTTCACGCTAAATAGCTATAGCTGTCAGCCGAGCGGGCACGAAAGTTAATTACCCCCTTGGAGCTTGTAGTAGGCGGGACGGACATTTAAGCCGGATTATCTGACAGTAATCTAGTGAGACCCCCACGGGATAGATAGATCTAAAATCTATGGGAATGCACCCTAACTCGCTGCATGCAAACAGCTTAACTGAAGAACACGCCTCCCTTGCTTATGCAAGGCTGACACTTGCACGACTTTTGGCCCCGATTTTGTCGTGGCAAGTCGTGCCATTTTGGGGCACGAAGTGGGAGGCTCCCGCACTGTTCCCTACTAGTTCACACATAGTTCACGACGAGTTCACGACGAGCTAACGAATAGTTTACGAATGCGTGTCCACATTGACACAAACTGCCACGACAAGTTCACGCGTAGTTTGCGCATAGTTTACACACTTCCCGCATTGGCACGACGAGTTTGCGCAATTCGGATGGTGTCGTGCCGACTTGGGCACGTAATATACGTGAGCTGTTCGTGAACTATTCGTGGCATGACGCGCACTGCCATGCACTGGCACGCATCCTCCCGCATCGTCCCGACGAGTTCACGATGAGTTCACGAACAGTTTGCGCATAGTTCACGACCCGGTCGCGAAATTTTGTCGTGACCAAAATTTTGAACATTTCAAAATTCTCGTCCCGACATGGCACGCAGTTACGACGAGTTTACGTATTTCACGCCAGTTTACGACTAGTTTGCGCACTGGCACGACTCGAGTCGTGCCAATGTGTGCCACAGAATCGTGCAAGTGTCAGCCTTGCTTTACAACGTACTCTTAGAGAGCAATCGCAACGAGAAGAGCCGAGGTCAAGCAAGGCTGAGACCTAAATATGGCGGACCTACATGAAAGGAAGACTGCTAATTCTGTAATGGTCTCTCCGCCTCTCTCATGCCTCCCTACGGTCACCCCTGCAGGGACACAGTAAATAAATCTCGTCTCAATTCAACCGGTCGAGGGACGACGCGTGAGTGAGAGAGGCGGAGAGACCATTACAGGATTAGCGGTCTTCCTTTCATGTAGGTTCGCCATATTTAGGTCTCGGCCTTGCTTGACCTTGGCTCTCCTCGATGTGAATGCTCCCCTATAATCACCAGCTTTTTGTGATTTACTTAACGCCAGGGGGAGGTGTTTTAATCTTTAAAACTCACTGCATGCAGCCAGAGTCCCGCGGAGTTGGTTCGATCTACATAGACCAAGGGTGTCTAGGGATATGGAGCCCTAGTCTTTCTTGGACAGATAAAAAACATCCCAATCACCCCTCGTGAATAATGAACAGTCAATGTAGTCAATGTCACAGTGGCCCCTATACTTACAGTTTGCGGCAGTGTGGCTGACGAAGACACACACCATTAACGCTACAACGAGGAGCAGATAGAACGCCAATCCCTTCATCACTGATCAGGCTGATTTTAAAATTAATGTTCTGCACTTCTCTTCTGAAATAAAATTAGATTTCATGAAGAGCGCAGTGATACAAAATTTCCACATTAACATTTTATCAAATTAGTATTTTTTTTTAATTTTTAAATTGAATTTTTGTTAGCTTAGTCTTTTTAATTGCAAATAGTAACTACGTTGATGAATCAGTTAATTTATCAAAATATAGATAATTTTAGCAATCAATGAATAATGGAAAAGAAAATGAAAGAAAGAAATGCGTGGAAGAATTAATAAGTACGTCAAAGATAAAGCAAATTGATTTGATATCATCATTTACAGTGGGAGGAAAAATAAATTGAAAAAAACATTGGATAGGATAAAAAGGTCCACAAATGCTTGGCAAACAAGAACAATCGCCGATAATACATGCAGTTTCTGTAGGTCAACAATTCCATCTCTCTTTCGTATGATTTAAAAAATGGACAATAATGCAACCCAAAATGTAGGGCTACATGTAAAGGTTGCCAACCAGCGTGCCTAGTCAGACGCCGTATTTCTCCCATAAAACCTTTCTTCTGTGTTTGCATTATTATCAAATCCCGTAAAACAATAAAAAAGGCGATTTTGATTTAGAAATGAAATTCCTTCAAGGTAGTCTTTATTTAATACGTGCAGATAGTAGAAAAACTGGATGATAACACCGGAAGAAGTGTGGATGTATTCGAAATGAAGTGGTTCAGAAAATCCCAGGAGATACTGTACACAGCACATGGAACTTACGAAAGTGTCAACGTTGAAATTGCCCAGAAAAAAACCGAAGACCATTTAACTTTACACATTAGATGGCAGGGTGCCTCGGAAACTCGACAGAGGAACACCTAGAAAGAACTAAATGGCAAAAATTGCTAAATGGACAAATATGACACCTGGCTTATAACGCATCAAGAACTGAGGAAAATCGACCAAAGTGAAGACCACTAGTTCAAGTCCAACTTAGTGCCCCTGTGGCCTCTTGGCTATAGATAATAGTAGAAGTGTAGACAGTAGTAGAGGACTGTCTGAGTATGAAGGTCTGAATATGGAACGTTACAGCAATCTCACTCTAATTGTTAAATAATAATAATAATAATAGTGCTTGAGCATTGCACTTATCAAAACATTTATTCGTCGAGATAAAACCTACCTTTACCTCGTTTGTCTGCACTGACTTCACATCGGGCAATGTGGGATCTACCAGGTCATATCTGTTTTATTATCACGGTGTCTGTCGTGGCTTGTGAAGGAATACTGTTTATTGAGGACAGAGATCAACACACACACACACACACACCAAACACACACACACACACACACACTTACCTCATGGAAACGCGATGGCGATTTGCTTAAATGTTTGATAGATTATCGTACCTGGAGTTTCCGATCTTTACTCCGTCACTCTCTCTCTCTATCTCTCTCTATCTCTCCGTCTATGTGAAAGTGACCCACATTGAAAAGCTCGACTAAAACGTTTTACCACTCTCTGTGATTTGCCATAATAAATAAATGGTACCGTTTAAAAACAAGCCTTAATTGAAGAAAATGAAGGCATATCCAACTACATGGTAAATATAACTTCTATTCGTCTTCAAAATCTAACAAAGAAACCAAATAATCGATTCTTTAAATTACAGCTTATTTTCACGGCGATATTTCAGTGTCTAACAAAAAATTTTAATCAGCAGCTGTAGTCACAGGTGTTAATAATATCACTACTATGTATACTGATACAGTAAAGTGACCTGCCCCATCTATACAAGAGGTCACACGATACTGCCTGAGTGGAGATGCACTTTATAAGCTTAGGACCTATTCTACCCCCACCGCCTCAAAAAAAAAAAAAGGAAATAACCAAATAAAAATAAGAGCGAGCTCGAGATAAAACCAAGTAACTACTGCTTCCCATAGCTATGCAGACATATGTCATAGCAAATTATCACTGCTTAAAATTCAAGTTCTTGTACTGCTCCATTTAATAAATCTGGATCTGCAGGTGACACATTCACATGCATCAGTACTCATACGGGGACTACAGCTACATAAGTGTAAATAATATTGATATGTTCTCTGATACTGTACGGCAGCGCCTTCACCCACCATTTCCTGTACATAAACCAGACATCAGAGGATGAAAAGGCCAACTGCGCATATTGGTGGTGGCGTCCCAACGACGGATTTATAGTTTTTTAGTCTTCTCTCTCTCTCTCTCTCTCAAACACCCATGGGCGCGCACACACACACGCTGAAATTTTCTGAGTTGTAACTCTGATACAACTTTACTGGCTGATTCTTTGGGGAAGGCGGAATCCCCTTTCTCTTTTTTTTTTCAGTAACGATAGACGCAATTAAAATACAACCATGCAACGTTAACCTTTGCATTCTGGCGTTCTATATGTTAAAAAAATTGTTCTTCTCTTCTTTTTTTATTTTGGAAATTTATCTCTGTACCCCCTCATACTCACCCACACAAACACACACACATCACTCCCCCTTTCATTATCCATATACATGTACTCTCTGACCACAGGGTGCAGTAACTGTATGTTACAAAGTCTGCAATAATTTGTATACTATTTCAGAAGCCCCTGATATCATAGGGTAGATCCGCAAGTGACGCATTCAATACCTATCCACGTCACTGGGTAGTTAGACTTGAAAAATAGCTTATGTGAAATTACATATGGAAACTCGCGAACCTCCACCGTAATTTCCTTTTGTAAGTTGTTTAAATAAATGAAGTTTTGCTACCTTTATACATTTTATCATCATTCAAAAATGTTTTTCTATTGTTATTTTTATTTATTTATTTATTTATTTATTTATTTATTTATTTATTTATTTATTTATTTATTTATCTTTTTTGTATCTATAAAATACAGTTAATTCGTGCCGTGAATTAGGCAGGGGCATTAATGCTTGTGAAAATTCCATCTATGACCGGGTAGACGGTAGACTTTTGCCCTAACTGTGACCTGCATTTTACAGTAAAAATATTCAGACTATCTTTAGCGCTTGTTTTGTGTTTTGAATATTTCGTTTACATTCTTGCCCCTCCCCCTCCTCCTTCCACCTTTAGCAAAACCCTGAATGTATTAATTTTAACTTATTGCATAAAGATTCCGGGAATAGAAAGCCTTAATCTACTTGATTCGGGTCGCTATTGTTCAGCAACCTCGTCAGTGGAGGTGCCACTTGGAAATAGTGTGCGCAGGGTAACAACGTCTGGTTTTTGAAGACTGTTTATAGGCACTTCAAAAACGACATTTAGAGCTGTAGGAAAAATACTTTAAAATATTTATATGTAACTTGAAATGATAAGTTGTTTGAAGGTTAAAAAATGTGTGTGGCGTACGTATAGTGTTTCGTGTGCCATGTATTGTGGTAGTGCAGACCTGTACAGCAACTACTGTACCTCGTGCATGTGTTGGTCAATGTGTTACTATCATATTACTTTCAATTTAAATCGGGCCCTGATTCATTTATCGGATAGGCTTAGTTGTGAGATTCGGGTTTTAAAGGATAATGTACAGCAAGCCTTTAATGATAATTTGGAAGTGACAAGATATCTATCAATAAATAAAATTCCAAATTATTATAATAAACATTCAGCACAATTGTCTCCGTCCAGATCACGGCAAAAAAAAAAAATAATAGAAAAACAAAACAAAAAATCATACCAAGATCTGGACAGGCCAAGAAGAAAACATGGCTCATCGCGTAGCTCTGTACTGATTTCGTCGTACTAAATTTGAGAACATACATGTATCTGGTTCATTAATAGCCAACACAACAAACTTTCAGTATTCAGTAAGGGTTTTACGTGAGCAAAGGAATGAAACGTACGATTTATAAATGAAAGTTCTCCAAGGACAAATAATGCTTTTTAATCATTTCAGCAGATAAATATGGTTTATTAATGTTGTCAAAAAGAATCTTATTACATGTAGCAGTTTCTGACCAAATTCACCACTAATCTTTTTTTTCATCGCGCGCAACCTGGAATATAATGCCGGAAGTGACGGCAATTCTTTAAAAAATTAAACAAGGTTAATCATGAGTTACGGGACCATTCCTAGACCCTATCGTTCTAACTGTGGATCAACTTATTTCCGAGGGGATTCTCGCTAAATTGCAATCAACTTAAGCGACTAAGATGTCTGTCACGCCTGCTGAAGCTGCTAATGGGTAATTTATCGTTTAGCAGCTTTGAACAGTAGGCGTGCCAGCACCTAAGCCACCTAAGCTGAAAATAGTTTTGTGATATCTCCTAGGAGATGGACCGATCCTATTAGATCGATCTAGGTTTGGGAATCCAGTCTTAGAACTTTGATATATGTTCCCAAATTGTTTCAGAGTTATGGCGAGTGTCAGGAATGGAGGATCATAGGTTGGTTAGTCGGAGAAAAATACCGTTTACCCCCAAAGGATTAAAGTACGGAAAACCTTGCACCCCGGTCACACCTACACGACGCAGGATCGGTGCACGGCCGACGCGCTGAAAAAAATTAGGCAATTTTGGCATTTTTGGCCAGTGCGCTGTTATGCGTTTGCACTCGTCAAACGCGCCGGGCGACAGTTATGCATTCGTTTTCATTCGCTCTTGTGCGTCTGAGTTTTTGTGCATGCACAAAAATGTGCGTTCAGCTCGACGCATGAACTTACACGTCAAAAGGTCGCTCGACATACGCAGAGGCCGCTGGACCAGCGTCAATCAGACGTTGAAGAAACGTTAGGTGTTCGTTTCAAAATTCGTTGACTTTGGCGTAGCGAGCACACAGTATGCTTCCAACGCTTGTGTAGTCCAAGGCCATCATAAAGATTTTAATAGCAAGCATCATCCTCCACAACCTTATGAGGACCCGGTATTCACTGCAGAGCCAGCAGCTTGAAGTTTTTGAGAACCTGGGTCAAGAGTTTGCTGCTGGTGAGTGGAGAAATGGCCAAAATATACAGGACACCCGCATCGTCACTGGCAGCAACACGTCCAGCAAGGAAGGAAAAAACAGAAATATCATCAAACACTGGGTTAACTCTGAAGCCGGATCTGTTCCATGTCAAGAAAGGATGATTTAGACCACCTCTTTCTTCCCTTTGAAATAGACTAAACAAGACATTAAATAATACCCTGTGGTACAAAATACATTATTCACATGTGATGTTACTGTAATTAAAGTTACAATCAGGGTTAAATTTTGTTCTCTTAGATGATCTTAATTTTGGTATTTTGTAAAGTTCGATTTTTACATAACTTAATTGGATAACAATTACATTGACAGTGTATATAATGTTATTGCTTCTCTTTATTATTTTGCTGTTTAAAATCACCTTCCCAATGAATAAAACGATAAATGTGTATCCAAGAAAACAAACACGATCAAGAATTTATGCACAGAAATGTATTTGTAAATATAATAAAACAATAAAAAAGAAAAACCAAGAAAACGCTATCTGTTCGCTTAATGCGTGCTGAATGCGAGGGCCATTCGTTCCTTGCGCCAAAAACCCATTGTGCATTTGTTGGGTTTTTTTACGCGTGCGTATTATATTCGATCTTCATGCGCCCTTTATACGCAAAATACGCCAACAAAACGCTATGTATTCGCTATTAACTCGCAATTTTTCTGGAAAAATTTTGTCAAAAGTTGGGCGCACAACAGCGCATTTGGCTTAATTTGATGCGCAATGCATTCGTACCTCGTGCGTTCTATAGGTGAGACCGGGCCTTTACGCTGGGCAACATTATATTGAGCTTTAAAAACCTGAACTTATTTTGAAACAGGCTTTTTTTATAGATACTCTCTTTTATCTGTCCCTATCATCTATAAGAAAAGTTTGGTTGACATGAAACCGGACACGCAGGAAAAAATTTTGCGCAAGTTTTGTTAAAAGACTGTGTTTGCGACCATGGTGGTGTGTCCACCAGAATAATGACGACAATCCTGGTAAAAAATGAGGGGTTTAAAGAGAGAAGGTGCTCTTAGTAAAGTCTCAGCATGAAAAAAAAGGTACATGTAGAACCTCTACGGTTTATCTCCACATTGGTGATACGAGGAAGTGTAAACCCTTTTGTCTGAATGCGATATCACCTCAAAAGCATCTGCTTCAACACTGACTAACGTTTTGACCAATTTATTTTAAAATAATCAATAAGAAATACAGGTAAAAATCCAAAGCAAATTATCATCTAATACGCCCTTGATGCTAAACGTCAATTACATATCTTATTTAAACTTCATTTTTTACAAATGATTATAACCTACAGGTAACTATGGCATACAGTTATCGGGTATGTATGATCTGATTATATGTTACATCAGTTAATAACAATGGCAAATTGATGACAATCTTTTCTTCAGATCTAGAGTTAATCTAATTAATAAATACATCCATACATTTTATCTGTAGTGTATGTTGACAGAATAAGGTAAAATAACCATAGAATTCCTTTTAATAAGAAATACAGGTAAAAATCCAAACCTCGTGTAAAAAACATATGTCCTATATCATAACACGCTATTATAGCATCAAAATGCTAAAAATTTTATTATATATGTTATATCTAATTTAATTTTCATATTTCACAAAGGATTAAAACCTAACTATGGCATAAACATCCAGCATGATTAAAACCTAACTATGGCATACAACTATCACAGGCCCGTAGCCAGAAGGTTCGGGAGGTTCGAAAAAAAATTCCCTTTTCGCTTGCCATGGGAAAAAGATTCCTCTGTGAAAATTTTTATCTAGGCACATGATGGTAAAATGTCCACTTTTTAAGAAAAAAAAGACCTCCCCCCCTTTTGAAATTGCTGGGCCACGGGCTCGAATCATATGTTACATTTGTTAATAACGATGACGAATTGATGAAAATGTTTCTTCATTGTTAATCTTATCATTAAATACATTCAAAAATTTCATTTGTAGTGCATGTTGACAGAATAGGGTTGGATAACTACAAAATTTATTTCACTGCTACACCACAACCTTTGTTCTAGTGTTTAACCAGTGCTGCCGCCTGGCGATTGTCTGAAAGAACTACACTAGGTTTTAGTCACACGATTAAGTCGTGAGTATTGCTGAATACCAGTATGTCGTAGATATTAAGGTTGGATTTTATATATATCTAATTTTATATATCATATCGTATTCTACTGCCACAAAGTGAAATCTAATTTTCGCGGGACCTATATATATTAGATATTGTGCAACGTGACTATAGCTGTTTCGTTTCTGCTTCGTTTTTGTATGTAGTCACCGAAATAACGGATATAAGTGTGTGGGTTATATATATATATATATATATATATATATATATATATATATATATATATATATATATATATATATATATATATGGTTACAGTAAGACATATATATAAGTTGGGGCATGATTTCTGATAAACTGTTGTTGACTGCTAGTCTAATCTTTTGGCGGACAAGTAATAGATTGTAAATCAGGTAAGACCCCCCAAAAAATAATGACCACGCTTCCCAAGTACAAGAGACGGTTTAAACAAGAAAAAAACTTCTCACACGGGTTCGGGCAAGGCCCAGCGCAGATGACGCAATCTCTCCTGCAGAAATCGCACTCGCATGCGCAGATGTCTCTACATTTGTCGAAGCACATGGAACAGTGACATCCGCGGTCTGGTGCCTTCTCATATAGGCAGCAAACGAAGCAACACTGACCTAAGACAAGTTCACCCGTCTCTCTTACTGTTACCATGCGACAACAAAAGCATTTGATCTTTCTAAAGTATCGGCTTTTACAACAGAGGTCGGGATCAAACCAAATCCTAGCATCCGTCTCAAGGCTTCGAAGAAATACGGAGAAAAAATCGGTGACTGCCGATGATTTTGCCAACTTAAGGACCAAGCCAGCTGTGTCGACTTCACTTGTCTGCCCATCGCAGAAGCAATGAAATATTAACGGTAAAATTCCTTGCGGTATTTTCGAACAGAACAGCACAAATATCTCGTAGGTTGTTTTCAGCCTGCGTTTGCCGAATAGCCCTTTGACGTCCATGGTATTAGACCTGCGTTGACGTATGTCTATGACAGTTTCGTTTATGAGGTGCAAAAGTTGCAACAAGGCAAGAACGGAGGCCAGTATTGAAAGTACGAGCGACCAGACTTCTCCGCATTCAGCACTCTTCGGCTCCAAATAGAAACTCCAGTCTGCGTATAAATCCCAGGCTGTACAAGCAACAGATAGGATACGCACAATCACGTCCCAAACGATCTTCTTTTTCGTCTTGGGTTTGCTCTTCTTTTCTCTCCTTTTCTTCTCTATTTTCTGTCGCAAATATTCAGCCTCGAACCTCCGTATGTTAGCATACCATGTCTTTGTCCCAGGTCTTCCTTCTATGACCGGCTTGTCTGTTGATGGGGGTTCGGTTATGACGTCACTCTGGCCGCCAATGTTTCTCATTTCAATATCTTGTTCTCTTCCAAAATACCCATGGTTGTCAAATTCAAACCCGTTATTATCCCATCCATATTCCCGGGGAACTTGCCTACGAGCTGCCTAGAACAAAAATAAAGATCTAATTTAAAAAACAGAACGATTTATCACAAAGCATTTTGTATACTGATACATCGGCAGAATTGGTTTTATTATGAGATTAAGCAACATAATATCAGTCATGTGACCGAGGGGGGGATGGTCGGGGGGTTCGAACGAAACGCCCTTTTCTCTGGAAAAAGGTCCGCTCTGATCCAAAATTTGATCTAGCTTGTATGTCTATTTATTTACCCGAAGAAGCCGGCTTGTAAAAGTGGACGTGTTGTTATAAAAATAAGCAAAGCCTTGGTAGCTTTTCTCGTAGTACGGTATGATTGTATTGCTATCTGATCGCTATCTGTAATGGGGGAGAACGGCAGTACTCTGCATGGTACTAACACAAAGACCCAGCTTGTTTTTGTGCTTGGCGTTTCTTCACCATTATTTAAACTTTTATGTGAAAAATAATTTGCAAATTTGCTGCAAACATGAAACAATTTCTTGCAATTTCTTGCAAATTAATTAACTTGGTGTGTATAAAAGCTGAGTTTCTTGCAAACATTTATGTAAATGAGGAGTTTCTTGCAAATTTACTGCATTTGCAACAATGTTATATATATAATAAGTGTTTCTTGCAAACTTCCTGCAAAATGTTATGTAAATGAAGGTTTTCTTGCAAATTTGCAACAAGGTATAGTTATCCTTGCAAACTTTCTTCAGGCTTTTATGTAAATGAGCAGTTTATTGCAAATTTGCTGCAAATTTGTAACAGTGTATAGTCTTTCTTGCAAACTGCCAGCAAACTTTTATGTAAATGAAGGTGAATTTGCACCTAATTTGCAACAACTGTGATTTTTCTTGCAACAACCTGCAAACAGTTTCTTGCAGACTATTTGGTTTGCAGCAAATTTGCTGCAAGTTTGCTGCAAACTTTTCACTTTGCTAAGGATATAGTTTATTGCAATTATTACCCTCAATGAAACTCAGATACCAATAATATGACGGTACTTTTTCGTCAATGAAAGGTCACCATGCAGAAGAACCTCCCTGAGCGTATATAGCTGTTCTTATCTAATTTAATATATCTATCGCGGACGCGTCACTTGTATTGAAAAACCTCGTCTTTCTTTTTCAGACAAGAGAAAAGTGTTTATTGCTCACGTTATCAATACCCCGCCAGTGATAAGGTTTTAGCATCGTCCACATCGTCCACAGACATTATGGAATGTGTCAACCTGTATTTGCCTTTTTACCTCGCTGGTTTATAAATTATACTTAATATCTTGAAACAATTAACGGATGGATCATTTTGCACATCCTTTTTATTTTTATCTCCCAATTCATATTATTCTACAACATCCCTTTGTTCATTTTGTTCGTCTGCATATAAAAAGGCTAATAATAATGATAATATGATAATAATCTTTATTGAAATATTGCAACCTGAAGGTTGCAGATATACAATATATACATAATTTATTTATTTTTAATTTATTTATGTCAAAGAAGACTGGTCATTTTTTTGGCCCTATTGCACAGTATAAGTTGTCGCTGTCGCCTCCTTGGGTAGGATAAAGCCCGGCTGCCATATAAGGCGCACAAAGCTGGCAAACGTACCATTTCTCCACTGCCAAACCAGGTATCTGCTTCAACCCCTAAGTGATGATCAAGTACCAAGCGGGGAGACATCAGGTACGTTTATAACGGACTGGTACAGCTGTATGTCCCCGGACGGGTCTGAACCTACTTTCTCCCGCTCTGGGTAGAATACTGACCGTTTCTGGGTAGAATACTGAAACCGCTTGGCTTTCTTTATTGAGGTTAAATTTTACCCATGCCGCTTATATGGACAGTTGCTACTCCTCTATCGTTGTATGAAGATATCTGTGCAAATTTGTGTAAATAATATTTGTCATCTCCATCCCAATGTACCACAAACTTTCATTTTCCCATTCATAACAAGAAAAAAGGCGACAAGAATCTCGATTGTTCGAGATTTGGCCATGTGCAAATTCTTGGAAAGAATATTTGTCTCCTCCATCCCAGTGCACCACAAACTTTCATTTTCCCATTCATAACAAGAAAGAAGGCAACCAAGAATCTCGATTGTTCGAGATTTATCCAAACAAGGCCCCACTAACCCACTATGCTAATCATTTTAACAATAACAACAATGTAGCAAATTGTTTCGTGTATCAAATGTTATGGCCTAAGGGATAAAAAATACATCAACTATTCAATAAGAATCATCATCCTAAAATTATTATGTGACGAGTCAGGAAAAGTTATTATTTGCAAACAACTTTGCAGATATTGTTTGCGGGGTTGAAATATTTTGAACTGAAGATTTAAGTTGAAGATTAAAGATAACTTCTAGTTTAATCGTACCGTGCTCGTTAACAAAATGAATCGATCCCAAATGGGGTCAGGCAGTCACGCCCACTTGGTATCAGTGGCAGCATGTGTCTCAATTGAGACGATCCCTCTAATGGGGAATTGAGCATGTGCAAATTGTGCATGTACGTAAATATTCTCTGGAGATTGTTGTCGCCATAAAATATCGTTTAAGTACGCCAAACTTCTTTAACATTGCATCCTTTGAAACAGCGCCCTTTTTAGCGTCCGTTTCTTTCTAGGCCAAAATATTCGTGGAAAGAACATTTTAACCTTGCTGTGTGTGAATAAGGGTTAAGCCTATTACAGCATCATAACCCGGGCGTGATTTGTCCAAGTGGAGGTCCTTTCCAGGGGAATACAATACCCCCAGTTAAAAATGAAATAAGACAATACACTGTATATTTTGTTTCTGTTTACAATATTAGTTATGTAAATGAATACTTTGACAAAAATATATCACCCAGATACGCGGCGATCGTGCGTGTTCAGATGGCCCAGAAAGAAAAGGACGCTGAATAGGGCGCCGTTTCATAGGATGGAATGTCAAACAACAGTTATTGTGAACATCTTATAAAAATATCAGCAAACTTACCGACATGTTTCTGGGCTTTGATTGAACTTAAACAACCGTCTTTTAGCAGGTGCCTTGACTTTTGTATTTATATGGAGAATTGGGACTTCTTTATCGCTGTATGAAGTTATCCTTGCAAGTGCAAGTTCTTGGAAAGAACATTTTATTACCATGCTGTGTTTAAATAAGGGTTAAGGTTATCTACTTTATGTGTGAATAAGGGTTAAAGTTATCTACCTTATGAGCTACCTAAAGATTATTCCCAGGGAACACACGCCCCCAGTTAAACAATGATATAAGACAGTGCGCTGTATACATTGTTTCTGTTTACGATATAAGTTAATGAATATTGGTAATGATAAATGAGTACTTTGACAAAAATTATATACCACAGATACGCGGCGATCGTGCGTGTTCAGATGGCCCAGAAAGAAAAGGACGCTGAAAAGGACGCCGTTTCATAGGATGGAATGTCAAACAACAGTTACATTGTATTGTGAACATCTGCGAAAAATGGCAGCGAACTAACCGAAATATTTCTGTGCTTTGACTGAACTTAAACAACCGTCCAGTCGCAGGTGCCTTGACTTTTGTACTGATATGGACAGTTGCCACTCCTTTATCGTTTTATGAAGGTATCCGCGCATGTGCAAATTCGTGGAAAGAATATTTTTCTCCGCCATCCCAATGTACCACAAACTTGCATTTTCCCATTCATAACAAGAAAGAAGGCAACAAGAATCTCGATTGTTCGAGATTTGGCAAAACAAGGCCGCTTTTATTATATGAACCCACTATCCTAATCATTTTAACAATTATAACAATGTAGGAAATTGTTGTCTGTATTAAATGTCAAATATTCAGTAAGACTTATCATCCTAAAAATTATTATGTGATGAGTCAGGAAAAGTTATTATTTACAAACAATTTTTTCACAAATTTCGTTTGTCGGGTTGAAATATTTTGAACTAAAGATTTAAGTTGAAGATTAGACATAAATTCTAGTTTAATCGAACCGTGCGCGTTAAAATGAATCGATCCGAAAATGGGGTCAGGCAGTCACGCCCACTTGGTATCAGTAGCAACATGTGCCTCACTGGAAACGATCCCTCTAATGGGGCATTGAGCATATGTGCAAATTGCGCATAAGCTCTGGAGATTGTTGTCGCCATAAAATATCGTTTGATTACGCCAATCTTCTTTAACATTGCATCCTTTGAAACAGTGCCCTTTTTAGCGTCCGTTTCTTTCTAGGCCAAATTACTCGTGGAAAGAACACTTTAACCTTGCTGTGTGTGAATATGGGTTTAAGCCTAGTTACAGCATCATTATCCGGGCGTGATTTATCCACTTGAAAGGCCTTTTCCAGGGGAATATAATACCCTCAATTAAAAATGAAATAAGACAATACACTGTATACTTTGTATCTGTTTACAATATTAGTTAGGTAAATGTATACTTTGACAAAAATATATCACACAGATACACAGTGATTGTGCGTGTTCAAATGGCCCTGAAAGAAAAGGACGCTGAAAAGAACGCTTTTTCATAGGATGGAATGTCAAACAACAGTTATTGTGAACATCTGAGAAAAAAGGCGGCAAACTAGCCGACATGTTTCTGTGCTTTGACTGAACTTATACAACCGTCCAGTCGCAAGTGCCTTGACTTTTGTATTGATTTGGACAGTTGCTACTCCTTTATCGTTGTATGAAGATATCTGCGCTTGTGCAAATTCGTGGAAGGAATATTTGTCTCCTCCATCCCAACGTGCCACAAAACTTTCATTTTCCCATTCATAGCAAGAAAGAAGGCAACAAGAATCTCGATTGTTCGAGATTTGGCAAAACAAGGCCGCTTTTATTATATGACCCCACTATTCTAATCATTTTAACAATAATAACAATGTAGCAAATTGTTGTCTGTCTTAAATGTCAAATATTCATTATTATGTGACGAGTCAGGAAAAGTTTTTATTTACGTTCAAAATATTCAACTTAAATCTTCAGTTCAAAATATTTCAACCCCGACAAACGAAATTTGTGAAAAAATTGTTTATTTACAAACAATTTTTTCACAAATTTCGTTTGTCGGGTTGAAATATTTTGAACTGAAGATTTAAGTTGAATATTAGAGATAACTTCTAGTTTAATCGCACCTTGCGCGTTAACGGATGAATCGATCGCAAAATGGGGTTAGGCTGTCACGCCCACTTGGTATCAGTGGCAGCATGTGTCTCAAATGAGACGATCCCTCTAATGGGGAATTGAGCATGTGCAAATTGTGCATGTACGTAAATAAGCTCTGGAAATTCTTGTCGCCATAAAATGTCGTTTGACTACGCCAAAATTTTCTTTTACATTGCATCCTTTGAAACAGCGTCTTTTTGAGCGCCCTTTTCTTTCTGGGTCAAAATACTCCCGAAGAGAACATTTTAACCATGCTGTGTGTGAATAAGGGTTATATTAAGCCTACATGTAGTTAGAACACTATTATAGGGGCGTGGTTTACCCACGTGAAAGTCCTTTTCCAGGGGAATATACTGCCTCCAGTTAAAACAATTATATCAGACAGAGCACTGTTCACATTGTTTCTGTTTACAATATTAGTTAGATAAATGAATACTTTGGCAAAAATATATACCATATATACACGGTAATTGTGCGAGTTCAAATTGAAAAGAAAGAAAACGACGCTGTTTCATAAATTGGAATGTGAAACAAGTTTTTGTGAACACTTGAGCAAAGAAAAGAAAAGCAGCAAACTTACCGACATGTTTCTGGGCTTTGACTGAACTTATACAACTGTCTTGTGGCAGGTGCCTTGACTTTTGTATTGATTTGGAGAATTTCGACTTCTTTATAGTAGTACGAAGTTATCCGCGCATGTGCAAGTTTGTTTTAAACCATACTGTGTGTGAATATGGGGTTAAGGTTACCTACCTGGGAGAGCACTTTAGCAACCGTCCAGTCGCAAGTGTCTTGACTTATCTTTATCGCTGTATGGAGTTATCTTGGAAAGAATATTTCAAACCATGCTGTGTGTGTGTATAAGGGTTAAGGTTATCAACCTGGGAGAGCATCTTAATCTTGACATGCTACCCACGTGAAAGATTTTTACCCAGGGAATATACTGCTCCAATTAAAAAATGACAGAAGACAGTACAGTGTTCACAGTTTCTGTTTACAGTATTAGTTAGGTAAATGAATACTTTGACAAAAATATATCACCCAGATACACCAAATTTCGAGAATCTTTAGACCTTTTCGTCACCCCATTGACCTGTTTACCCTCGTCTGAACTTTTTATCTCCGTGCCATTTCTTTTGGTGTCGTAAATGATTAAATATTAGAACACCATTATGTGATTATCTGTGATTTTCATATTCACCAATGAAGAAGGTTATGTTTTTATCGGCCTTGATGTGTCTGCTTGTGGTTTGTTATTAAAATAAGCAAGATTTCTCAATAAGTTTTTCACAAAACTTTGATGGCATTCTCATTTCAATTTGTATTTATTCTCGTTCTCCTTACATTGTAAAATAAGATATAATAAAGGGAAGAAGTTGACATTTCAAATCACCAATATGAACTCATTATGGCGATGGACATACTGTATGTGTGTCTTATTGAAACAAACAAAGAAATAGGAAAAATACGCTGGGATACGTTATTTGATTAAATGAATATAGGCCTATCATGGTTGACATTATGCATAAAGGGTTAAAACGTCAAAATCCATTCCAGTGGAAGTTTAATGCCATTAATTCTTTGCCTTCACTTTTAGGAAATGAATACACTTTACATTATTTATCAATCCGTACGACAATTACACGCTTATGTTGTATGGTCCATGATCTTAAAAAATGAGGCGAAAAGAAACATTATCTATTCCCCTCGACTATTGAGACAAAACGTATTTCTAACATACACCTATCCCTTACCCTCCTCCTAGATCCAGTAATGCGGCTCTATTATTCTCCCTTTGTCGCCCTCCTCCACCTCCCCCCCCCCCCCACCTTAACAGGCCCGTAGCCAGGGGGGTTCGGGGGGTTCGAAAGAACCGCCCCTTTTTATGGAAAAAGGTCCACTTTTTCAGAAAAAGAACCCCCCTTTTGAAATTGCTGGCTACGGGCCTGCTTATTTATATGGAAGACTTTGAAGACTGACCGCCCTGGGACGACAATAAACAAAACACCGCCGCACACCAAGAATTGCCGATCACTATAATTATTTGAGAAAAGATGAAACACAGTCACGGGACAGTTGTTATCAGAATGAGACTGACTTCGTACCTTGAGTATACTGAAGTGTTCAGAATTAAACAGAGTCATACGAAGTGGGTGTTGGTGTCACCAGTCTATTTCTATCTGACGTTCGCCTGTAGTCAAGCTGAGTGATTAGAGCGCCGTTGGATCAAGATGGGATACTGCTGGGCAGGCGATTTGATGATGTTGTGCCAACATTTAATATCTAATGATTCTGCTATACCTTCATTCAATATACTTTCCGAGTTGAGTAGTAAGTAGCTATACCCTTTTAAACACCCTGAGTGGGTTTCCAATGTCTCCTGAAACTCGGGGTGATTTTATATCATTCTCTATAGTGGTTTTTATATGATTTTATATGCTGTGTGTGTGTATGTGTGCATGTGTGTGTGCGTGTGTGTGTGCGGGAGGGGGGTACTTTATATCCCACCTGTCTGAGTTATTTTATCTGTGAGTAAGCTGCGATGGCGGTCTACAGCATTGTGTTAGTTGTTCTTCAGTAATTGTGCTGGGCGGTGATTGTGACCAAATGTGCATAAAACAGTGCGTTAGTGCACGTGAAGTTCTTAAAAATATGGTAGTTATTTCATCCTGGCTTACAGTTTCATACAATCATTTTGCGAAGTATTCTACTTCAGATTAAGATATTATCCCTTTCATTTAAACGTCGATAAAACAGTTAAAATGCTTATTGCCTGTCTCTTTTTGTAATCTGTTTTATTCTCCCTTCTTGATAATTGGCACACTGACTTGGTATACAAATAATTTATGTTGAGTAACTTTAAAAGAAAATTAAAATGAAATAAATAAAAAAGTCTTTACCTCAATGCAATGAACACTACCCATGGCACAATCTACAAGACAGGTCCCCTCAAACTTAGTACTAGATTTTGTGGTATATTTTCATTTCTATTTTTTTTTTTAATATTACTATAAAATTATTTTATTAATAGTTTTTTGGACCTTTCTCTCTCTCTCAAACACCCATGGATGCGAACACACACACGCTCCAATTTCCAGAGTTTTCACCTTGGTACAACTTTAATGGCTGATTCTATGATGGACGGGAAGCCCCTTTCAGTGACGATAAAAGCAAGATAAAAACCAAGCATACTCTCTGACGACAGGGTGCGCTGGTAGTCTGTTACAAAGTCTGCAAAGTTATTGATATAAATAATTTGTCTGCTATTTCAGAAGCCCCTGATATCAGAGGATTCGTATACATCCGCAATTAACGCATTCAACCCACGTCCTCGTCGTTGGGTAGTCAGACTTGATACAAAGCTAAGATGAAATCACGTATGAAAACTCGCGCACCTCCTTCACAATTTCCTTCTTTAAGTTGTTTAAAGTTTATTCATCTTGATATATTTAAAAAATGTTTTTCATTATCTTTTATTTTCAATAACTACGAAGTACAGTTGAATCGTGTCATGAAAGAGGCAGAGACTTGTCTGTGAACGTAGTGAAAAATCAGCTGTGACCCGGTAGACGGTATAGACTTATGCCCTCACTGACCTACTTTTTACAGTGAAAATATTCAGACTTTATTAGCGCCTGTGTTGTGTCGTGAACATTTAGTCTACATTCCTGCCCCCCCCACCCCCAACCCCACCTTTAGCAAAACCCTGAATGTATTAATTTTGACCTATTGCATAACGATTCCAGGAATAGTAATCCTTTATCTATTTGTTCCAAATCTCCAGCAACCTCGTCAGTGGAGCTTCCGCTTCAGTGCTGACGATCCCAGATGATGACGTCTGCACTGCCCGAGGGCAGAAGCCACTCAATAATTCCTCAAGCACTGACCACCCTACCAATACCCTACAAAACTACAACATTACCTGAAGAAAATAATTTGGTGAAACACTTCCTAACCCCCGACCTAAAATGAACCTCAGAAGGACGAAAATTATACAGTAACAACCAACGTTTCTTACCGATAGCAGTGCTACAAGTGCACTCCTAAATTTGTAAATAAACGGCTCAGGCGGCTGCATCACTGCCTTTCCTTAACTACTCACACCAGAGGTCGCACACTGCGCCACTCTCGTTCCAGATCCTGGAAAAAATATATGTATGCAGCAGTTTACACCCTAGCCTACTAGCTGACACCAAAATTAACAATCCACTAAAATATCAGCAAAAATGGGAAAATCACTTTTTAATTACAACACTCCATTCGTATACTATAACAGGCCATGATTGGTCTATTTGGTGGCTTCTCTTTAATCCTGTTTAGGCTGTTTGAGGTCCGTATCCTGGTTGTAAATCCAGTCATTTAGGACGGAGGCAGCGCCGTAGACAGCAGTTCTTCAAGATGAGAGGCTATTTGACGTTGATTTGCTGTTCAGTTTTTCTTATATTATTGAGTTCGAAGGTTTTTTGTTCCAGCGATGTCAGCGACGATGCAGAAAGGTTCGTGTGTAGATGTCATTCTATTTTCGCTTAAGTTTCATGTACTAATGCCATGTCTTTTGTTGTGTTTGAAAGCCCAAGCTTTATCTTTATCATTATTTTTATCGTTATTTGTGTGTGTGTGTGTGTGTGTGTGAGAGAGAGAGAGAGAGAGAGAGAGAGAGAGAAAGAGAGAGGAAACACTGACGCGAAACTTTCTGGTGTATTCTGCATTTGTTATATTTCTTATATGTATTATGTTGGATTTTCAAAAGGTTAATTTCACGATACTTTTTTTGACCCGCATATATATTTTTTCAAGAATATCAATTCAAAGTAAAATTATATGATGACGTGCATGATACGTGTACGTTCAAACTCCCGTCGATATCCAGAGATTTCCTTTAAACATTTCATTTTTGTTATTTAATGATCAGTTTTTTCACGAATAAGACATGTTCTTTAAAAAACTTTCTTTTAGCTGAGGAGGTGCAATTATGTTAACAAACAAAACAGACAAATGAAGAAACACGTAAATTGAAAATTTTGTAAAAAATTTGAGATCCTATTCCGTCCAGGATGTACGTTGTGTACAGAATTAATCTAAGATTGCCGATAAGTTTTCTTATCTCGGACGCAGTCCGTATATACAAGCTATTAAAGCAGTCCCAAGCTATTTAGATAGGAACAGCAGTATGTATTTATTTACTGAATGAGTTTATACTTAGGACGGGTGTCGTCTCGTGTTTAGTTATTTCGTTGGACGCATACCGACTTACCCCCCCCCCCCCCTCCGCTCCCTTCTCGTTGTTTAACCAAGCCCTGATATCCTTCTCGCCCCTTGGCGACCGCAAACTTAATCAGGGATTTTCATAAAGCTCAGATCCGCGTTTGGTTATATTTCAGTCCAGCTTCCATTATCAAGCGAGCAATTATTGAGGAAATAAGTTGATGATTCACGTTTGTTGTATCCGTGTGTTACGCCGCTTGCCGCTTGTGAAGACACTGATTAAATCCAAATATACCCTCTCTCACAGGTCTTCCCTCTCTGTTACCCAGCTGTATGAGGTCTTATGTAAAAATGTGTAATAGCTAGAGGCATCTGGCAGAGAGTCGATTGCATACATTTTCTTAAAGTTTTTCTTTTTCCATCTGTAAGAACTCTCCCCATTATCTTTTCTCATAAACCTTGTTTTCACGCTAAACTTACTTTAGATATACAGGTGTATGTTATATGTACAGCTATGGTGGGTATACATTTACTATACAAACAATTGGGTTCGCAGGGGGGAATTACAACCCACCTTTTTTTATTTGGGAGTGGGATTTATGACCAGTATTTTTTTTATTGAAACTGATATTCTGTTTTGGGAGTGGGAGCTGTATCCGGCTTGTGATGTCCGTACATTATAGACCATTATATATACACATGTACAACTGCAATGTAGACTTAATTTAGGGATCTTATTAGTTATTAACAGATCTTTTTAAATATCTTATAATAATTCATACTTTAAGATAATGGGTTCTTAAATTATTCAAATTTCGGTAAATTAATGTATAAAATAATCTAAGCACAGAACGCATTCACAAACAAGAATTTTTTAATGTGAAAATATGTCCATTTTGAAACCAGTGCCGATGACCAAGAGAACGAGATATTTATCTCGGAGCGGGCGGCCAAAGCTGTTCCTAAGAAACCACGGCGCGTGAAGCGTGGCTTCCGGTTCCGGGTTCGATTCCGTGTCAAAAGGCTCTGGGGAGAGGAGAGAAACGAGGAGAGGGAGAGTAGGAACGAGGCTGCACGGCGGGCGGCGCACAATGATTTCTGCAGGAAGAATTGCAAGTGGTCGGCGTGGACTAGCTGGACCGGGTGTTCCGCTAGATGTGGGAACGGCGGTATGTATAGTATGATTATTATTTCCATTACTTATCAACGGTTTTTGAAACAGCCACATTCGTCTCATGAGACTGAACAATGTAGATATTTATAATTTTAAAATAAAAATTCTGAAACAAACCAACAAAAATGACAAATACCGATGCACCTAAAAGCACACACTAGAGGCAATTGGAAATTATTTTTTTTCATTTTAAGCTTTGATTCGATTCTGTTACACCAAATTAAGCTCTAAGTGAATGAGCTTTTAAGCTTTAACTGATGAAACAGAAGAAACCCAAACGAAATTTTACAACGCGTTAGCTTCATATATAAACGTATAAAAAGTATGAATAAAGCATATATAAACTGAAAACTAGATTTTTCTAAGCCTAGTGTATTTCTCTTCCAGGTATCCGAACGCGCACGCACACACGCCAATATCCGGGCAACTGCGGCGCGTGGGCGAGTGCAAATGGCTGTACGGGCACTGCCACAGAGACAGACAACAAATGCGCACAACCATGCCAAAACGGAGGAATAGCAGCAAACAAATTCTGCCTGTGCACTCTGCAGTTTAAAGGAATTTGTTGTGAACTGAGTAAGGACACACTTTATGTTAGTCTAAGTATTTTGGGGATTTACAAGTATTAGTATATATGTTAAAAAAGCACAAGGAGATTTGCTTTTAAGTAAGCGCAGAATCTCTCTCACACAAGGACAGTCGTACACCTGCACACACACAAACACATATGAAAAATAATTATCCTCAGGTGGTGAAGGCCTTGATTGCAAAAACACGTATATCATTACTCACAACTCTGGTCGACAATGGTGACATAGTTGTTTTTCATATAATTGGATCGATCTAAAATAAATAAACTTACCAACAAACGAAGTAATGAACGAACAAACAAACATGCAAATAATAAATAGAGTAAAAAACCAAGCAAACAATTCAATGTTTTGAAAGTGAATATATATAACTTTATTAATTTATTAAATACATAAATACATAAATAATTATCCCCAGGGAAGCAGTGTCAACACCCGGGTAAACCTGCCCACGGCTCCGTGACTCCTGACAGCGCACCTAACAACTACGGCACCATAGCTAGGTACAGCTGCCAGACGGGGTACAGGCTGCAGGGGCCCGCCACCAGGAAGTGTGAGGCTAACGAGCAGTGGGCGGGGGCCGTGCCATCGTGTCAACGTAAGTGTAATATGTTAACATGTGGCATGGGGTATATTTAAGTGAAAAATTCAGTCAATTTCTGTTTTAGAATACCGTTCAAAGTGAGTACGATTTTTTAAGGCTCAAAGTAGACAACACGATACGAAAATGTCCTAAGTAAAGACTAAATAAAGACTAAGCAAAGACTAAATATTATTAAGTACCTTGTAACATCTAAATAGCAGCCACATAGATTACAAGCAAAAACTTTAATCATTCCAGTTGTGAACTGCGGCGACCCCGGCACGCCCTCTTCCGGCAGTCGTTCCATGACAGCCACCACCTACCAGAGCACCGTCACCTATAGCTGTAACACCGGGTACAGGATCTCTGGAGGCGTGGTCAGGACGTGTCAGGCCAACGGACAGTGGAGTGGGTCTCTACCCTCCTGTCCGAGTGAGTGAGATGGTGACGTATAGAGTGGTGGGGGTTTAAGTTTTAGGCCACACAGTGAAAGTTCGATGTTGTATAAATTTTAATTTTCCTGGAATATCTACTCTCTAGGCTACTCGTTATCACTAAGGTAGGCCTACACTGTACTATATCAAAAACTGTTTACAGAATTTTGATTCCAGAAAACTTTTTGTAGTTTAAAGAATTTTCAGCATCTTATAAATAATTTTTTCAAGACCTGAAGAAATCCCGCTCACCCATGACCTCTATTCCATGTTGCAGTAATATCATGCGGCGCCACTCCCCCACTCCCCAATGGTATAGTCAAGCACTGCCACGGTCCCCCAGGCAATGTATATAACACCCAGCTCCACTTCATATGTAACCAAGGTTACTATCTCCAAGGTACCGAGAAGAGAAAATGTCAGCTGTCGGGGCAGTGGGACGGAACTGCAGCCTCGTGTCATGGTAAGAGTTGTGATCATAACTATCGCAATCAACGCAATCACAGCTAACACAGTCACAACTAGCACAATCACAACTAACACAATCACAGCTTACATTAGAATACGATCAATCCTAACACAATTACTACTGAAGTATGCACACCTATAGCATTCACTTTTTTCTTCAAACGTTATCTATAAAAATTGATTAAAGGGTCTCAGTTGTCTGGCTGAGTGGGGCTGAATGACTGTCATGGTTGTTTACGAACCCCTAACATATTTACACTTGATGCATCATACCTTACTCATTCACACTGATTACATTTATAAATAACACATTGTCATCAAATATTTTCATACCGGAAATTTACAAAATGCCCCCCTCCCACACACACACACACACACACACACACACACACACACGTTCGCGCGCGCAAACACACACTTATCCCCCTATGAAAAATAATTTCATAAAGGGGAAAATATCAGCTATTATTTTGTCCAATTCTCCCGTTTTAGCTATTACATGCCCGGATCTCACTCCCCCTGCAAGTGGCGCGGTGTCACTGGCTCAAGGGAAAACCTTTGGAAAGAAGGCGACTTATTCTTGTTCTACTGGCCACAGACTTCAGGGGAGCGTAACAAGAACTTGCACAGCCAGAGGAAACCAAGGAATTTGGAGTGGTTCGGCACCTACTTGCCCACGTGAGTATTTTACATTAATTTTATTATTATCTTTTTTTATGTTGTGTGAGAAAATTATATTTCATTCTTATAAAACATTAAATGAGTAATTTACTTGATATTCTATGAATGTTACATTCTACATTTCTAGCCGTCAACTGTGGCGACCCCGGAACGCCATCTAACGGCGTGAAGAACGGTAACAGTTACACGTACACCAGCGCAGTGACGTACCAGTGTGTACCAGGCCACTACATGACCGGACAGGAGAGGATTACCTGTAACGCCAACGGACAGTGGTCAGCTGGGAAACCCACGTGTACAGGTAGGGTGACACGTGGCATTACGTTATTTGTCTTCTTTTTCACACAAAAATAAAGAAATGAATCGAAAAATAAGGAATAAAGGAATAATTATTTAAAGATAATTTTAATTTATAAAGACATAGAACCATAATGTTGATAAAAAAGGTCAAATCTCCTAGACCACCCTTCTTACAACATTCTTCGACATTAAAACTATTAATAAGGTAGTCACTGATCTGAGTGCTATCAAAATAAAGATATTTGAATAATTAATGTCACATTTGTATATCAGGTGGTAATTCCATCTTCTATAATCTAAAAAATAATTAATTGCAAGCCTATACAAATTATACCATTGACAATCATTTGCCATTTTTAGTTGTTTAATATATTTATCTGTTTGCTGAGAGGTACTGAAATTAAAATGTATTTATTTATTTATTTATTTATTTATTTATTTATTCTCAGCGTGTCCTAGGAACCAGTACAAGCCGGGAGTCAATGCCCGCACTTCCTGCCTCCCGTGCCCGGTGAACTCCCACACACAGGGAACTGGAAGCGTTGATCAGAAGAACTGTTTGTGTAATACAGGATTCCGTGGCCCAGCCGGCGGTCCCTGTGGAGGTGGGTATCGAGTTTTGAAATAATTATCTTTTGTTCTATGTATATTACCGTATTTTCAGTAGTCATTTTTGTGTTTTTTTTTTTATTTGTCTGCCTAAATTTGTACACTTGCTACGCAAAAACATTGCAGTGTCGGAGCCTTAAAATTATCACCAGCATATCTGCATCTTTAAAAAAAATCTCGTTATTTTTAAATTCAAAAAGAGATATAAAGTAGCCTTATTTTATTACAGATATTCACTGTTAATCACAAACATATATCACAAAATAATTCACCCATTTCAGAGGTCACGTGCCCTCCCCTGCCTGCCCCAGCCAATGGGAAGGTGACGGCGTGTCAGGTGTCCATTAACGATGTCTGCTCATTTGACTGTGACAATGGCTACATTCTCAGCCCTAGCAACCAGCAGAGAAAATGTCAGCCAGACGGATCATGGACGGGATCCGATGTCACTTGTTTGCGTAAGTGACTGATGTGTTGTCGGAATTATTAGTGTTTTGCCTTAAACAAAAACAAGTTTCGTGCAGATCTTTAAACCAAAATTGTTTTTAAAACGTGAAGTCTTATTTTAGTTCTCTCGTCTGGTTCTTCAACAAGCATGCCAAACATCAACCCTATTTTCATTCATAAAAATGATCAACAACTATTTGTACATACATCACTCACATTGATGACTTTATGCCTTTCATATTTGTATTTATTAATAAATTAATTTCTTTATTTATCTTTTATCAGCGTGTGGTCAGAACACGTACAAGGCTGGTCCTGGTCAGTGTACCCGGTGTCCGGCAGACACTCACACCACAGGTACTGCCAGTATGCTGGTCGGCTGCATCTGTAACGACGGCTTAACCGGGCCTGGTGGAGGACCGTGCCAGGGTAGGTGGCAGTGTTCTTCTTATTAATTTTATTTCTTGAGTTGTTCTTGTCATTGTTTGATTGCAGAAAACCGGGGTGAAGAATTTGTGTGAGACGATTGAGTCGTGAGAGAGAGAGAGAGAGAGAATTTAGAATATTTATAGAAGTTCATGTGAAAAGTGTCAATTTCTGTGAATGCGCTCTTCCTTTCAGATGTCAACGAATGCTCTCGACAAAATGGCGGCTGTGAGCAGAGCTGTGAGAACACTAGGGGAGGTTTCCAGTGTAAATGCTCCATTCCGGGATACAAAGTAAACCCTGCCGACCGAAAACGTTGTATAGGTAAGATGTTGTTTCACATAAAGTTCCAACCTACTATTGTTTACCCTGTGTTTCAGAGATAACTGTGAACGACAAGGCAATGGAGGTGAGGTCACCAGATGGGCCTTTATCTGAAACACAGGGTGCACTTTTTATCCCTCTGTTTTATACTTTGCACAAAGTATTTCTGAGATTCGCTGTAACTTGCAGTGCTAGGGATGTATGCATTAGGAAGCATTTAAGGCAGTAAAACTTATCCAAGCCTCAGTTTGATGCACTGCTTTGCTGTTGTTTTCAATCGGCAGACCTTGAAACCCAAATATATCGATTTCATCCTTGTGGATTAAAAAAAAAGAATTTACAGAGTGGGGACATATGAAACATGTCTTCATTAACTAAATAGTACTCAAGATTACAGTGTGTTTGTAGGGCCTAAAACACGAAGTTTAAAGTCTTCGATATAATTTTGCATTTTCAGTGGAAAAACAATGTTCATCATTCACGACCCCTACAAATGGCGGCATCGTCTGTCACCATAAGAACGATACCAATACCGACCGTTGCCAGGTGAAATGTAATGACGGCTTTGAGCATCCCGTGAGAAGCAACCAGTTCGAGGAATGCGGGCCAGCCACGAACTTCAAGTGGTCGTATGAGATTAATAACATACCTATCCCTGCTTGTGTTGGTAGGTATAGTTTGTATTATTTTCTAATATTCTGCTGGGATAAAACGGGTTCTTAAAATGTTAAGAGAAAGTTTATCAAACCCAAAACATGGGCTATGCTTGTGGTACAGTTCTTGTCTTGGTATGTGTAGAACAGTCTGTGGGGAATGAAATAGTTTTCCACGGTCTTTTTCGTAGATTTTGAGTTTGTTACGTAGGCTATTCAACAAATCATGGTGATCAGTATTTTAAGAGATTTTTGTGGTTTCATTTTTGTGACATGTCATATATATAGTCAACTTATGTGTTTGATTTACCAAGTACACTTTGCAACATTTCAGCGCTGATTTTATGTTTTCAGACTTTAACTGTCTCGTTTACAGTATAAAAAACAAGTTATGACTTGAAAAACATATTTCTATCTTCCAGAGCAATATTTTCCTGGCGTGATCGTCGACGCAGAAATCGCCTACTTTGTGGCCAGCTGCGACCAGCTGACAGACCAACAGAAACAGGACGCTAAGAACGCGTTCCTGCAGCTTCTGCGAGGACAGGGGGTGTGCCTGGAGAACGGAAGAGCGGTGTGTAACGTCACCGACCTCTGGATAGAGTGTGGAGAAATCGACTTAAGCGGAGGCATTCAAAAGAGGGACGCTAGCTCTAGCCGCGTTCTCAAGTTCAAATTCAAACTAACCACGGACCAGAAGCCGGTCAGAACTATGAACTGTGGACGCTTCTGTGACGGACAGGCCGTGTGCGACGCTTGCTTCACCAATCACGTCCAGTCCACTGTCAGAAAGGTGACAGCAGAGCAGGAAAAATTACGGGAGGTTTTTGGAACGCAAGCTGCACCAGACGCGAGACCAAATCCTCAGCCTCGACCAGGCGTTTCCACAACCTCTGGTGCTGGCGTCGCACCAAAGTCCTTTAACAGAGGAATAACTGCTTTCCGAAGTAACCTAGCACGAAACTTCAACAGAGTTATCCCAAGCACCAGTGGTCAAAGCCCCGTGAGACCAACTGAAGCAGTGACGACAGCAGCGCCGCCTAGGGGAATGATGAACATCGGGGGGTTGGTTCTGATGCCTGCGCCCACCGGGTTACAGATGATGTCTGATGTCAAGATGGCGTGTGAAACTGGAATGGAGAAAAAACGTGACATGTGTGGTAAGCCAACAAAGGTCAAAATGACCCACAACGGTTCATATGCGTGTTACCTTCTGACGTTCTTTATTTAAAAAATGGATCGAATTGTTCTTTTAATGTATATTTTACCTCAATGGTTGTTACCACTTTTAAGATGAAAATCGCAAAAAAAAAAAAAAGAAAAGAAAGAAAGAAACGGCAGCGTGTATTATAACTACACTAGAAGATGCTTTTCCCCTACTATAACTAAAATTGGTTTTGGACGTATATTGTCTTGACTTGTAGGCCAACAGTAAATCTGGCAGTCAATATATCTACCTTCATTGTTAGGCAAAAGGAGTTCTCAGTCAAATGGCGGAAGTCCTTACTTACGTAGCCTTTGTTTCCCGCTATTTTATTTGAAATGTTTTCTGTTTTCAGTTCCCTGTACACCGGGAAGTAATCTGCCGCCAGGTGGCAGCAGGTGCGAGCAGTGCATCGCAGGAATGTACCAACCGGAAGCTCAGAAGACTTCCTGTATCCCCTGTCCCGCCGGGAAGACCTCGCCAAGGGGCGCTATTGGATGTGCATGATAAGAAACACAAGAAAGAGCGAAAGAGCTTTACAAACGACTTTTTAAATACAAAATAATAATATAGTAATCTCAATTATAGTTCAAGACAATAGAAATGAAAACATGCCGAAAAACCTAGTACTAAGTTTGAGGGGACCTATCCAGGGCCGTAGCCTCCGGGGGGGCAGGGGGGGCAGCTGCCCCCCCTGAGATTTGAGGTGCAAAAAAAAATAATCGCAAAGGTAAAACAAAATAATTGCGAAGTTGGTATCAATTCTGTGAGGAAATGCACTCATGGCCACTAGACAATCATTCAACAATCTGTTTACAAAGGTATACTGTTTTTAGCCAACTCAGTTCATGCCAAAAAGCTCACCCTCCCTTAGGGAGCTATCCCCCAGGCTGTACTTATGACAAAATGAACCCACAATTTCTGACTTCTGATTGAGCAATAAATAGCAGTTAAAATGCACCAGAATGCAGTATTATACGCACAGTTTTTTTAAAACTTTTCCACACCGTTGGAGGGGGAGACCCCCTCCCACACCCTCCCCCCTCGAGGGCTTCGCCCCCTCGTGTCCGCTTACTGCCCCCCCCTGGCATTTTGCTCAGGCTACGGCCCTGCTATCTTGTAGATTGTGTCATGGGTAGTGTTCATTTCATTGAGGTAAAGACTTTTTGTTTTTTATTTATTTCATTTTTATTTTATTTTAAAGTTACTCAACATAAATTATTTGTATATCTAGTCAGTGTGCCAATTATCAAGAAGGGAGAATAAAACAGATTACAAATAGTGACAAGCGATAAGGATTTCTAACTGTTTTATCGGCTTTTAAATTTTACAGTAAAATGATACAGTTAATATCTTCATCTGAAATAGAATCCTTCATATATGGTCAACCAGCTGTAAGCCAGGATGATATAACTACCATGTATTTTCAAGTACTTCATGTGCACTAACACACTGCCTTGTGCACATTTGGTCACAATCACCGCCCATCACAATTGGTGAAGAACAACTAACACAATGCTCTAGACCGCCATCACATCTAACTCACAGATACAATACCTTGTAACTCATACTAGTGGGTGCGGGATAAAAGGACTCCGACCTCTACACACACACACACACACACACACACTAACACACACATGCACACACACACACATGCACACAAACACACACACACACATGCACACACAGCAAAGAAAACATCATATTACCACCTCATACAAAAAGCACTATAAAGAATGATATAAATTCACCCCGAGTTTCGGGAAACACGGGAACCCACCTCTAGAGCTATCAGCATGCCTATGTTCCCTTCCACTCAGGGTCCATCAAAATGTATAGCTGCTTACTACTGAACTTAGAAAGTGTGCTTATATAATAAAAGTACAGCGTAATCTTTAGGTATCAAATGTTGGCACAATATCATCTAGTCGCCGGCCCAGCGGTATTCCACCTTATTCAATCATCTTGTTTACTGCTGGACAGGCGATCGTTTGATAGCTGAATAGGCCTATGACAGCGCCCATTTTGTATTATCCTGTTTAATCATGAAAACTTCAATATACTCCAGGTACGAAGTCAGTCTCATTCTGATAACAACTGTCCCGTGACTGTTTCATCTTTTCTCAAATATTTATAGTGATCGGCAATTCTTGGTGTGCGGCGGTGTTTTGTTTAATGTCGTCCCGGGGCGGTCAGTCTTCAAAGTGTTCCATATAATTAAGTAAATAAACAACAGACAGGGTCCCTACTGTTCGCAGCGTTTCATAACGGCGTCAGATCTATGAGACAGTTAGAGGTCGCTGGTTTAACAGAAACGTCGTGGGTAGAGGGGAGGTGGAGGGGGGGCGACAAAGGGAGAATAATAGAGCCTCGTATGTGCATTACTGGATCTAGGAGGAGGGTAAGGGATAGATGTATGTTAGAAATACGTTTTGCCTCAATGGTCGAGGGGAATAGATAATGTTTCTTTTCGCCTCATTTTTTAAGATTATGGACCATACAACATAAGCCTATATTTGTTGCACGGATTGATAAATAATGTAAAGTGTATTCATTTCCTTAAAGCTAAGATCTAATAAATGGTATATTAGATCTTAGCTTAAAGTGAAGGGAAAGAATTAATGGCATTAAACTTCCACTGGAATAGATTTTGACGTTTTAACCCTGTTAGCATAATGTCAACCATGATATATTCATTCAATCAAATAACGTATCCCTATGGTGGCCCCTATTGGATATTTCGACTTTTCGAGTTTTCGACTTTTCAGCTTTTTTCTGCGGACGGCTTTTTGCTGCGGAACTTTAACACATTTGCCACGCGGAAAGCAAGCGACTTAAACAATGGGAAATCTTATTAGATATTATTTTAAAGCTGGATACACAGCAACTGACCCAGCGGGCAAATTATGTTGTTTTAACGTTGAAACAACGTTGAACCATAACGTTGAGAAGACATTGGATAAACACTGGATTTGAAAGTTGTGTCAACCTCAGATAACAACGTTGTATCAACGTCAGAAAACAATGTTATATCAACCCCACCCAGCGGGAAATTATGTTGTTTCAACGTTGAAACAATGTTGAGCTTCAACATTGACAAGACGTTGGATTAACATTGGATTTGAAAATTAGATCAATGTCAGATAACAATGTATCAACCCCAGTTGTTGGACAACGTTCTTGCATAAAAAGACATTAAAATGACCTGAAATGTTTTTATTTTTGGTACAAAACACAGGTACACAATTGTAACATACACTGTAAAAACATCAAAGTGCCTGCTTTGTCTTATTTTTTCAACGCATTTAGCTCCTAAGCATGTTTTGCACCTAAGCATGGTACACCCTTTTAGCCTGGATGTGTTTAGCAGTAGGACATGTTTGATGGCTAAATATATGTAGGGTATAAATGTATGGCCTTTAAGTTAAATTTTCCAAGGTTTAGATTTATATATATATATATATATATATATATATATATATATATATATATAAGAAGATAACTATAACTATATATATACATATATACCAAAGTCACAGTCACCTCAACCTGTCTATCTATAACAGGTTACCAAGAACTGTCAACTTTATTAACTTCACCCCATCACATATACAGCAACTTATTCATCCTAGTGTTAGCTGACCTTGCAAGGAATTCAGTTTATTGGAATGTATTTCTGAATAACAAGATAAGAAAATTCACTAGTTCACTAAAGACACAAAACAACTGTCACTTTTACTTTAAAACCCTTTTGTTATTATTTTGATAAATTTACTTACAGTATTGATAAACAAAGTATCACGTTTTCAATAATTAATATTTTAAATTACAATCCATGTCTGCAAGGTCGTGTCAATGTCGTCTCAACAGGGTGACTTCAGACCAAAATGACCATCTATCTATCTAGTGACATATCTGTGAATATCTGTCAAAAAATCTATCAGTCGCCCTGGTAGAGGGTAGAGATATGCCCAGTGTTGCCCCTAGGTTTTTTCTTTTGTCAGCATATATGCAACACTAACAACACATTTCAATAGGTCTATTGTCTAGAGAATCACAGGAGTGATCAATGTTAGGAAAATACAGGTCAATTCAAAAATCTGCTTGATTGTACCATTTTTAGTTATATATATATATTTTTTTTTTTTTTTTTTTTTTTGCATATTTTGAGAACTTTTGTTGATTGCATTTTATAGATCTTGTCAAGCACAAGACTGGTGGTGGTGTCCCTTTTTTTTTGGGGGGGGGGGGGCTCCATTCGAATGCGCTTACTCCAGCTGGTGGCACAATATCCGGAGGCGGTATAGCCTCTCTGATCCTCTAGTTTTTAAGGGGATTTGGTAAAAAAACCATCTTCTCTGTACTTTATGGATATGCTGACTTTCTATCTGGAAAAACTGCTGTAGGAATTCTTGATGAAGTAGGTGCAGGGAACTACTGAAGTGGACTATTAGCTTTTTACCGTCTGTTAGGTTGTCTTTATTTTAGGAATTGCTGCAATGCTTTTTTGTCAGTGAATGCAGACAGAAGCCCCATTAGTTATTTCAGAAGTTTGTATAATAAGGACCTCAGTTATTCAGAAAATGTTTCTATTTGGTTAGGTAATATAAGGTCGGCTTTGTTAGGTGTAGAATCCTTGGAGCATGTATTGCCACTAGAATATAGCTTAGAGTTACACTGGTTAGGGACTTGTTATATAGCACAGATGTGGGGACAAGCAGGCCAGAAAAGGATAGAGTATTTAGATGTCTTAGAATGGGGGTACCAGTTAGAAGAAGGGAAACTCAAATAAAATTCTCAACAAATGAGGTGGATAAATTAGCACAGGATAATTTTAATTCCTTAATGAAAGGGTGTAGTTGTAGGAAGGTAGACAACGTGTGGCAACCGTTGTGGATGTAGGAAGAAAAATAGAACATGTGGGCCAAGTTGTGTATGTGAAGGGGAGTGCTTAAATAGCTTAGATAATTTATGTTGTGAAGAAATTTAAAAAGCAATTCGAACACGCAAATATAAATAGCTAGGCATGCTTTATTGTCGACAAAAAACTAGATATGCCCTTCATTTTTAATTAAGAAATATACGACCGACTTCTTCTTCTTGAAAATTGAATGATTGTTGTGATTTGTCAAGGGTAGAATTCCCTACTATCTATAGAGCCTTCTTGATTCTTGGAGTAAAACTAAACCTTTAGTCATATTTTATTTAATATTAGAATTGGTAACGTGATATTCATACTACATGGTAGAATAGCTACAATTATACCAAGCTCATTTTTTTCTTTGTTGCCCATTTTTAGGTTGGCATAGTTTGAGAAATCTGCTGAACAGGCTTTATTTCCAAGAAATCACGCGGAACAATAATAATGAAACGGTTTACATAACTGCTATATTTGGATAATTACGTAATTAATTAATTATATAATTATAATGCCAGTAATTACGCGGCAGGATATTCAGTGCACAGACCGTGATCATAAGACATGCCGCAAATAGGAAATAGAATTTAGAAAATAGACATTGCATGTGAACGAAGCCTTAGATGGTGCTACCACAGACTTTTTACATAACTGCTATATTTAGATTTTCATTACAAAATTTAATTAACTGAACGTTAATAATAAATGATACAATCAGATGGTACTACCACAGACTTTTTACATAACTGCTATATTTGGATTTTCATTTCAAAATTTAATTAACTAAACGGTAATAATAAATGATACAATCAGATGGTGCTACCACATACTTTTTTCAGGCTACAAAATTTGAATGCTTTGGGTTGTACACTTGTAGATTGATATGTCAATAATAAATGACCCAATCTTGATGTCAAAGCTGATTTCCTTAAAATTTCAGTTGATGTGTCCACATAATTATTTTGGGTTAGTCAATATGAATGCTTTGGGTTGCACACTTTTAGATTGAAATATCAATAATAGATGATTCAATCTAGATGACAATCTTTGAGCATAGGCTTTGATTTGATTTTATTATATTCGTATTTCATTAGGTTTTTCTACAGAATTATTTTGGGTTTGAAAATTTGTTGCTTTGGGTTGCACACTTTTACAAAGATATGTCTTCAAAAACAAAATTGTATGTTCTTAATGGGGCAAGTCGAAATTACTTTTAAAAATGAACGACATTTTATAAAAATCAAATGGACTAGGTATTTGGTTTTTTCAATGAAAAATCACAGACAATTGTGAATTTTACACATACTGTATTTTTAATTCATATATTTTTATTGTGATTTTCTCATTGAGTGGTACAGCAAAACTTAGAGTGCCTAGAGTTAGAATGCAGTTTTATTCTTTATAATAAAGACACAAATCCTACATGAAAATATATTTTTGAACTAACTTTGCAAATATTCTATCCCTTATATCTCGAAAACTGGCAGAGATACGCCCATAGTAACTTTTAAACTTGTATAGGTCATATTCTGGCAATCTCACTGAGACCTTGACGTTGACCTTTGACCTACTTTTCATCATGATCTGAACTTCTCAATTTTTCAACGAATGCTATGATTTTGTCAAGGGTAGAGTTGCACACTATCTATAGAACCTTCTTAATTGTCGGAGTATAATGAAGATTTAAATATTACAGGTGTTTAATCGGTTGTATTTTATTTAGATAACACAGATTACTAATGTGCTATTTATATTTTTCAGTAAATGAAAAGAGACAGGAAGTGAGAGGTCTTCAACAACTTTTATAAAACTCTTAATTAAGTCTTAACCATAACAACACCTTAACAGCTGACTGCCCACATACCTTGTATAAACTATGGATTCTGCTATGGTCTGACAGCCAAGGTATGAAATACAGTAGTGCAGAAATTGCATATATATGTAAAGGTGGATGATTAAGAAAGTAATTTTAATGAGAAAAGTGGCTTTGGAATATAAAACCTTTGAAACATTCAAATATGAATTTGTGTGAAATAATTTTTAAAATAAGCTTTGTTTCATTTTTCAGATAACAGCATTGCAAGGGCCACATACTTCTTATTAAAAGGACATATATGGAATGCGTACTGTTTGCTGAAGAGACAAGAGATGGACATTTTATGTATTTTTTTGTGTCTGTTGTTTAATTTCAAATGGTTGAATGTCTCATGTGCCTAGATGTTACTGTACAATTATATATTTAGCTTGGGGTATTTTATATGCTAATATCATGTCTGCATATATTAGTGTGTAGCCATTGTCTGGTGGCAGCGTGGATTTTTTATTACCAAAGATAAAGCCTGATATAAATAAAGATGGAAAGTGACATCAGTGCAATTTAAATTCAACTGATTAAAAAGTATTTAATACTAGTATCTCATCTGCTGAGAACATCAAGGTTATTGTAATGTTACTGTAAAATTAAAATAGTATTTAGCTGCTGTAAAATTAAAATAGTATTTAGCTGAGGGTACACTCCGGTCTAGACAGATAAATTTTTTCTAGCTTTGTAAAAGCTACATGTAGCTTGTTAAATATACCTTGTGATGGAGTCGCTTTTACTAAATACCTGGTATTGCTGATATGGGTTATATATGAAATCAAGATCGAGCTAGCAATACCGGAATCTAGAACCTAGGGTACTCTTGTCTTGATAAACAAATGACACTGACATCTGACGGCTAGTATCACGATGCCAGTTTTCCGACTGGTAAAAAAAGTTGCCAGGTTAGATTTTAATGAAACTTGATAGTCAATTTTCTCATGCAAAAAGCCACCTTCCATTGACGTAATAAGTTGCACAGTTTCTGTGACATGAGACATCTAAAAATGTTAGTGGTGCTATGGCCAAAAAGTGACCAGTTGGCCGACTTCGTCGAGATCTACCTCATTCATTGCTTCTTACATCTAGGTAAATCACACATGATGATACACATAATAAACTCTGCTACCATGTCTTAATTTTCAGCAGGTACTTATGCAGGGAATAAAGTGCAATTCTTGAACTTCCGCGAAGGTTACGCAATGTACAAAATTTCGACTGCGTTGCGCGACGTCATCTCAGCGCACGCGCTCCGTTCTGGATATCTTCCCAGTTGCCATATGACTGGTAAAAAAAGTCGAAAACTCGAAAAGTCAAAAACTCGAAAAGTCGAAAACTCAAAAAGTCGAAAACTCGAAAAGTCGAAATATCCAATAGGGGCCACCATATATCCCAGCGTATTTTTCCCTTTTTTTCTTTGTTTTGTTCGCCCACCGCCATTATGAGCTCTTATTGGTGATTTGAAATGTCAAATTCTTTTCTTTATTTTATTTTATTTTACAATGTTACGAGAATAAATGTAAATTGAAATGAGAATGCCATCAAAGCTTTGTGAAAACCTTACTGAGAAATCTTGCTTATTTTAATAACAAACGACAAACAGACACACCAAGTCCGATGAAAGCATAATCTTCTTCATTGGTGAAGATAATTATCATATAAGGGTGTTCTGATATGCAATCATTTACCACACCAAAGGAAGCGGCACTGAGATAACAAGTTCAGAAAAGGGTAAAAAGGTCAACGGGTCACGAAAACGTCTCCAATTTGAACTTTTTGTCCCTCGGCTCAGTATTTGCCAAATATTTCCCACCTGTTATAGTACTCACGCCCTCTCCTCCCACCCTGAGTTTATTTATTTATTTATTTATTTATTCCGGTAAGTGTACATTTTTCACAGTACTACCACATGATTTTATATGATTTTTATATAAATGAATGTACCAAAAACAACAACAACAATTCACAAACAGATATTTATAAAGATCGTTTTCAAACATACCATCATTACTATACAATCAGTTGCTATTTTACCTAGGGGGTGGCTGGTTCAGAATACTATTTCTTTTATTGTTACATGTTGTTGTATAATGTGCAAAATTGAAATTGAAATACAGTATAACTTCTTTTATCTGCATATTTCTTCGAGTAATTTCTAAACTATTGGCACCTGCTCCGTGATATTTTAATATTATATTGTTATTTTGAAGTTAAAATATTCTTATTGACGTAGGTGACATCGCTAAAACTGCGGCAGTGAACATTAAAATTTTATAAAAAGCTCCTGGAAATAACAACTTGTTCTGTTAATTGTTCACTGTTTTTGGATGGAGAGCGAGTGCCTCAGACGCTTCAGGAAAAGGAGGGGGGCACACAAGAGCTCGTGCCCCTCCCTCTCCCCCTCTACCCCCCTCTGTCCTTTCATTAAAATTAAGACCATAACTTGATATTGTTCGTCTTTTGTCACTGCGGTTATAATATTGGTAAACAGTAAAACCACAGTCGCACCAACCACATGATTGTGGCTGAACGGTATTCTGGATACACGTTATTCAGTTAAACGTCAACATAACACTTTGTCTCTTACCAAGAATAAATACCCTGTACATGACGCACACCTTCAAGGTTATAGACCGTTGCCATGACTACTGTGCCCACTTTCTGTGCAATATCCGCGATTAGTTTTCCGTTTTATTCAATCAAGACGAGGATGGTGTGGCAAAATCACAAGGAAAAGACGGAGTTTCTTCTATTTTCCGAATACAATACAGTTACAATTCATGCATAAGCTTAGTTGTAGATGGATGCGACATTTTGCAAGATTTTTCCATCTACTAGTACGATGGCGAATCTGTTCCAATAATCCTTTAAGTGCGGAGCAATTTCCAATATTTTTTTTGCGAAAAAGTAGACTTTCAGCCCCCTTAAGTGATGCAACTTGAGAAATGGCATAGAGCTTAAATCAAATCCTGATCCATGGCGGACCTTTTCCAGCCAAAATAAAGGTTCGTTCAAAGCCAAAACCCCCCTTTCCCCCCCCCCCATGCCTACGGATAGTATTAATTTTTTTCCAGGTGTATTCACATTTTCTTGTTCTAAAAGTTTCGATATTTTGAGCCTGTATTTAACCCTTTCAACAGGTTTCCCAGGAACTACGATCAATAGACAAAATCAACTCAACATGGAAATGTTAGGGACCGTTATAATGAATAATCTGAATAGCCATTGCCATAAAGAGCAGCAGGAAATTGCCCGACGCTTTCACCGAGTACGTGGGACTAATGAAACATTTTCGTAATGAAACATCCAGGTTGGAAATATTTTTGCCATCGTTTTGACAAACTCCACAAGGCTGACATTGCTCCCATTTGCGGAGGGGGGGGGGGGGGATTACTCATCATGGGGGTATGAAAAAATACTCATTTGGCCTACTCTGAATAAAAAGTACATCTACGGTAGTAGGCACCATTCTCATTACGGTTAAAAGTTTTTTTTACCAGAAAAAAAGACACTCTTTTGGTCATGCCGGCTACAGACTTTATCATGGAGTGTGCAAATAAGGCTAAACTGAATAAAAAAAAAAGACGTTATGTTGTAAACAGGAATGAGACTTTATTGTTCATAAAATTACATACCAATAAAATATTAAAACAAAACGTGTTATGTGACCAAATAACAAAGATTAAAACTGCTTCAGTGAGGTTTTCAAGACAATTGCAAAACATGATTTTAACATTACTTTCGCCCTCCTTTAAAAGTGACCTTGTACTGACTTTAAATGCTAAGATAAACAAAGCTTAAATACAAGCATCCATTCACCTACATAAGATTTGAGATATAAAATAAGATTATCCACAATGTTTATTTATTTCAAGCTTGACCCCGATGTGTAAAGATAAAGTGCACTTTAAATAAAAGTTATTTATGTATATATGACCCTGTCGCTGGCTCCACGAGAGAACTGAACTCAACAGTTGGTTTGAACAATACGACAGAGAAAGCGAACGCACTTTGACTTAAGATAATCCAGCGACTGTCCAGATACGTCTTAGACAATAAGTCGTGTCTTACGCTTTGTGGAAGTAACCTAACGACTTCATTGTTGTTGACTACCACCGATATACCTAGTGTCAAAATACGACTGAAAATAGATGAAAAGGTTCAGTCTGAAAATTAGGGCCAGCTTTCAACTTCAGTTCTTAAGTAAAACAGGTCCAAAGACCACACATACCTGAGGCTAAAGATCTTCTTCTGAATCGAGCCAAGATGTGATCACCACTCTACAATAACTTATGTTAACTAGCCAAGAAAATATATTTATATTATGCTTGGTTGTTTTATACTTTCTAATGACTTAATGGTTGCAAAAAATACCACACCTGATGCTGAATGAATGATGCATTGTAAACTTAGTTTGAAGCTAGCTGCTGAGAATGTCCAGGTTTTTTATACCGTATACCTTCACCCCACTCAATTAGGAATTTTTTTTACATGGTTACAAAATAATAAACAAAAGCACACACTTATACATTGTAAGATTGCTTTTTTTATAATCGGGAAAGATGGCATTATCTGATATCACCAAAAGAGTTATCATTCTGTATAACATTTACAGTTATATATGGTATTATATAATATTTTATATTACATAATATCACATATAAAATAAGACTTCAATGTTCAGCTGCTCAGAAGACCATTGCACTTTTTTGAGGTAAAAGTAAAATGGGATTAAATTTGGGATTAACCTGTTGTCTATTTAACACATTTTTTTCTTTTCAGTGATATCTCATAACCTTGCTTATATCATTCCTTTTTTCCTTGAAAAAACAAGAGAAACACAAACCCACATTAAGAAAATCCATTACCAGACTACTATAAAAATTCCTTACGAAAAAAAAGTGATATCTTTACCTGTAGCATGTCATTCTTTTTTGTTTTCTTAAAATACGATGTAATTTTATACACACATGAGAAATGTTGTGAAACTAACATGAATAGCCTTAATGTAAAATAATAATAATAATATTATAATAAACCAACTCATTGCCAACCTAATATTATTCCCTTTATAATCTTTAAAATGTTTTTACAAAAACAAGACAAACCTATACACAAATTAACTGTCATTAATATGACGGCCATACGAAAAACCTTATGTACAAAAGATACTTTTTACAGAACTGACATTTATCAATACCCCACCATTTTGTGTGCCTTTTACTATTTACAATCCAATACTGGATTTTTATTTCACAAGAATAACAAGCCTGACTAAAAACAACTGAGAATTCATATAAAATCAATTCTCTATAAAATTATGATAACAACAACCAACAATAGCAGACTGATGTTCATTTTTTCTATCTTATAGACAGATTGACAAATAACAAAGTAAGACATTGTTACTGTGGTTAAAAGAGAAAATGTGGGAGATAAAATGTCAACTATTAAGTACTAAGTTGTCAAAGTCAAGAAGGCTGCACTTTCAGTAATAAAGCTTACAGTTTTTCCTAGTGTACTAATTTAGAGTTGACAAAGCAGAACATTGTCCCCAAATTGCCTCTCTGTCCTATTAGAACCTGAAGTCAGCTTATAAAAATGTTTAACATGCTAAGATAAATTCTGTGTCTCCTTAAAAAAGACTTAAGCCTATAAGAATCACAAGCAACTGGTGAACAAGTATCATGTCGTGTGAACCCAACTTGCCTCTGAATATAATGACATAAAATTTAAAATGCACATCACAGTAATTAATATGTATATCTTCTCAATTCCATGAAAATACTCAAGATTTAATTTCTGTCATTGGGGGTGTGTCCAGACATGGACAACTGAAGACTGGAAGTAGGTCTAACTTGAGTCATCTGGCTAAAAGATTGTAGAGTGACCCCATCAATTTGTGTCGTCTTGCACTAATAAAAAGCATTACTAATAAAAGTCTGATATAAAATGCCTCCTTAAGTAGACCATTAAGAAACATGATAGTTATTACAACTTAAAAGCACATGTATACAAATATTATATATTTATCTCTAAAAATATTGAGAGCTCTTTTGTAAATGATAAAAAATGTCCCCTCTCTTCACTCATCCTCCATTTCAGAGACGAGTCTTCGAATAAGAAGCTCCATATCTCCAGCTCGCATTTTTCCAGTCTCTAAAACCTCCTCGTGGTTAGGCACGCGATCATCTTCATAGTCCATGACACACACGTTGGTTATGAGTGACATTCCAAATACCCGCATCCCACAATGCCTTGCTGTGACAACCTCAGGACACGTGCTCATTCCTTGAGGGAAAATTTAAAAAACATAAATAACGATAGAAAAGGATCTGCATGAAATGAAGCCTTGCTGACTGAATGGTTACAATATGACTTAAAAGGAGACATTGTTTGATTTAAAAAAATTGGATTTTTGTCTTTATTATTATTTTGGGGGTGGGGGTTGGAGTGTGGGGGTAAAATACTGCACAAGTGGCCAATCATAACATATCAGCTTTCTTGACAAATTTTTCAAAATTTTCAATGATAATTCCCAAAAGACTAAATGAAAGTTTTCAGCTGGCTGTTAATCTAAATCTCAACTGCTGAAATTATTTTTATTAACACAACACACTTCAGGGGTCCCTGGTAGATGTGTGTTTTGACAGCGCCCCCTGGTGAGTGACAAATTGAAATGGTTAAAGGGGATCGAAAAAAGTGCAAAATTCACAACTCAACTAACAAAGTGGTGGAAAAGGGAAGACATGTTGCTTGAGAGAAATGTGAAAAGGGCAGTTTATTACGAGCAAATATGTCTATCCACATCTCTTACCTATGGCGTCTGTCCCTATTAGTCTTAGATATCGCAGTTCAGCAATCGTCTCAAAACTTGGTCCCCCAAGCATGGTGTAAACCCCATCCCGCAGGAAATCACCAAAGCCAAGGTTGTTTGCTATTTCGTGTGCGAGTTTACGCAGTTTTTTGTCGTAGGCTTCTGTCATGGCAGGGAAACGGACACCAAATCTGAAATTTGAAAAAAAAAAAATTTGAATATAATTTGTGGATGACAAAATTTAAACATAAAAGCTCTTTTTCACTCAGCTCATGCCCAACTGTTATCATTTTATCACATTTTATCATTTTATCACATTTTATCATAGATGACATGATACTGGGGCAGATTGAGGCTGTCTTCTGGGTCTTCCCGAAGACAGTCAGATTTTCAAATTTGCATTGACAGGTATCTAATTTTTTCTGTCGAAAGACAGTCAAAAATAGAGGATGGATCAATGAGATAATTTGGAACATACAAAATGAAGAAGCCAAAATGGAAGTCAGTCCTCAATGTTCAATACATCTAGCATATGAATCTATAGAATTCTACCAGTAGGTCTGTATATATGAAACAAGTGCAGGTGAACTATTTGCTTAATTAATAACATCTGTATCAAAGGAAGTCACTAACGAGAGTGATATCAAAACAAGCCTAATAAAGGAATTACTTTTTCCTCTAATGATCATTAGTGACAATGCATGGGTCTAGTAGTAAAGATTTTCTGAGAACAGTTCCTCGAAGAGGTAAACTTTTAGCTTCGAGTCCAAAATGTATCTTTGTGACCGCAGATCAATCATGGGTGGTCCAATCTATGTGGCGTTGCTTCATAAAAAGGATGAAATACCTCAGTTATTTTAACTTTTTATGGCATGAATAGCTGAAGCAACCACAGTTGCCATAAATAAGTATATAATCAATTGTTAAAAAAGTATATCAAGATTCTTTCTTTATTGACTGGATAACCCACAAAACCATAACAATGAGGATCATTAATCAGAGCAATTAAATAACAAGACAGCAGAACAAAGGGCTTAATGATTATTTTCTTAGCAGGATGATCAGTAACAAACTTGTGGTCAGTTCAGCTATTTACTGAATTTAACAGTCAACACTCCTGGCATTACTCATGCCAGGGGAAGGGAGGGGGGCACTATGCACCCATGCCTTGCCTCGTAGCATCTTATTTCTCTATCCCCCCCCCCCTCCACCCTCAATTAAAATAATACTGATAAATAAATAAAAAGTAAGAAGAGTGAAACAGACTACTGGTATGTACTGTAGGAAGTTTTTTACTCCAGTAACTTCATACTATAGAGAAATTGACCTCATTTTATGTTTTATATTTGACCAGGAAACTGAGACAAAATCTTTTTATCCTCCCTAAAGTATGACAGTGAATTCTTACATATGAATGGAACATCAGTCCCGTTTTTTCTTTGTCATAACACAGACATTTCTCATCCCTGTTGTAGTCAACTTGGTATATGAAGTATATGTGCAATAAGTGCTTTTTCACATGCAATATACCAACTGTGTCTTGTATTGTTACATTAACAAATTAGATGAGTACAATGACAAGGCAAATACATCAATCACAAGCATGTCCACTTAAAAGGTAAACAGCTCATGATGGTGCATATTTCACTATTTTGTTGAATGCACAAAGTGATTTAGTTAAAAATAATAATTTACTGACTATATCTTGCTGTTTTATCAACTTAGTGAAAGACAAGTTCATATTTTAAATGGTTTGCACATGAAACATCTACATGATCACAGCATGGACAATGTTATTGCATGCATGGCGCACGGCTTTTTCCACGTGACTGAATAGTCTGGCTTTCTCTGTTGATGAATGATGAGAGAGAAGGACATAAATAATCTAACTCAAGCTTGTAGCTTCAGTTTAACATATCAATATAAATGGCTGTTAAAAAGTAAACAACAACATGGACTTCAGTTTTCCAGTTACAGTATTGAGCCTCCAGGGAATATTGTTACAGAGATCATGGAGGGAATATTGTTACAGAGATCATGGAGGGAAAACTGTCACTTGCCAGTCAAGAGATATTTTTTATTGGGAAAGAAAAAAAGGTTGTTTCCTTCAAATATAAATTCAATAAATAACTGAATAAAAAATATATTGATGGTTGAATAATAAAAAAAACAGATGCAGATACTGGTATATAGACATCCACAAGCAAAGACAGGAGTAAACAAACAAACTAACAAACATATAAACTGTCTACCTCTCACCATTTTCTCCCACCAGAGGGTTGTGAATAAATAAAAGAAAACAAAACAAACAAACAAACAAATAAATATATCAAATAAATATATAAACCGTCTACCTCTCATCATTGTATCCCACCAGAGGGTTATAAATAAATAAATAAATAAATAAATAAATAAACAAATATATTAAATAAATAAATAAATAAATTGTCTACCTCTCATCGTTGTCTCCCACTAGGGGGTTATTGCTGGCCATGCCCGGCATGTTGATGTGGTCCTTAATGAGCATCAAATCTCCCACGTGATAGTCTGGGTTCACGCCGCCCGCCGCGTTGGTCACAAACAGCGTGTTCACGCCCATCAGTTTCATCACACGCACTGGCATTGCACACTGGAGTGATAGAAATGAGGATTTTGTGTAAATTTTTATTTGTGTGTTAGTAATTTTATACTATCTTCATCATATTTTCATTGCAACTTATACTACAGCTGCTGTCTTGAAGGACATGCATCACACTCACATGTGTATATACGCACATACATGCAAAGCTGCATCCAAAGAGGCAATGATACAAACAAGTGCAATCACAGATATATAAATATACACATAATTTATACAAACAATTGCATGCAGGCACGCACACACACACACATGCACACACATACACAGAGAGAGAGAGAGAGAGACTCTACTTTGCAAATCCACAAACTATCAAAAACATTATATGTAAATCATCTTGTTAACTGAAAGCTAAAGAGAACGATTAATTTTTCATGTACTCCCCCATCACATTCATCCTCATCTTCATCAAATGTTACATCAGTTGCCAGAATAAGCATTGTTAACACAACACATGCACACACCCAGGTCATTTCACTTAATATTCCTTCCAATTATGTTATAAATAGGGCAATACCTTACTGAATGTGCCATCAATGAATTAAACGTCATTATTATCATTATTTATGTTTTCCAGTTTCCCTCCCTTGTCCAACAACAAGGTTAAGTCAAGGGTCATGCAGGTCATGACAGGAATGTTGATTTTTCAAAACACAATTGATAACATGACAGTAGATGTCTATCTCGAGAAGAAGTATTTCATAATTCTATAATCTTCAATTATTTAATAGTTGTTTTTCTTGGGTGCACTATGACAAACAAACCCTGGGCTATCCAGTGGTATCAGATATCATTTTCAAAACACCATTCATCAATACCATGACATTAATGGACCACTCTGTCCAGGCAAAATACGAAACTTATATTCATCAGTTATTTTCTTAAGGGCATTGTGATGTGTGATACACGGCTCATGGAGTCAGATGATAACTTGGCACACGCACATGTAGTTATAGCTGCGAATATATTTTAAAACATGGAATTAATTTTTTGCTCAAGGTTTTAAAATTGCACAATCATGATGGCCAAAGTGGGAGACATACGTCAACCTGGATTGAAAATTGGCCTTTAGTTATAAACAAAATAAGAAACAGATTAAATAACTGTGTCCCACTGTTTTCTGAACATAAATTCTTAAAAATTGCACTTGGGGTATCAAAATTATTAACTATATATGGTTAGTTCAGGTTTATATAATTTTATATGTATTGCTCTATGTTGAAAACAATATTCTTGCATGTCTATTTAAATATCCATCTGTCTTTACAAGTTATGCACTTTCATTCACTTCAGTATTAACAGAAAAAATTCCAATAATATGAGGACAAAGGTGATGTGGCTTTTTTCACTGAACTTCTACTGACAGGCAACATAAGTGGTGGTTTGGATGGAAACTCACTTACAAGAAATATATTTACCAGAATATATGCTGTACTATGAAACAATTGAGCTAGTCTACCTCATAATCCCTTAAGTCATTTAATGGCAGAATTTTTTGGAAAGCATTTGTCAAGAAAGATTTTGGAATCAATCACACAGTACTCTCAGATTGTGAGATCTGAGACAATAGCATCGATTATTTCAGAATGAATATCTTGCATCCAAGCAAACTGAGAATCTCTTTTCGTTCCTCACAGATTTTGCAGACTTGGGTCCTTAAGACATACATGTATTGCAGTAAATTGATGCAATGAAAGACACCCGTGTCCAAAAAAATTCCCCCTCTCTCTCTCTCTCTCTGTCTCTCTCTCTGTCTCTCTCTCTCACATACAAATATCCTGAATATTTATTTATTATTTCATTTATTTACTTGTCACTAGGCAAAAGTGAAATGAGAATGAGAGGGTGGGGAGAGAAAAGCATTACGAGTATATGGATGATTATTTATTCATTAAATCTATAATTATAATCAATTAAAAGGTCTCTTGACTGCAGCTGCTCTGTTAAAGGCATAGCAACTGTTCATCAATTGATTTCCTGGGATAAATGATGGTTTTCCCATACTTACCACTAGTTAATGCATCCATTCCAACATTCAAAGTTAGTCCATGATTTTTTTAAGTTAAATTTTTTGTCATTATTTTTGAAGAGAATATTATGGAGGTATAACAATCTATGAATGTCTGATGGCAAGCACAAATTCCAGAATAATTTTGACGCTGTTTTGGTGATGAAATGGAATTTATTATATTTCTCTGAGTTGCTTAAAATGTATTTATTGTGAAATATGAATCTAATACAAACAGTTGTAACCCCTTTTTAAAAAACTCTTGATAATATCCTTGAAGATAAAGGCTGACTGAAGGCTGAAGCAACATTGATATAATACTGCTTCTATTATCTTGACCAAAAGGGTTATTTTTTCCGCACAACCTACAGCATAAAAACAGGTGACCAGTTGGGATAAAATATGCAATAAAGGGTATCACTGATAATAACTTGATCAGTGAGGTAATGAAATATCGCTCTGATTTGGAAATCAACTGTGACAGCTAAGACCATGTAATGCTTAACTGCACTTGTATACTTACAATGGGGGGCGTCTCGATAGTCCGAAGGTTCATTGGTCCGAAGGTTCTATAGTGAACATTCGGACCAATGAACCTTCGGACTATCGCTATGGCCCCCTTACAATGTGGCTGATAACAAGAACAAATTACAAGAATTAACTGTTACTTTAAAAAGTGATTTTTTTTTTCAGCTCTGTTTGAAGGGCTTAAAGGTGTCAAGTGTTCAGTGCAGTTAGTTGAAGGACAAAATTTCAATGGCTAGGACGTATCCAGGACAACCTGAACAGAATATTGCTTTTCTTTCCCTAACTGGGTCAGCTGATGTCAGTGACAAAAGGTAAGCGAAAATTCTCTTTCATAATGCCCCGTTTATTTCCATTTGACTGGGCACCTTTTGTGCAGTTTTGAGATAAATGAAGAAAAAAAAAATAGGTAAGTTACATGACGTGAAATGAAAACTAATTGTTTTGCTCATGCACGTTTTTGCATGACATTCGTGCAGTAGCCATTTCCACATCACCCCCACAGCCAAAGGCTATATTCTTATCTGCATTGGTTTTGTTGGTTTGTTTTAACAAAATTAAATTAAAATGGACAAGATGAATTCATTAAGTTCTTCAAAGATTTTGATAAAATTTTCAGTACAGGAAAGAAGTTATTAAAATAAATCTAATATTTAAGGGCCTTTTTATAATTATTATTTTTATTATTATTACATTTTGCCTTGATGGAGATACAGGTGTCCACTCTGAGTGCTGCCCTGTTTAACATATCAATAATAGAAAAATAAGCTGAAACCTCCTTAACTAAACCCCAAACCTCAAAAACTCAATTAATAATTAGACTTCAATTTCCATATGAGAAATTTCAAGAATATTTCAAATTGCATTTGGCAGTAAAGATAGCCGAGTTTTAACTCTTTCTACCCTCCTTCTAGAAGATTTAATTGCTTCATTAACATTAAGTCAAGGTAAATTTTATTGTTCACTTCCAAATAGAAGCCAAACTTTTGACTTGAATCACCTTGAGAAATCAACCCCAGCCAGTTTCACAAGAGAACGGAGACTGTATCCAAACTTTTATGATGATAAAAGGACATTATGTAACAATTCTATAACATTACATTGCACATAATGTACTTAATGTAAATTAAACAACCATCAACAATTTGTTATGTTCCTATTATGGATAGAAAGAACCATTCTAAATGTCTCCCAGTCTGTAGTTGACTATAACAATTGTGCATACAATGAAGACTTGTCTTCACTTTTACATTATCATGAATGATTAGATACAATCAAAATAAATCTTGTCTGTCAATTTTCTGTGTTTTTTTATTTATTTATTTATTTTTTATTTTTTACAAAGGTAAAATGTAGTGTCCATTATATACAAGGATGACACTTTCAAGGTCACTGTTTATGGAGTGCATACCAAATGTCTTGTTATTATTTTAAGAAAAACATGCTACAAAGTTTCTTTTGTTTTCTTTTCTTTTATGTTTTATGTGACTCATGAATTTTGTCACCTGACAAGAAAAGACACAACAAAGATACAACTGCCAATTTTTCCTGCAGTTTTTATCAAAGGGTTTAACAGCAGATAAAGGAACTGATGAGTATTCAAAAAGACTAGTCTACACCTGTTCATGTCTGCAAAGAGTGTTTTTTGCCTTTACATCAAAATAAAATAATTATAAATGGATCTTACTTGTCTAATCACGTTTTCAAGATTGATCCTTTCCAGGCAATCATGACACTATATATATTTATTGACACAAACCTAAAAATAATTTCAGGAAGATTGGGATTAGCAATTTTAAAGAATGCTAACCAAAAAATTTTTAAAAAAATTAAAGCTTTTCACCAGATGTGGAAATTTTGGACTCTAGCTTGAAAAACAATGCGTGACATTGAGTGTCATTTAAAGGTTATCATTCCGTTTGTTGGGAGACATTTTTTCCAGAAAAGACATCAAGGTGACTTGTATCCTCCAATCTGTCTTATTTAAAACCCCAAATAAAACTAGAGTGACAAGTTTCCTACATAAAGTATGTGCTTTGCAAAGTAAACAAATGTGTTTACATATGTCGCAATTGTAACTGAAAATAATCTTTATTGCTATAAAAAGCTAGCCAATGAGAGCACCACTTTCCCCAGACGTATGACCTTGTTGATGTCTGGCCTTGTTTCCACCTCTGCCTCATTCATTTTCAGATTTGGGTGACGACCATGACCATGCAGGAACTGCCACAAATTTCTTTCTTACAAATACAATTGTACATCAAAATCGTCTTTGAAATATGGCTAATTTGATAAATCTCAGTTCTGACAAGGCTTTTTGTTTTGTTTGCAGTAACCAAAATATTAATTCAATATGCAAACTTATGTCACCTTATAACTCGAACAAACCTTGAAGAGATTTCGTAATCCATGACCAATTTTTCATGTACTAGTACACATTTTTGGGCAAAAGGCAGTGTGTTTTAACTTAAAGCCCTATCCAAAAATATTAAATATTCATTAACCAGGAATATATATACTTCCCAGTCCTAAAGTATTTGAAGTATTGCAGAGTCTACCGTCTATAAATGTCACTGCTCAATAACTGCACTACAGGAATGTAAGGGGTAGAAAATATAAACAGTACAAGTTTTCTTTATCTTTTGACATCTAATACAAAACATGCTGTCAGAAAATTGACAACATTTTGCAAGGAGAACTTCCAAGTCATTTGCATATTGCTTTAACAACACTTGGTCAACATCAGTCACATGACACTATTCCACCTTTCACACCAAACACAATATCACACTCTAAACACAGCAAATTTCACACTTATTAGCATCTACATTACAACCAAAATTTTGCTTCAGCTGAATGTATAAAAAGGGTGACACAAGTTGGCAAAATAAATAAGTAAATAAATAAGAATAGCAATAATAAATTTTTCATAAACAAAATTAAAAGTTTTTAAAAGAATTTTGTTTAAAGATGTCCACTTGTATTTACCTTCCATGCTGGATAGCCTTCGTACATGTGAAATCTTCCCTGCATACACATCACAGACTTGTCTCCAATCTTGCCAAATACCAGACGTCCTGCGTGGCCAGGCACTGAAAGCAACAGTCACATGATCAGAACACATACCTTTGTGTTTGGAAATATATTTCATATGGTCGCTGAGACCAAGAGGTACTAGTATATATATATCTATATGTAAGGCTGAGATAATAATAATAATAATAATACATCAGTCAAGTTTGGAGTTCAAAACTCTAGGTTATCTACCTCACCTCTATTTAGGTTACAAGCCAAAAACATGCACCACAATCATATCAATAACATTACATGCACACACATATATAAATAAACAATGACCTTTTGGCGATAGACCCCCTTTGTGAAGGAATTTTATATCTCACAGATTGCATTAGATTATGCCCTATATCAAAGGCACCATGTACATACATTAATAAGCGATCTTAAGAAAATCTTTAAGAGAAGTCTAATGAAAATGAATAAATAAAAGGATATATACCAGGTAAATACACGCACATGATAACATATTTATTTATGTGTAGGGAATAATAATAATGTTTTGCTCAGAACATTAATCTTCTATAACCACTGTAGCATGTTATGCTTCTATGATGTGGGAGATTCGGGGGGAGGGGGGGGGAAGGGGGGTGTGGAATGGATTGAGGAAGGGGAGGCAAGAGAAACCCACTTGCTCCAGCAAGGGATCTGTCAAGATATCATGGTGAAAATGCCAACGCCTTTAATTTTACATTTGCTGCCCACGAACAAAGTGAAACAAAACTGCTTTTAAATTGCATGTACTTGCATTGTACTACCCCCCCCCCTCTCCCCAAACCTCCAACCTTTGTAAATTCCCTTTTACCGTAACCTGAATGCATGTTACAGGGGAGGATCCAGAGCTATTTTCTGACAGTCTTCCAAATTATCTTTGTTGATCCATCCTACAATTTTGACTGTCTTCCAGCAGAAAAAAATAGATACCCATCAATGTAAACCTGAAAATCTGACCGTCTTCTGGAAGACCCAGAAGACGGCCTAAATCTGCCCCTGTGTTATTATGTATAATATTACACACACACACATTCACCTATGTGCATGGATTGAGTCATAATTGTGTTCTTTATGTTCTGTTCAAGACATCAATCTTACAAATATAACACCTCTGCAGTTAGCTTTGCCTTAGAATCTATTATGGTAGTCATTAATCAGAAAGTGATAATATGTTTAGTTTTAAGTAGCTTTCCAGGAATTTCTGGATTGGGATTTAAAAGCCATGCCATCATGCAATGTAATAATGCTACCCTGTGCTGAGTGCTTGTATCCAGTATAAATTTTTTTCTCGTCTATTCATCAGAATAATTTAGCTATGTGAAATTATGTGTAAACGTGTTTATACACGTGTGTATGTGTGTGCATGTACATGTGACACGTACATGCCTGTAGTACCATCAGCCCAGTTAATCATTAAAAGAACAGTGCCAATGACGTACATCTGTCCATCTTTTTCACATCAAAGATACAAAATGTAACTTCTCTATTCTCAATCCACAGTGTTATTTATCCAGTTTTAAAAACAACAGTAATCAATGTAATTTAGCCCACATTATTGGCTGCACTGACATAACAATACATAGCAGACAATGAAAATTTCTTTTCCTTCTCCTTTAGATTGCACAACTTGCTTGGTGCCACGTAATCAGTGTACTCGTATAAAGAAATTTTGTTAAGATTTTAATCACCATTAACCTGTGTGTGTGTGTGTGTGTGTGTGTGTGTGTGTGTTTGCATGCATGTGTGTGTATGCTACAAACTACAGTGAAGCAGATATTACGATATATGAGATAAGACTGTTAATGTCAGATCAAACACTGACTTGTTGCCAAAAGGTGTGTGTATATATACCATAGGTCAAGGAAGGATAAATTAAGCATGTCAGTGAGTAAAGCTGGCATTTACGTAAGTTCACAATTAACATATAATTATAACATATACGCAAGGACACACATCCTCTTTTCTTTCCCCAGTTTAGTATCAGAAACCTAATAATCTAGATTCTGGCAATGTGCATATATATATATATATATATCCATAAACCAGAAAAAACAGATGTTTTTAATTTCTCAGCACCATGATCTGAACACCATAGATAACTGCATACAACAAAACACCAAAAATTGGGTCTTGTGTTTCTTTTCAGTATTCGCAGACATAACATTAATTGGCACAATTTCAATGTATTTTTCTAAACACGGCAGAATTCGATCAACAAATCATGGCAAAAGGCCATTGTATGAAATATGTTTATATAAAGTTACGATACAATGTCTGACATTTAACAAAATCTGGTTTTTATGGCTTTTTGAGCAATTACTAGTACTAGGAATTTTCTCCATGTAAATGCCATACGACAAATCTCTCATTTATTTGCCACCTGTCAGAATGATTAGATTCTTCTGTGTTATTATGGCGATGTATACTGGAGACACTTATATGTACATGTAGAGTTTCTAGTTAGGTTTGCATGGCCAGCATAACCCAGAACACACAGTTACTCTGATGGGGCATTTCACAAGAGTTTTAGACCAATTATTTGGTCTAATTTGACTCGAGGTAAACCAGATAAATCAGGTGTAGAACAATCCAAGCTTACATATGATCATTATCACACAAAGTGCCTATAGCTATAGACTGTTTGTCACCCATAGAGGTCAACCTCACTTCAATTTTAATCTTAAAAGAAGCCGCGTAAGCAGAGCTGAAAACAATTACTTGCGACACATTTTTTAACTCTCAGAAAGGTGAAAACTGTCTAATATTAGTCAGCCAGTGAACAAATTATTCTAGCCAATTAATTGTCATATGGTATGACTGAGGTCTCTACAGCAAAGCAATCATCATTATTACTCATTCCATCGATTGTTTGAATAAACCAGTGATATTTGCCATCGCCTGGATTTTTATGGATTTTTACTTCAGGTTGATCTCTGAAAAGATCAATATACCTGGTTCTCAGCCAGGATTATCAATTCAGATAAGCTAATGGAGCCGTAGCTACAAGTTGCATGCAAGTAATTTCAAACAACTGTTTTTTTTTTTAAACCCTTTCAGGTCATTACCCAACATTGCAACAGGCTGTGAAGTAAAAAAAAAAAGGCAAGAAGAAAAAGAAAAATCAATGATGTAGTCATTTGCAAAGAATGTATCAGTGTGTTCTCCAGCGTTAAGTTACAGAAGATGAAGGGTCATGATACATAATCAAATATTCAATGATCACAATTGGAGATGGAAATATGATTGCAGCACTTAACACTGGCTTCGTAACGGCACTTAATGCATTCTTCTGCAGCTTACGTTGTCAGACATTCTATACATTTTTATCAGTACTCATTATGGAGCAATTAGACACTGATTTCCATCCCGAAGTTAAATTTTTTTACCTTTTGCAATGTACTTATGTACGTCTTATGTCGTGTATCCACTGATTTGGACAATTTTGATTTGGATTGTAGTTTACTAGGACCTGCTAGTTATAAATGGTGGCCATTAAAGTGAAAAGTTGAAAGCAGGGTTTCCCCAGGATTTGGGGTACAGGGTGTTCTAAAAGTGAATGTGTAATTTGGTCACTGATTTACTGGAAGACAACCTACTAGTAAGCAAGTCCAACCAACCAACCAATCCAAAAATTTTATAAGCCATCATAACCATGCTTATATCATAGTAATTACTCAGTACTTTTTAAAAATAATAATGATTACGTAGTGCTTTGTTAATAAAAACTCAAAATAGCTGATTATTTTTTTCTAAAAAATTAGTTGCATTTTTTTTATACACAGAAAAATCTTGAAAAACCTGAAGTAAAACTTGGAACAACTTAAAGTTGAAGTTAAAGTTAAAGTTGGTTAAAGACCACATGAAGCCATAGCTAGCTGCAATATAATGGCCCTTTTTATTCATAAATGAGTAGGACAGGGATGTATTTACAGAAAGGCTTTTCTCTTCCATAACAATAGCAAGTACTGGTACCCCGCCATCAGGGGAATCAAGTGCATTTTTCTGCTTAATCAAAACAGTTTACATTTAATTCTGTTACAATTACTTTTGTACTTGATCCCTTTTCTTAGTCACAAAAGCTAAACTTCTGGTTTTGTAACTTTTATAACAGACAAAAACTATTATCATCAATCAAAAAAGAAAAACTCATTCTCCATTACAGACAATGTTCAGACAGTTAAATGGCAATATAGTAATGGCCTTATGTTAAGGTCAAATAAGTGCAAACTGAAAATACTGGTTTACAAGCTTTTAAAAGAAATTAGTTCATGGCATCCAGATTTTTTTAAAATTGTTATTCTTATTATTCTTTTTGCAAAAAAAAAAGGCCAAAGACATTAATCTTTGTGCCCCTGAAAATGAAAATAAAATAAAATTATTACTTTTCATGCACCCAATATGAGAAAATTTATCAAATGAATCTACAGGTTCTCTATAAACTGAAAATTTATGACAAGAGACTGGCAATAACTGACAGCAGCCTTAGTAGGGTCACTTCCAGCATAATTTCCAACTGGCCTCAGAGGCCCTCAGCACTGTCCAATATCCTCCAAAATATCACATTTCCTGTCATAATTCACTGTGGTGGTCTCATTTACTACCTTGGAAGGTTGGTGGTCACACGGGTTAATGATTGCAATCAAGTTGGTCATGTGAGTCACTCTCATGGTATAAATGAAATATCAGTAATACCAGAATGTTATGTTTGCTAGGGAAAGTTTGCAAAAAAAAAAATGCTACACTATCCTAATTAAATTAAAAAAAAAAAACTCACAAAACTCAGATTTTTATTATATAAATACTTTCCATAACTTGTGAGTGTTACTTAAAGTGACTAATTAATTCTTCAAAGTATAATTGAAACATGACAGAAGTTACATCTGACGGATGGACAGACGGACAGACAGACACCCAGTCATTCAATAACACAGACAGGTGGATGTACAATAACATAAACACACAGACTTCCAGACAGTTTAAAGTACAAAGACACCAGCAGACAACAAGGACCATTTCAAAGGCTACCATAACATCATTCATCACGGTGACAGCCAATTTGTTACCCTAATAATTCTGCCCTGCCATCGAATTCCCTGAAGGCAATATCTGGCTTAAAGCCCATGAATCCACAGGTTTACCCATTTCCCAAGTACCCATTAAGATTTCACCCAAGTTATCCACATGGATATTCACATGGATATATATTGTATGATGTGACCCCTGTGCAAAAGAGGGCTCCACTATTCACATTTCATTTCATGACACAGAGCCATTAGTTTATTCCAAAATTTTTTTCTGACATATATCTTAGCACATCTTTTTCCCCAGACAAGGTGATATTTATTATGGAAAAACATTTCTGACTTCCAACATAAGAGCACAAATGAACTCTCGGCAGACGCTAGCAGACATTCTTCCCTGGAACTACGTAAAAATTTATCTGACACCTCACAAGAGGAATCAAAGGTATATGCGTAATTATTTCTTCATTAAACCCCCCTGATTTGTGAATGGTGTCATATGGTCCTCTAAAGGTTGGGGAAGTCAATTCCCTCACTTTTTATCAGTATTTTCTTCATTCTTTCAGTAGATGTTCAGACACCTATAACTTTAGACACCATAAAAGGTGTATGTCAATAATATATTATATATGACCTTTTTTACAGAAAACTGAAAACTGTAGGGTAGACCGGGGCTAAACGCCCAGTCGGGGTCAAACGTCCACCCACTTTTTTTCAGGTATTACGTATAAATACGCGTCTCGTGATGTTTTGTCCACTTCCGATTTCCAGCAGACTAATCCTCCATGACGGAGATGACCACAAACTAAAAAAGAAGCATTTTATGATAATTTGTTCATTTTTGCCTTGTTTACTGTTATTTAGCCTTTTCCTTAACATCAGTGACACCACCTACCAAATGCACGAATTCAAAAAACTTTGTTGGTGACAGATAGGATGGTATCAGACCTCCATACAAGTTTCGATGAAGTCAGATTGTATAAAACCTTTCACGCCGAATTTTGAAAAAATATACAAAATCTCACTTTGGGGCTAAACGACCATGCTGATATGGGGCAAAACGCCTATAGTGGGCGTTTTGCCCCGACCACTGGGCGTTTTGCCCCCTTTCGTTTTTAAATAAAAAATAATTCTAAAAAGATGCGGAAGTGTTCTTTCATGCATGTTTTTTTTTATTGTATATCATCAGTTATAACACTTATATGGGGAAAAGCCAAAGCAAGTGGCTGTACTAGGAACTTAATTTTGGAAGTATCACAGTGCCCTGTCGTAAAGAGTAGAATTACAGCTCATTCTGAATAAATTTGATGGGTATTTTTATTATCTCAGTACCCCAAAATATTATATGTTGCTTTTAAAGGCTTACTAAGTTGTCTCGTAGAAATATAATTTGATTTTATTTTGCTTTGTACAAAGGCGGGGCATAACGCCTATAGTTTGGGGCAAGACGCCCACGGTGGGCGTTTAGCCCCGTGGTGCGAGGCGTAATACCCCAGCCATGGGGCAAAAAGGCTGATTTTATAATTTACCTATTTTTTACCTATAAGGTTTTTCTTTTGTTTGTTTCCAAAAGTGTTAGTATCAGTTTGTAGTCTAGTCAGCCCTTCATAGTTAACACCCACTTTGAACGGTCTATACCTTCAGCAGGGAAAATTGTGATGTTTCTTGCTTAAGGGGGGCGTTTAGCCCCGGTCTACCCTATGTCACTTTCTCACCAATAACTTCTCACCAACATGATGACTTACCTGTGCTCACGGGAAAGTTTGGAATATCTTTGTATGCCAGACATTCTTTCTCAGACAAGGTTTCAGCTAGCCCGCCTAGACCACTTCCACAGATGATCGCTATCTTGGGTCTCTGTTTTGTGCATGTGAGGACATATTGGGCAATTTTATCTAAATCTTCATAGGAGTAGCTGGACCTAGAATGAAATATGATACAAAGTTATAAAAAAGTATCAATCTTAAAAACAATGTATCAAACTATACCATTGATGAATATTTATAAGTTCTACAAAATGCACAGTATATCACATAAGTCAATTTTTAAAAAAACAAACCCAGCATAACGGCTACATATCATTGTTTGACATACAGATGTTGAATTCTCATATCAAAAATGAACAAAATGAATGGTGTCTTCTACCAGCAACAAAAATAGTAAATACTTGACCTCACACAAAAAAAGAGAATATGATAATTGACATCCAAAATGAGTAAGTGGTCATTTTTTAAAATCTGTACCTATAAGCCTAAATATATTTCAGACAAGTCTTGATATAACAGTAGAGACAAGTTTCAGGTGGCAAGGCAGACAGAAGCAAGAGATCGAGTGTCTTCATTATTAGCTACCAGACTTGGACTTACAGTCTTTGTCTCCTTTATTATAGAAAAAAAAAATGATGTCAGTTCTTCATCCAAGCAGTAAAACAATGCAAACACCAAAGTATGTATTTACTTTTTTAAAAAAATGACAAACTGTAATAAGAAGGAAGTATACGCGAGTGTCTTCATTATTAGCTACCAGACTTGGACTTACAGTCTTTGTTTCCTTTATTATAGAAAAAAAAAATGATGTCAGTTCTTCATCCAAGCAGTAAAACAATGCAAACACCAAAGTATGTATTTACTTTTTTAAAAAAATGACAAACTGTAATAAAAAGGAAGTATACGCAAGTCCTAAAATTAAGGGACAGTTTTTCTCTCTGCATTTAACAACACTTAAATAGAGAAGAATTGAAAACATATTCATAATAACAGAGCAATATTATTTTGTCTAGTTAGAAAAATAATAATTTAATTATAATCCGGGTAAAAGCAATTCTCTTTTATAACTAATGTCAAAAGGTGACAAATGTTTATCAGTAATTGCTAATCACGTGTCGTAGACACACCTCCTTTTTAACCAATCAGAGCGTGAGATAGGGGACACACAAATTGGCACAACTCCAAATGCCTGAGCACTTTTCAACTTCCAAAAAAAACCCCGGCTTTACGCTACGTCCTGCCTAGTCTCGAGTGGCATTTTACCTACTATAGAATAAATTAGCGTTTTCTTTTCTTGACAGCATTCTTTTCTAAAAGTCGTTCTGTCATACACACTTGTCGTCCTGTTGAAAATATTGTCCAATATCAAGTTGCAATACAAACAACTATATATGAGCCTACAAAGGACGTCTTACCGGACCACTAACCATTAACAGTAAAGAATGACACGAAACTGAGTTGCCTTACTGCAGTGTCAAACAGTAAACAGGAGTCTCTGACTTGTTATCGTTACGCCACGCGGTGTCAAAATACCGCCCCTGGGCACTCGGGTTCAGGTCAGTAGATTCAGTCCAGTTTATGTATTTGTGAAAACATCGCGAAAAACACTCCGTTTTACCACAACAACACAACAAAGATTCCACCCGCTTCCTAACTCACCCTAATCCTCGAACGCTTCCGGTAGATATCGTCAAACCAACTACGCCATTCATTGTAAAATTCTGTTATGAATCGACTGACAAAAGTGTGTTCTTGAGTGCTGCTCTCTCGCCGGCTTCCAAGTCTGTTATGAGTGGTATAGTTGACCTTGAGCAGGTTTTTACGTCAAGTGCGCTCTGACGTCACTGTCTTCATTGAGATTCATTCACGAGGTCAAATGTACCGGAAACACTACCTTGTGGTGGATGACGAAATACAACTATAAACCAATCAAATGGACGGCGATGCAGAGCGATCCTTTTTTTTTCTTTTTTGCACGTGACTCAGAAACAAATTTGTGAGTAGATGATGAAATTATGAAAATAAGCATATGTGTAGTGCCACGTTCACCCCCCCCCCCTCTTTTTTAATGTCCGAAGAATTCAGACCACACGGAAAAAAATAGTTGAGCAAAGCAAATGTATATAGCAACGGTCAACAAGATTAACTGTTTATTTTTCCTATGTAGGACAGAGGGAGTGAAATGTGCTTAGTTTTGTTGGTTTCGCTTGTTATACTGGTTTTCGGAAGGGAGAAGCTAGGGGGGATGGCCCATGGGGATATCTCCGTAACTTGGGGTAAGGGGGGGGGGTAATGCCCGCTGTGACCTGGCTTTCCCCCCAGGGTCCGCTGTGGAGCAGAATAAATAAACAACAAACAGAGACCACATACCATACAGCGCAAATATCTGCCTATGGATGAATAACCCGTATAAGCAAACAAGAACATTGTGGTCACTTACGTACAGCAAGAAATTAGATAATTCTTGATCTACAATTCCTTGCTTACAGACACCGTTTCCACGGTCTTGCTACGCGGGTTTATTTGAAGTGAACCGACAACATACTAGTACGTACCCAGTGCAAGTACCTATAGGCCTTACTACTACTAGTAGGAGTTCGAAGTCTCATATGCGTTAGCATTCCTGTATTTAATTATGGCTTCTGACATGCCTATATTTAGCGCAAATAGCATAATGTATAACAAACCGAAAATAAGAGTGCTAATGCATGAATTAAATTTTTGCGTCGAGAGCACCTGTCACTCAAAGTACATCTAGCTTGTGCTATTTTGAAAGTTGAACGTGCTTTATATTGCAATAAGCCTGTTGTATAATATAATATAATATAATATAATATAATATAATATAATATAATATAATATAATCCTAGGTCTACATGAATCATTTCACTTCCTGCATTACTGTGTGGTTAGCTAACTTTCGCAGCGCCAGTCAATGTCGGTTTATATCCGGTCTATTGGCGGATGGGTGGAGGTGGAGGGGGGGGGGGGGTCGGGCAGAGGTGTGAAGGAATACGCGGTTCTTGGTGTGAACATCCGTTTTTAGTTTTTAAATAATTGATATTAAAATTAGATCTCTCTTTATTACCGTGAAATAGTGTTATCTCAGCGAAATACGAGAATGCGAAGAAACAACGCTTATAGAAATAATCGCATTAAAATGTAGGTGTCTCCTGAATGTCATGAGTAATGGAGAAGTAATTAATTTCTTTCTCCATTGCATCAGCCGCTAACCTCAAGGTAAATATTTACCTAAGGCTGGCTGCCGTGCAGGGTTCTAAAGGAGTCAGTCAAGTCGTTATCTCTGGTTGCCTAGGGGATATCCTTACCTTTAAGGTCAAAGCATTTGACATTCTTTGGATTCTTTCAAAATTTAGAGTGAATTAATATCACCACGTGAAAAACGAAGGTATCTTAACACCCCCTTAAACTGGACGGCGTCCTTCCCGCATCCTTTGTGTGACCATGAGACTGGCATCGCTGTGGTCGTAAAAAGGAGGCACAAGCATCGTTTTGGTTGCAAAATGAATGCCAATGATCGACCAGTTGTCAGCACGTAAAGTTTTTTTTTTTTTTTACCGTCTACGGGAGGCAGAAAGGACGCCATCCAGGGCTTAAGCGACGCAAGAAGTTATAAAGAGAAGGCCTTCTCGTTATAACTTCTTGAGCGACGCCATGTCGACCACGAAGACTCCTATTGTCCTGACCCCCCCCCCCCCCTTCGATTTCTGAAAAAAAATTCACACCAATGGTCCCCTCTTGAAATTAGAATTTTGACTAGCTGGATCATAGTTGTTCTAAGCAGTACCAAAAATGGCACCGTTCGCCCTCTAAAATACCAAAATTTTTCGGGACCCCAAACCCAACGCCAAAGGGGGGGGCGGGGGGCGGCTTCGCATTCGTTGACCCCACCCCCTCCTTCAAATAATCCTGGATCCGCCCTGAGTACGTTACATGTGCCAAAGCCATCTAATGGCACTTCTGAATAAATTTAAATGACGTTTTAATTTTAGGTTTACGGTTTTATTTTAATATATAGGCTAGCTCCACGAGAAAAATAAATCACGGGTACATGACTCTGAAGTCACAAACCTTTAGAAATGCAAAACGTAACTTGGAATTAGGCCTAAATTAGTAGCAAAAGGGGAAGTGCGCGTCTGAGCCGAGCTCTTAATGATTTAAGAACCTGTGTAGCCTCCTAATAATTATACTAATAATAACTCTTACAGAATTTGAACCCTAAAGGTTTAACCGCATTTTTCCATTCAATTTGTTAAAAGTTAGTAACAAGTTTTACAGGTAGGCCTATTCTATCCGGGACTTTTCGCCAGTCAAATTTACCTCGACTCACGAATCACTGCTTGATCCGTCCATGCCCTTAGATTTTATACCATTTCTTATTTTAATTTCAAAACGATTAGCCCTAAATGTCTGGCTAGTCATTTAATTAAAACACCATATCTTTCTGTACATTTCGTAAGGAACTATCCGCGCCAGGAACTTTAAATTGAGGCGTGTTATAGTATTCAAAGTCTGAACTGGGAAAGGTTATAGCAGCTTTGTTGGCCTACTAGATATTAAATTAAAATTACAACTTTGGGACCTTTTCTAACGTTAACGCGGCTGTATATCAGTAGGTTCAGGAGGTTTTATTGTTTAGGGATCTTCTTCATCATGCCAGACAGAAAACAATACGAACCGTGCCCGTAATTTTTGTTCGATAGCCTATTATTTTAAGATTTTAAGATAATTTCAGTTTAATTGAAACCGTGAGGCAGCTAGGGCTTACAGTTCCTGGGGAGAAAGTACAGGGCGCTATATGGTATTAAAAAGCCAAAAAGACGTCAGGAACCCCGTACACGTGCGGAGTGAGCCCCTGCCACCTCCACATATATAGGCCTACGTAGGCCTACATGTAGGGCCTAGGTATATAGGGCCTATGTATGTACTGCGCGGTTTTATAATGCTGTCTTTGAAGTGGATAGGGGAGGAGCAAAAATGGTCGATTAACATCAAAGGCCGTCCCCCTCTTATTGTCTCGATTGTCCTGGTTCCGCAACTACACAGTTAAACCACGGACATGTGACTCAGATCAGGAGATAAACTTGACCACATGCGGCACAGGGAATTCCCTGCCTCGATATGGAATTAACGCATGCGCACTGAGTTTGTTGTCATCGTTTGAATACCGGGGAAAGAATGGCAGGGAAAAAGAAAGAAAAGAAAAAGAAAGGCCAGACGGGGGAAATGGTAATAGTGGGGCACCTGTAATTTATGAATTATAAACCTTTTGCATACTAATCAGTTGTTTTATATTTACAGCATGCCTTCGTTTTCCCTCGTTTCAATCAAATATTCCAGTTGCGATCTCTTGGGTGTCTGTCAACTTTGTGCAGCGCAAAGTATATCATTATTAATTTAGTGGCATAGCATTTATAATGCGCATTGCAGTGCGTTAAGTAATAATATTGATCCTGTATTTCATAGGAAATGTACCTGTACTGATAATTAAGATGTAATGGGACTGAAGCACTGCTGTAATTGAGGAGTGGAAGGGTGGGTGGGTATTTCATTGCAAAATGTGAAGCTATAATACTTATCTTAAAATAACTATTAATTTGATTATAAGTCTTGTAGAGAATTGAATTATATATATTTCCTCTTCAGCCGTCCATAGCAGCAGCCTTGCTCCCCTCTGCAATGTTCACCGCTGTGCCTCGTACTCCCCCTCCAGCAGAAACCCCGGCCAATCTGAAAACTGGCCTGGCCTCGGCCATCTTGAACTCCAGTCTCTTGGGACAGCTGTTTGGCACCCCGCGTCCCCCGTCCAGTGAGCAGGGTGTCTCAGACCCAGATACTAGTCTGTATGACTATGACCAACTAGGAGAACCAGGGTAGGTGATGGTTACTGTACATGTACTTAGAAACCATTCCCAGAGACTATTGTACTGACTTTGGATCGATCTATCTCCAAGGGGATTCTCACTTAATTGCTATCAACTTAAGCGGTCTAATTGTCTGTCACACGTACTAAAGCTTTAAGGGGGTAATTAGCTACCGGAGGCCGAGTGTGCACGAAAGTTAATTACCCTCTAGTTGACACCTCGCAGGAAAAAGGGAAAATTTTGACTTAAAATATCAGTTAGTGATTTAAGGACAACAGTTGCTTTAATTTCTTCTCAACTAATTAAAATTGAGAAAAATTTCTGAATTTTTCCAACTTCAGGTACTCCTCAGTGGACTTCTACCACAGCACTCCAGGGCCAAGTGACCCCCAGAGGGACAAACTGGACACCCCCCCACAGTCACACAATGTCACAGTGGACATAGGTCAGTTGAGGCAAACCTCTTCTTCAAATACAGCTGGATAACATTAGACATCAAGCAGAGTGTTTGTATTGTCCTCCTTTCGTAATGTTTCAGCTTTTTCACTGGTATAATCACCAGCTTTTTTGTTTTCTACTCGATGTCAATAAGATTAAGAAGCATGTTAATGTGATTGCATTCAGCGATTTAGCCTGGAGTTGGGTTAATCTTTGTAAAACAATACTTGCTTTGGGAATGGACCCATAGTTTGAAAAACATGTTTTGAAATTACTTACTGTCTTTGGCATTAGAAACAGTTAACTCTTTAACCATGTTGGCTGGTTGTTTTCATATTTGCAGCGCCACCTATCTATTCTCAGCCTGTAAAGAAAGGAAAGCGTAAGACAATGAGTATCAGCGACAGTGAACTGACAGATGTGAGCTCTGATTTAGGACAGCAATCGCCGGAAGTCTCGCCAAGGAGAGAGGTGAGTGATCTTTATGCTGGGAGAATAGCAATGGTTTTGTATGGTTTTGTTCAGACATGATTTTTTCTTGTCAGTTTTTCACTTCAAGTGGCCACAAACCTGGTATGTCATAAAACCACTGTGTCATTCTTTCCAACTTTTTTCTTGCAACTGTTAATCAAAGCTGCAAATGAAATAAATTAGGTAAAACAACATTCTAAGGCATATATTAATTTCCTTTAACCATATAGCCGGATAATTTACCGAAAACGAAAAAAAAAATTATTAATTTATTGATTACTATGATAAATTGGACTAAAAACCATAAAATATAAATAATTTCACGTTTTGCGAAGTCCTATTAGATTATTCTTGGTATTTGATAAACATTTTCAATCTTGAATGGGGTATTTTCCTAACAGCAGTTCTTTTTGTTTTTTTATTTTATATATATATCACTGTGGTTTTGTTGTAAATTTTCTTATAGAGTAACTTTTTGAAAATATTAGTTGTGATGAAATTTTCAAACTATTTCTTAATAAGTTTCCAGAGGCAGTTCCAGCCAAAGACAGCCTGAAGCCTACAGGTAAGATATGGGACCTGTCATCACCCCCCCCCCCCCCCCCCCCCCCCATTCCCACCTCTTCAAAAAAAAACAAACAAAAATATAGATCCTTAGGTCAAAAGTTGGTCTTCGCAGAAAATCCAGAGCTTTAGCCCCCCTTGAATAAAGCTAGATAAAAATCAAACCCCGAATTAAAATATTTCAAAGTGTTATATCTTCTACAAAATGTTAAATTAAATATGTTCTGAAACCTATGCAGTTTGTCACATTTAAGAGGAACCAGTATCAACCTGAAGAGTTTGTCATTCTCAACTCATATCACATATATTTAAAATCACCTATGTCAACCTATAGAAATACTTGTTAGCATTTTACATTGCATTTGTCAAATTACCAGTGCTGACCTTGTCAATTACTTATTCTCAGTTCACATCAAATTTTTGACTGCTCGTTCTGAATTCCTATTAGTCTGGATGACTGGTGCTATATTTTGGCCAAATTGCTCAAAATGTGGAAAAAGCATGAAACTTGGCACAAATGTTCTTTGGTCTATGCTGATCATTTTCAAGGGCAGTGCCCAAAATTTCAAGGCGTTGCTTAGCAACCGTTGCTATGGAAGTGAATTTCCTTAGTAACAAGCTAATTAGACCTTTCTTGTCCAGTTTAAATGGTTAAAAATGCTAATAACAATGTTTCAGGGCATCAGAACTATCACTAGACTATTTTTAGGCAATTAAAACCCAAATTAACCTTAGCCACGATTGCTAGGCAGCATATTACCCTAGCAACAAGCATTTAAAGTTCCGTTAGTCTATTAAGTAAGGCAAATCTATAATACTAGCAAAGAACTACACTTTTGAGCAAGATGTTCATACTTTTAATCCAGTAAGTTGAAACAATTGTGTGTTTACACACATCCGATCAAATACATTGCCAGTGCAGATACTTAAGGCAGCATGTCAAAGTTAGTAACCAGCCATTTCCATGCTTTTATCACCTTACGACTCTTTATAAAACTTTGCAATAGTTAAGACGTTAAAGTCTCCCTTGTATGTGCAATATACAGTGCATTTTGCCCTTGCACATTGTCAGCCTCTACATCTGCACCTACATGCACACTGGAGCAACTCTGGGCAGGTCAATAGCTTCTGGCAAATGTGTCCACAAGGGTCCACTGTTCCACACAAGTCCAACCAGAGTGAGTACATGATATCTGATGACATGGCACCGTAGTGCTGATTCAGATATGTTCATCTCGCAAGAATACTCTTATATTGTTGTAGAGCAGCCTTGATGGAAGTAAGATATGGCATCTAACGGCCTTTGGGTGTGAACAGAAACTTTTGAACTTCATTGATTAACAAAAAGAATTAAAATAGAACCATGCATGTGTATTTAAGTTACTTGGTAGAGAATAGAAACTGACAAAATACAATTTTAAAAAACTTTTTAGAAAATATTGAACAAAATGAAAAATATCTTGGAAAGCTGGTCTCTGAGAAACCTTTCAATAATAGGAAAGTCAACAGTGGTTCAACCTTTAGTATTTCTCATCTTACGTAGTGCATGTATAAACTCTCCTACCAGCCCCCCCCCTCCCTCAATACTTAAAAATATGCATATCATATTTAACTTTATCAGGAATGGAAAAAGATACAAAATAACATGAGCAAGGATGTCGTCTGATTACAAAAATGGACGGTAGAAGGTACCGCAAATGAAAATTTTACCAAGGCCCTAAACTTTACATGGCTTTAAAGACTTCGTTATGAAGAAAATAAGAGTAAGTGGAGAGCGTTTTTCTCCGCGAAATGCCAGAAATCGGTAGTAACAAAAGGTGGATTAAAAATACTAAAAGCAACTTCTTATCCCTTTTGGCAAAAATTATTGGTTCTTTGAGTGAAATNTGTATAAACTCTCCTACCAGCCCCCCCCCCCCCCAATACTTAAAAATATGCATATCATATTTAACTTTATCAGGAATGGAAAAAGATACAAAATAACATGAGCAAGGATGTCGTCTGATTACAAAAATGGACGGTAGAAGGTACCGCAAATGAAAATTTTACCAAGGCCCTAAACTTTACATGGCTTTAAAGACTTCGTTATGAAGAAAATAAGAGTAAGTGGAGAGCGTTTTTCTCCGCGAAATGCCAGAAATCGGTAGTAACAAAAGGTGGATTAAAAATACTAAAAGCAACTTCTTATCCCTTTTGGCAAAAATTATTGGTTCTTTGAGTGAAATTCAGGAAGATTTCAATTTAACCCCAGATGAAATCCTATCACAACCATTATGTCAAAACTCAAAAATTGAAAGAAATTGAAAAAATATTTTCCATAAAAGATGGTGTAAAAATGTTTCTTTTTTTACATCAATGATATTATAAATGACATTTGAAACCCCCTCTGTCTAGAGGAAATCAACAAAAAATCAACCTTAATACCAACTTTCTAGGCTAATTCAGCATCCTAAAGAGCTTACCATCTGAATGGCTATCTCTTCCCATGGAAGGAAATAACTCATAGCATTCCACGAAATAATTGACTCAATTAAGCAAGTTACCATACCATCCAGATATTTTTTCGCAAAAAATCCTCCAAAGCCATATAATATCACCAGATAAAGGTTTAGGTGAATGGCAGACATATTTAAAAAAACTTGAGTACTGATAATTGGGAACTAACATTTAAGAAACGGATTACAAGAAAATGAAGTCGCTGCAATTCAGAATAAATCATAGAATATTCAATACTTATGTTTGTCTTATGAATTTGAGAATTATGCAATACTGCTGGGGAAAATGTTCTGTACGTTTTTTGGGATTATCCACATGTAAAAAAATGTTTGGATGTGCATCATTTGCCCCGCTAAAGATAATTCAGGTGTGGTCATTGATAGATCTCCGGAGATATTTGTATTTGGGTTTGCGCAAGCATACATTATTTACGTACCTATCTTAATAATTAAGAAACATGTTAGTATATGAAGAATGGGAACAGAAAAATGGGAAGGGACTGGAGGGTATGTAAAATGCTACAGAGATATCTGTACATATATTATTTAATATTTATTATAAAATATATAATGTTAAATACGTGTTGCTAGGGTAATATGCTGCCTAGCAACTGTTGCAATGGTTTACTTGAGTTTTTAATGTCTTAAAATAGTATTGTGATAGTTCTGATAGTTTGAAACATTATTAAATGCCTTTTTAAATCATTTAAACTTAACAAGAAAGGTCCAATTAGCTTGTTACTAAGGTAAATCACTTCCTTAGCAACGGTTGCTAAGCAACGCTTTGAAATTTTGGGCACTGCCCTTGAAAATGATCAGCATAGTCCAAAGAACATTTGTGCCAAGTTTCATGCTTTTTCCACATTTTGAGCAATTTTTGCACCAGTCATCTAGACTATATCACATTTTTAAAGTCATTGTACTCATTTAAATTCACGTCTCATTTCAGAATCCCCAATACCTCAATTCAGGAGCTCTCCCAGGCTGAATGCTCTGCAGGATGAACACAAGAGACTTCTAGAGCAGCAGGGAGAGTTGGAGAGACAATTACAACTTCAGCAGCAGCAATACAACAACAGTATCAAAAAGATGGAACAACAGCTGCAGCAATTACAACATCAAAAGAGAAATAAAGCTGCAGCTGAGGAAGAGGTGGGCTTACTTAAGCAACAGAAAGGTAGGTGAAGTGGTGTGATCCCACCCCATTCCCAGGGTTGGATCCAGAGATATTTTCTGACAGTCTTCCAAATTACATTGGTTGAAACATCCTCCTTTTTTGACCGACTTCCGACAGAAAAAAATTAGATACCTGTCAATGTAAACTTGAAAATCTGACCGTCTTCTAGAAGACCCAGAAGACAGCCTTAATCTGCACCTGCATTCCCACTTATTAAATGTTGTTCTTCGTTTATGTCAAATGAAGACACTGGAAATGAGTTTATAGGGAAGTGTAGTCTGTGGTGGGGAGAGGGGAGAGTTGAGCAAAATTTCCAATAATGCTTACATATAATATCTATATGCCACGCCTCCTTCTGGTGTTAAGTAGCATACAGAAAAGCTGGCGATTATAGAAGTAAGTTGGAAACGAGAGGAGCTGTGTCATTCAGATAAGCTGATTGCACTCAGCGAAAGTCCTACCAGTGCTGGATCTATCTACTTAGACTGTTGGTGTCTATGGGAATGGGGTCTCTGTCAGTAATCTTGATACAAACTAAATACCATGATTTTTTTAAAGAAGAAGCTGAGATTAAACTGTATAAGAAAAAATTACACAAGCCACATTCTTTATCTTATCCTAGGAGAAGCAGAGAAGAAGCTTCAGCAGCAAGAAAACTTGATCAGTAATTTAAAGAGCCGCGTGAACAATCTTGAACAGGGGAACAAAGAACTGGATGAGATGAACCAACAGCTGCACAACACCCTGGACGTCTTGAGACACAAGATGGAGGACATGAGTAAGTCTGGGATTTCTTAACCTGGAGAACTGAAAAGCAACATTATAGCAAAGTTACATTAATTTATCTGGAAGTTTTGACACTTCTTCATTAATCTCAAAATTATGTGTATCATATCCAAGACCATTCTCAGATTTATACTATGTTAACCTGTTATCATGTTTTAAGTTTTTGTTTATTTTTTAATCACTCTCATAATGGAGGTGCAAAGGACAGTGAATTTCACTTGTGGCAGTAAAATTCAGAATCACAGAACTAAAAAACTTGTTAAATCTATAGATGATAATGTTTTCAATGGTCTTGGAAAGGGCAAATCTAAGGCTGCATTCACAATCAAAGTTGATCCGTGGACTAAGAGATCTGCAGAACAAATATGGCCGACTTGCGGGAAATATATTCAGTGTCTATTATGGGATTATATAGCAAGCTTTCTAATGGGTCAGCCATGTTTGATCTGCCTGTCTATTAGTCCATGGACCAACTTGGTTATGAATGCAGCCGTACACCCCATTTCCATAGATTTTTAGATCGATCTATCCCTGTGGGGATTTCACTAGATTACTGTCAGCTTGGCAGGCTTAAGCGTCTGTCCCGCCTACTAAAAGCTGTAAGGGGGTAATTAACCATGGTGCCCGCTCAGCTGACTGCAATTTAGAATGAACCCCCAGGGAGTTAGGTCGATCTAAATCTCTGGGAAAGCACCCTTAGTGACAAAAGGAAACTGCTGAAATTCCCAGACAATATGTTATTTGTTAATCCGAATTATCTTTCATGATCACAGACAGAGCAGGAGAAAATGGCCGACTGCGGCGCCAAATAGACGACCTCAGGGAAGACATTGAGTCTCTACAAGAAACCGTCCACAGATTAAACGTAGAGCTTAGTCGCTACCAGGCAGCATACAGGCCTCCTCAGCTGGAGAAACAGGTACACTGGGACCCAATCTCACATGTTAGTTACTGGTAAAGTGGATCTGTACTCTCTGGGTGATAACAGCAGTTGATTGCAATTAACAGTACCTCATACAGTCTTATTGATTGAAATTAATGATATTTACAACATCAGCAATAACAAAAACAATCATAGTCATAATTTTTGTAATATTAAAAATTGACAATTTAAAAGTTACACCTCGAAAGTTAAAATTTAATCTTTTCATATTTGATCCCCCAGGGTCAGGATATCTCAGGGTTACCCACCAAAGGTCCCATACCTGCCTGGCTGGTGAGTTGACAGTTTTATGTCCAAGTCTCACTGTTTTGATATACCTATTCCCATCACCCTGAGGTTACTGGTAACTTATCTGCAGTCAGCCTTTGTGTTTACTTTCTTTTGTACTCTGAAACACAGGGTAGTATCTATGTGTTATGATTTCATTGAATCAGGCATGATTTTTTTCAAATCAGAAATCAGATTTTTATTCTTGGTGTTTTTTTTTTAACCCTAAGCAGCCCCCAATCTTATGGTTGTAAGGACACTGAGATAGACATATAGACATTGAAATTTTATTATTTAATTAACATAATTATTTACTGTTACTGTATAAAAAATTGACTGATTTCAGATAAACAAGAAGTACTTGTCTCCACTTTTCTTGGCATATGATGACAAGATAAAAGAGAAAGATGACATTATAGACAGTTTCGAGGTATTTCAAAAGTCATATAAGCAATCATCTTCTAGTTTGTAGTTGTTATTATGTTTATATCTACTTATTACAGTCTCTTTGCAAACTGTCCAGAATTTCAGAATGCATGTCACTGTGTCATTTTTATTACTTTTTATTCTGCTTACTTTGTGAAAATAGTGCATAAAAAAACTTATTTTTGGTTTTTAAGATTCTTGAAAGTGTACAAGTTTATGTTGTATCTCTTCTAGAATTTAAGTGCAGATATTGTATTTTTTATTTTGAAAAAAAAAGGATTAAAAAATGTACTAAGTTTTAGTCATATTCATGTCACTGATAAAGATTTCTTTTTTATAACTGTAAGAATTGATATATTGAAAGTGTAATTTTTAAATACAAGTTTCTAAACCATTGCAGGAAGATCTTGCTCACTTTCGAGATCAGATAGAAGAAATATTGAAGGAGAATGAACGCCTCCATCTTCGTCTTGAGCAGACGGACGCCACAGACGTAATATCAGCAACTGAATGGTAAGAAATACTTGTCTTACAGTCTGTACACCTAACTTTTCAGCCTGCTGATCTCTCAGATTAGTAATAACCTGAAGGCTGCTAGTCCACACCAGAAATTTATATATAAGAGAAGATGAATACTAAAGATAATGAAAATTTGTTAAAAAGCAACAGCTGCTGACAGATTCTTGTCCTTGAAGAAATTTATGTCTAGTAATAAGAGTTACATTACCAGCCAGAGGTGATCAGATTATAATAATTTTTTATAATATTTTAAGCAAAATTGAATCTATTCACAAATGATTTGCAAGATAGAAGCAACAAAAATGTTTAAAGTGGCTAAGGTGAATTAATACATGATAAAAGGAAGTCAGAAATTGAGATGTAAAAGTTGTCATGTTAGGAAGCCCCTTCGTGACCTCACCAAGGTTCTACTCACAGAGAATATGACATTGTTAGACACCTATGATGACTTGTGAGTCCAACAATTACAAACATCAATTTTAATGTTGAAGTTATTGTTTCTTCATCAACTGCTTGTACTTATTTTGAATATATATTTATTTCTGATATGATTTTGTACCTGTTAAGGTGATGTATAACTCCAGCATTGTTGTTACTGTTAAATTGTTACAAGTTTCTGTTGACTGTTCAAAGTTACATTTAATACTGGGAGGGAACTCTGTGAACATGTATTTGCAAGAGAGAGAGAAAGAGGGGTGGGGAGAGAGAGATAGAGATAGATAGATAGAGCATGTGTGTGCATCAATTAGGAGGGAGTGTGATACGAATAAACTTGATTTGAATATGGGGGTCTAACTTAATAGCAAGTTCCTTTTAAAAAGTAGCCTTTTTAAAACAGTTCCATGGTTTTGTTACACCACTGAAAGTGACACCTTTGTTTGTAAATTTTCCAAATATACAAAAGAATGATTTTAAAGAAAAAATAATTTAGATGGATCAAATATTTTCAGATTGGTTTAAGTTGTATAAAATTTTCCCTTTGTATTGAAAAAAAATAGAAGCTGGATTTTCATGAAAAATTTGTTGTTGATATAAATGTATATTGCCCCATAGAAGATGATCTGTCTCTTTGTGACCATAAAACTACTACTACTAAATGCAGGACCAATATTCTTCACACACACACACACACACACACACACACACACACACACACAAAAAAAAAAAAAAAAAAAAACTAACTCTCATTGATAGAGCCAGTGTGTATCTTCCAATGATTTTATCTTCATTAATTCTGTAGGCAGCAGCTTCAGGAACAGGCCAAGCTTGTGCTGGAGGAGAACCAGCTATTGATGGAACAGCTGGATCTGCAGCAATCCAAGGCACAGGACATGCATAAGGCTCATGTGACAGAAGGTATAGTAGTCAAGTATCCTCCCCATGCCACTGGTCCCATTATGTGTACTACTCTGTGTCCCTAGTCCTTTTGGCTGGCGGGACTTTTGGGCCCTTTCCATTTATTTTTCTTTCTAGTATAATACACCATAGTTGATAACATGTAAACCATCACCAATTTTTCACATTCAGGTAAAAAGAAGCAATTGCCAACTTTTATCCATACTTTATAAAGTTTACAAAGCTTAATTTGTAATTTATTTATTTTATACTGTTATTGAAAATTTTTGTTTTATTGTGTATTTATTATTTATATTTACCTATCCAGTCTCCAGACTCACCCAGCAGCTTGTCCAGGCAGAAGCGGAGAAATCGGAGCTGGAGAATTCCGTGATGGAGCAGAGACACAAGTACAGCCAGATGAAACACGAGCACGACTCGCTGCTGATAGAGGCGCAAGAAAAACTGCCAATCCACGAACACAAGAGTGCCATTAATGAACTGAGAAGGTGAGGAACATTGTCAAATGCATTGTAAAGCATGTTGATGTTGAGTAGACTGGATGTAGACAGTGGTGAAGAAATGTGGCATTGTTTTTAGAAGAAAAAAAATTGATAGCACAAAAACAGCTGGGTCACTGACAATATTTTCCATGATTCAGATCACAGTGGTGGATCGTTGCTTTATAACTTCATAAGTCCAGGTTTAGATTTATTTTTTCTCTTTTAACACTTCTGTTGAATGCACTCTGTCATTGTTTCAAAGATTTTATAGTTAGAGGTATTATGAACTAAAATGGGATGATTATTAGAAGTTATAAACAAGTCAGTATGTACTTCAAAAATATATGTTAAGTTTTTTATTTGATGATTATAATAAGCAGAATAATGTTTGAGGGTGGATGGAAGCTCTTTAGATTTATTAATGCTTCAACTAGTTATCAGAAGAAGGAATTTTGAGCGAGAGTGGAAGTCAAGTGTTTCAAAGTTTTATCTTGTGCAGTCTTCTTATTGATTATTTCTACATCATTGTTTTTTTTTTTTTTTTTTTTTACTTTGAAGATCTTTGGATGAAAACAAGCAACATTATTTGGATGAAATGCAGGAGCTGAAGTCAAAATTGCAGGTAAAGTTCAAATGTGATGAAATCTTCATTTTTTTACTTCACAGATTTTTTTTCAATGTTAGAACTGTCACTTAGTGTATACAGGTTTAATGTTCCTTATTTCAGTTCTTATATTTGAAAATCAGATGGTAATTATTCCATTTCTTTGAATATATATTTGTTAAAAAAAATACATAGAAATTTGATGATGGTGAAGCCAGCTGGGTGAAGCTCACAAGTAATAAGAATTATAAATCTTACATAAGATTTAATTAAATTTTTTACATTACATATTTAATTACTGTATTGATAACAAGTAGTGAATTAGCTGATATTTTCTTATTCACAGTCTGTTCAAAGTGAGAAGAAAAACCTGGCAGTAAAAGCAAAGGATCTGATAGAAGAAAAAGAACAGCTGAAGGCTGATGTCCGAAATGTTCAAAGGCAACTCAAGTATGTACATGTGGATAGCCATGACAGTATTTACAAATTCTCTGTTTATTCTGGTCAGATAATATTAATTTTTTTGTGACTTCGAGAATGCTGCTCATTGTCCATTAATATTTGTGTTTCTGTGAATAGAAAGTGGATATATTTTGGTTGTGACAGTTTAGTAAGTATTATTCAGGTGATGTTTTAAACAAATTTTGTTTACAGTTGTAATATTTGTTTGAAAATGTAGAAAATCCATGAGATTCAAACTTTTCAAGTGTCAGTATTTTTTTTAAATCTGCATTCATATTAATAAGGCACTGGTAAATTTAAATGGATTTGAAACTTGGGGTTCCACACTGGTGTAACTATAAAATTGATTCCTTTTGGGGGTGGGGTGATCATTCAGCTGGATTAATTATCACTGAGCCAATGTGTAAACAAACCACAGATTTTAATTTGATTTTTTATTTTTAGGAAGTCTGAGCAGCAGTTGGCCAAAATGCGGGCTGCAGTCAGGGCTACCACTGACCAAGAGATGACCATCACAGAGCTGTTCAATGATTTCAGGCGCCATGTAAGCTCTTAGAAAATACCTCAAACTTATTGAATTGTCAACAATGCTTATTTTTAATTATCTAAAAGTTTCACGTATGTCTTGTATTGAATTAATGATTTTAATTCCATGAATTTTTTAGAAGTCTTATGTTTAAAGTCTTTAGCACTTTCGTGATATAATATTTTGTTGACTTTTTGGAGGTGTAATTGCAAGTTTTGAATAATTTCAGTGGATTATTGTTTATAATTATTAATTTTTTTTCAGGTTGATATGACCGTGTATGAAAGAGACAGTTTGGCCAAGCAGGTAGGTGAAAGATAAATTAATTGTAAATATTATGCTAAATATAAAATAATATAAAATTTATCATTAATATTTTTGTTTGTGGTTTTAACTCTTTTCCATAATAAGGGAAGTTGTTTACAGTTTTTTTTTTAAACAAAACAAAGGAAATCAGAAAAAAACAGAACAGATTGTATTAATTAAGTTAAAAAAAAACTATTTCGAGTTGCAGTTTTGGTTTATAAAACCTGAAATACGAGAAAACTTTTCATGAAAGGTCTTGTCTTGATAAGTGTATCATTTTCTTACCTTCCCAGGCTGAAGATTATGAAGTGAAAGCCAATGAAATCATGGAGCAGGTGGTGGCAGAGAAAGTAAACAGGGGGAGGATAGAGGAGAGACTGCAGGTGAAAAAATCAGGCCATATAGAAGGATGTTTGAGGAAACTGAGTGACTGGACCTTAGTTTGTGCAGAACTTTTTAAAAAATGGATGTTTTTTTTTTAGGGAGCTGAAATTTTCGTACATAAGTTACATTTATTTGTGGTTTGTGTGATATGAGAAGTCAACAACCTCTAAGTTTGTGTTAAGAAATAGTTAAAATGAACTGTCCATTGAATTCATTTCAGATGTACAAGAGCAGGGCAGCTGATAAGATAACTATTGCAGTTAACAGGTGAGAAGAAATATGTTAAATGAAAAAAAATAAGACACCTGAGGTCACTGGCTTTGCACAAAAAATTCTGACTGATGGTCCAGGACTTCAATGAAGTTTTAAATGAATAGTGTTTATGAAACTTATTAATGACATTTAATTTATTAATAAATGACAGTGTTTCCTGGTATCATTTTTTTGTCATCACAAAATGTTATTTTCATCCTTGTTTCCACACTCTTAGACAAAAATATTTTAGCACTTAAATATTTGGAAAACTAGAATTAAGACATGTCGTCTTAGAAGCGATCTTATTATATTAATTTTGTGGTTTACAGAGGTCATTAAAATATTTCATTTATTTAAAGAATATTTAACATTTTGATAATAAAACTTGTTTTTTATCTTCCACTCAGACTGAAGGAGCAAGAAGCCTCATTTGAAAATGAACGAGCAGAATTCAGACGAGAAATTCGCCACTTACAGCTCATTGTAAAAGAGAAAGATGACGTCATCAGCTCTTTAAATGGAGACAAAAAGTAGGTTGAAAAGCGGCAGTCAATAAAAGTTTGTTTCAGCATTTTGAGGGTATTGCTGCTATTGATAGGAATAAAATTTTTGTATTAGCATTTCTTTATGTAAGTACTGAAATGATTCAAATTTTGTATAAGTATTTTTTTCTGTAACTGCTAAAAATAATTTTGGCTGAACTAGAAAATTTGGATCTGAAAAAAGTTTGTTTCACTAAATGTAACTAAACATGCAAGTCTGGGAGTGTATTCATGTTCCATTCTCCATAGAAGACGGTTTTCTCAGAAAAAAAAGGCATATTTTTTATCAAAATATCAAACATAGATTTTTAGCAATTGCCAGTAATGGAACATTTATGTGAATGTTTGTGTGGGGTGATACATGTTACATTGTATAATTCAGGAGAGTAGAAGAAGACCTGGAAACCATGTGGCAGGCAGCAACCAGAGATAACATGAGAATGAAGGAAAGTCTGCGGAAATCCTACCACAAGTCTGGTCATGAAGACAGATATCACTCAGATCACAGGGAACTGTTGCTGCTCTCTTCTGACAGTGAGAGGTGATAGCAAGGAAGTAAGGGTGTTCCGGGTTCCCTGTGTATTTCTAAGTGTATGGCTTCATATGGTACAGGGGATAAATTACTGAGACAGATGCTGACATAATAGCTTTTTGAGAGAGATTTGATATTTTTCTTTTTGTTTAGTTTCTTCTCAATTTCCAGACTCTCTCTCTCTCTCTTTCTCTCTCTTTCTCTCTCCACACTCTCTCTCTCTCTGCAAAGACTTGGCATAATTTTTTTATGGAGGTGGTGTCACTAAGGATTTGGATTTAGTAGTTAGCAGAAGTTATTGGAAATCTGTAGCCTTAAACGAGACCCTGACTGCTATATCAGTGTGTGATAAATTTTACAATACTGAAGGGAAACTGTGCAGACAAAGTACCAAACTGTGTCCATGCAATATTGTTTCAAAACATTCTACAAAATCTGTTAGCTGTAGGTAAACTATGGAGATTTTGTTAGTGAGCACATTGAGATTATTAATTGTTTTAGAATACAAGGGTTCTGCTGGTATTCAGTCATTTCAAATGTACTCCGGCAAAATCTGTATTTGATGACGGTGCGTATGTATGCTGCATGTTAAACAATTTTTTTTTTCATTTAAAAATTTGAACGGTAACCTCTTTTACTATAACGGAGTCACAATCATGTTCATTGTTGTTACTAGTTATAGTATTTACTTATTCGGTCTACTAACATGTTGTAATAATGGAATTTGATGTATTATTTTTTACATTCCATGTACCACATGTCACAAAAGAACTCCAATCTAAAGTTGGTCTGAAAATTCCATTTTAATGCGGAATGAATTCATTGGTGAAAGTTATCTTAAGTGAAGAAAATTGTCCCATTTGGCAAAGTTATAAAAAAGGCTAACAGTGGAGATCAGTAGTCACTTCTGAATCAGTGGAATTCATGTAACTTACCACTGTATAACTCGTAATATCATTTAACTCGATATCTTAATATTTGGAGATCGTTTCTTTTGTATTATCTGAAACTTATCAGAACATTGTCTTAGTTGAATCTAAGTATAACTCGAACAAATTTTACAGTCTGAAGTTGGATTTTTTTATATTATGTAATCGAAGTGGACTACAGTTCTTTTATCGAAGTAGACCAAGTCTTAATTTGACCCAGGTTCTTTGTGAAGCTGGCCCCAGGGCATTATGGGATTGTCTGCTTCCATTTTTCCGTCCAGTTGTATTTTACCAATTTATTAATCTAAACTTACTGTTTTATGCATCATATGAGATGTACTTCATTTGCCAAATGATGTTTTATTTCATTTTGAAGGATAGAATATTATGTACTTATCAGAGGCTTTTGAGAAATATTTCATTAATGACTTTGTGATTTTGTATATTGCTTCTCTTGTTTACAAATGGCATTTTAAAATTTTACCGAATTTTTCTCAGTGATTCCTGATTACCATGCACATTCTATTAACTTATTCATTTTCTCCGTCCTCACTGGCATTATTGTGCTAATGTAGTCTTGTTGTTGTCATTTGTTATTGATATTAATGTTATGCTTCTGTCCGTCCTAGAATATTGAAATATGTAAAAAGAGAATAATTCATATCACATATTTTACCATTTATTAAGAAATAAGATATTGTTGTCTCATAATATTTAAGTTCATCTGGCAGTATTTGCCACTTGCTCAAAATGACCAAAAACTTAGAAGATAGTGTTCGGTAACTTTTGTTGTAGACCTGTAAATTCTAAGGAGTTTAATTACACTATTAGAGTATTAGTTTCACTGAGGCCTTTTTAAGCCACATACTATTAACTAATATATATGCCTAGACAAGGAAAACAAAATGTGCTTGTACATGTTTTTTTTTTTCATGGGGGGATGCAGTACTTAAATATAATGGAACCAAATAAGTTTCTCGTCCTCTTTATTGATTGCAGTATCGTGGAAGAAAGCAATAAAAGATGTTTCATCTCATTTGTATAGATATAATTTTTTTCTTTATGAAATTTAGGAATATATGGAAGGACAATAGTTATTTTAACTGTGAGAACTGGAGATTACAGTATGCTGACATTACCAGACAATAAGAAAGAAATAAAAAAAAAAAAGAAATACAGCATCTTGCAGTGGAAGAAGAAACTATTGCTGTAAGAGATTGTGAAGAAATAAAGCAAAACCTAGTTCAAGACTCACCCTTCAAGAAATTGACAAAAAGGACTTATTTTTAAATATGATGTGGAGAAAGGGCATTGTACAAAAACATCACTAATAATAACTAAAATAGCAAAAAAATGTACCTCCACTTTTCAAACTTATTCTTAAAGTGTTGATTTCTTTAAGGGTGGATCTAAACCATATCCAACCTAAAAATTTTCAAAATAATGACCGGACGGCCCGAGTAATGCTGACCAGTGTCTGGACCAACTTTCAAGCAGCATGGTCAGGAGATACAAGAACTGTTACAACCACTATGATCCCTGTCCACCCAAGACCCGAGGTAAAGGAGAAAGGATACTGGCAAACAAAATTATGATTTATACATAAATATTAAATCATAATATAAATATTATTTTCCTGCCCTCAACAAATTTCTATACTTACCCATCATTTATCTGTTGGAGTCCCAAACTTAAAAATACCATAGATATAAATAATATAAGTAAACTATTAGCTGATGCCCACATTTACTCCATGTCTTAACACGAGCGTACAGTGACATTTTATTGTCCAGTAAGTAACTACATTTAATTATATATATAAATTACTAATTTTAATTTTGATAAAATACATTTTATGCGAGGTATTTTCCCAGTATTGCATGATGTTACTATTATTTTTTATTTCAAAAGTTATAAATTAATAATATAAACTGAACTCATTTTGATATGGGGAAAACTTAACAGAAACATTTACAGCTCTTGCTGTCATCAAAGTGTAAATTGTTTTTTTAAACCAAATTTATCATTAATTTGGTCCAATATTGTGATACAGATAAAATCTAGGATTTTGCAGAACAGAGCATGCATTAAAACAGGAAATCACTGACATGGACACAATCACATGAGAGCACACACACACGTCATATTTTCTTGTACACAGTCTTCAAGACAAGCAAAACTCTTACTTCATATAGCATCAGAAAAAAAAACAATACCTAGTGCTGACATATCAACTAACAATAAATAAATTAATGAAAAGTATTTGATGTCCTATTACCCCAGCTTAAACAAATCACTTCCTGGAGTGAGCGCAAAATGGATTCAGAGTTCCAATGAAAAACTGATCAATCAAAGTGTGAACATGTACTTCAGAACCCATACTGAGGCAAGGTGAGTATGCAACATGCACGTCCAATGCGTGGAGAATGTTTCTCCTCAACCACTGCTTTGACATCCTCGTTGGTATTATACGCGTAAATCATCTCAGAGAAATAATGGTCTCCATTCAGTCCACCGACAATATAGATGTCTGATCCTAAAACGCAGGAGCCAGACTCGCGTACGTTAAGCTGGCACTGACTACGTGACCACTGATCCACTGCAGGACTGTAGATTTCTATTGATATTGTGGGAACAGCAAATCCGTACGAATCCTCGACATTTCCACCTATAACAAAGAGTCGTCCGTTCACATGCTCCATGATATGGTTCCCCCTCGGCGCTATCATTGGTGCTTTCTGTGTCCATTTATCCTCAGAGGGGTTGTAACACATTAGTTTCCCAGTGTACCCATCAAACAGTTGCCCTCCACTGAGGTAGATGAGATCATTGCAGACGGCCCCCGCACTACCCACTGAGGCGTTTGGCAACGCGACCTTCATTTCCCACTCATTCTTAGCAACCTGAAAACATTCCATCGAACAGATAAGGATGTTCTCATCTTGCCCCGCTATGGCATACAGTGCCCCCTTGTAGGCAACCATGACAAAATCTTTCCTCGCCTCTGTCATGGATGCCAACTCATACCATGTATCAAAACGAGGATCATACCGGAAACACCTCGCTGTTGCTATTTCATTATGAGAGTTATTGTCGTACTTGCCGCCACATGTGTACATGAAGTTGTCTATCACGCAAACACAAGGGTTGTACAGTGGTATTGTGGCATCCTTCAGAAAGGTGTGCTTCTTGGTGACTAAATTGTAACTGTCCACGTTTTCCCCGTGGATCATCATGATACTTTTCTGGTCTGACCTGATCTGTGTCCGCGGTGACTGGAGGAGGGGTTGTTTACCCACCACTATGTGATAGTCCTTGGCCTCCGTCAGCAGTCGATTGCACTCCGTGTTACACTTCATTATCTCCTCCTGGCTGACCTGAATATATAGGGCAGTAAAGCTTATGAAAATCCACATTTTATTTCATCAAATCCTTCTGCATAACTTAACTCTCATAAAAAGCAAGTTCATTTATAAAAATGAATGGTGGAGTAAATTTTTACTGACCACAGGTATAAATTGACCATGGAGTGTATTGTCTTGACAACAATCCTCACTCAACTCTAAATTTCTTAGTGTATTACCATGGCAGCATACTATAAGTACTACGGCAACATTATTGACATGGCAACCATAGCTCCTCCAGTCAGTAATGATTATCTCATTACTCACAAAAACTTTGAAACTGTAAGTAGCTATGGCAGCATGTTATCATAGCTATACTTGTCACTGTTATAATAGTAACATATGATGCTGTCATAGTAACACACGCTATTGTCATAGCAACACGACATGCTACCGTGACAACCCTACCTTCTCCACCAGCTCCTCTCCAGTCAGCAGTGGCAACCGGACACGACTCATAAGCTGGGCAACTTGTGGCTCCCTCTGCTGTGGTCTGTGTCTGATCCAGCTGAGGACGATCAGGAAGAGATGGTACTCGGAGGTGACCTTGAGGTGGTTGCGGTCCAGGAGGGCGGCCATCTGGGTGTGGTTGAGACTGTTGAATTGGTCTGCTGTGGAAATGCTCTGCAGGGAACAGGGGGGAAATAGTGAAGTTTGGAGATATACTTGCCTTTCATATATGGTTGCTCACACATGAAGATTAAATATGTAAACACATCACACAAATACAAAAATACACAGCTACAGCTTATCCAATCCAATATGCCCTTGACAGCAGAGTAACTAACGAGGTCTTAAGTCTTATGTTTATATGATCAAGGTAAAGCCTGCAGGGACACTTGCTTATTTTGTATAAAAGTTGCTCCTCAGAGTATAATATGACACTAGTAATAATTATGGTTTTAAAAAAGGAAGTTCCAGGTGCCTGTAAAAACGTGTGCTCTAGTATTCATAGGTGTGTGTGGTGAACAGTGGACAAAATTAAATCTAATTTGATAAGTCACCTCCACCTTATAAAGCACACACATTTACAAAGCACTTTCAAGAAGACAATATTTTTCTCTACCTCAAAATGCTCCAGTATAAACAGCATGGCTTGCTCCTTCATCTGCAGCAGAGAGTAGAGCTCTGCTAGGTTCAAAATGTCCACACAGTTCTCCTCTGTGATAGCCATCTCTAAGTACTCACAACACAGCCTCACCACATCTGTCATCTGAAATATGGTTTATTTTCTGATCTGTAAATGGTGGGATTGTATACAGATATCTAAGAGAGGGAGAAAATCCCTCACTTGTCTCACTGATGCCAAATTAATCCCATTTTATGAGTATGAAATTCTAATTTCACTTATGATAAATGAATAAACAAAGTATTAACAAATATGTGGCTGTTAATAAGTATACAAAAATACACAAAATGAATTTTAAAAGACGTAAACTAAAATAAATGGCACAAAACAAAATAAAGAAATTCTTCAATAACCGTCACTCCTCTGACCTGTAGATGTGATGCTGCGGCCAGCACCTCCTCCACATTCTCAATACCCAGCTCCAGCTTCCCAGTGTATGCAAAGTCCACCACGGCCTGGAGTCCAGCTGCCGAGACCCAGTGGAGGTGGACACTGTCCTCTCGCGCTTCGCGCATGTCCCCCGTCATCATCACGCGGAAATAGTCACTGCATGCTGCCAGAACTGCCTTGTGTACCTGAATATAATTTAGTTAAACTGATATCTTCATGTGAAAATAGTCAAATATATATATTCAGTGACTGATTCAAGGAGACCTTAAGGTAAGTTAAATCTCACAGTTGACAATAAATTACACAGTAAATACAATCTAATGTATGTTAGGATCAGTCATAAAAAAATTAATTCCAAATCTACACTGCCTCTAAAGTAACCTGAATTTCACTGATTACTGTAAACTAGCTAGCATATATTATTAGTACATCCTTGTGGTATTTCTACTAAACAGCCTATCTCAGGGTAGTCTTACCTTGAGTGTGGTATTCTCAGCCACTAAGGAGTAGTCACACAGTGTTCCCTCCTTCCTCAACTCATTAAGTCCTAGTAACACAGTGTTGCCATGGCAAGGAGATGACAACAATGACAGGTTAGCTTGCCTGCTTGATGTACCTGTTTATAAAGTCATGAAAATACTTCATAAAAAAATTAGAAAAAATGATGACTTCGATACAAATCAGAAGTCTTTACACAACCATATAATTACTGTGCATGCAAAATTTTAGAGTTAATCCGCAGAAGTTCAATATAGAAAATAATTCCATTTCTTAGTTTTTGTGAAACTGCCAAATGTCACCATACAGGTGGACCAATCATATTTGTTGTGGGTCAATGACGTCTTAAAGCTACGACCAATTGTTGATTCAAGTTCTGTTTTGATACCAGGCAAAGTCTGAAACTTAACATGCAACATTGGTCAAATGACACCTTGACTGGTAAGACCCATAATGCTGGTATGCCAAGGACCATATAGAATAGGGGACCAACTAGTCCTACTACAAAGCTTGCCATCTAATCCACTAAAAGACACTGAATAGATATCTCATGGGGAAGTATTCAAGTGGGTCGGTCATAAGATAGTCCCCTATTCCAAATGAGGCCTTTGAATTATATTGTAAACAGAATTATCATTTGAATAATGTGAACAATAACAATCTTATTATAATAAATTGGTAAAACAAAGAACAAATATATTGAAGATTAATAAACAGACTCATTGAATGCTGCACGTACCCTCTTCCACAGACTGGTCCGGCTTCAACACTTTCCTTTTACCAGACATCATCACAGCTTGGTAACTTGGTTGCTAGGTCAATGGAAGGTGGTTAGGGGTTGCCAACCCCGAGATGCCATTTTTTTCAGCACTGCAACAGATACAGAAACCTGTTAAAGGAATCATTATCTATTCTTTAATCTTCCTATTATCTAAAATATTTAAATTTGTCGGATAAAAAAAAGAAATAGTAAGGAACTCCATATTTTGGAAAAAGCTAGGTAAAAGGACGCCCTCCAAAATTGTTGTTAAAAGAACTGCAAGTGTCTTTGGATAACATAAACTGAGTATAATTACGGCCAAATATTACATGGTCATAACTGGCTTCATAACAAGAAACAAGATGCTTAACATAAGCGGGCAGTTGTAAATAATTACCTCAAACTCGGCAGCTGTTTTTATTTCAGTGACCTACTCTTCTTTGTTTGGAGTTTCGAAGGAGACACTTTGGGCAACAACTTGCATCCGATCACATAAGACACCATTTCCGTCACATGTTGGGTAAGTCCACGCTTTTGCTACTCAGTCTTTTTGTTTTAATTAATCCGATTAGATCACCATAGGAATTCTTTGTAAAATCTCAGTCAATCGCATCAACTTTTATCGTATTCGAAAGTTCAACTCATGTATAGACCAAGACGCATTTTATTAACAGTATGCAACGTACCTGCATGTACAAGACTCAAGAGTTTGAGAAATCAAAGTTTAAACTATTACATCGTGTATCACAGTATATTTTAGTAAAAATGGTCAGTTTTTAAAATTATACTGATTACATTTTATCTTCAGAGTTCTTTCACCTTGCAAACACTTCACGTGGGTTGAAATGTGTAGCGTACAGGACGGAGAAGATGTGATACCGGAGAGAAAGAAGACTGGGAAGTTTACAGAGTGAGTTACACAATTTGTTCTAAATACTGATATACATTTTCTCAGACTCAGTTGTTAGTTATTTCTTGCAACTAGTAGGAGTGTCCTTAGCACCATATGGTTTGTATAAATTGTTCTATTAATTAAAATTATTCTGTTGTAATTTTGTAACATCTCTCTTCAACTGAGAGAGAGAAAGAGAGATGGGGGGTATAATACCACACTAAGCCACTGTGGTTCTAAAAGAACTTGTGCAAAATTGTTTGAATAGTTTAAAACATATTAAATTAAATGAAATGACATTGCCAAAGGTCTGTTCATTGCTACATTTTATTTTTAATTATTATTATTATTATTATTATTATTATTATTATTATTATTATTATTCTGAGTGTATATATTGACTGGTATTTAAATTAAAGATAAATGTTTACAGAGGTGAAAGACGTCCATGTATGAAGTGTGGTGAGTCAGCAGCTGTGATAATTAGAGTTAATGATGCCTTCTGCAGGTGAGTGAAAAATAATCCTTTTTAACAGAGGCCTTTCACACTTACACACACACACACACACACACACACACACACACACACACACACACACACATTCAGAATGGAACTTCTTGCTCATGCACAATGATAAGTAACAATAAGTAATTAAAATGATTATTGGATACTTTCAACCATGATTTGTTAAATGTGTCATGATGCTTTTTTATTTTATATAATTCACAGATGCAGCAATCAGAATAAGATTTTTCATTGTCATTCTCTGACAGTTAAATTTTTTCAAAAAAGTATTTATATATTGTTTTTCTCTAAAGTTGTGCAATCTGAATAAGATTGATCTTTCAATGTTTTCCACATTTGAATTGTTTCATTAAATTCTGTTCATATATTTTCCAGAGGGTGTTTCCTCACATATTGCACTCACAAGTTCAGGTCTGCATTTGGCAAGTCAAAACTTATCCGTGATGGGGAGAAGGTTCTGGTGGCATTCTCCGGAGGTCAGAGTTCAACAGCATTGTTACACCTAATACAGGAGGTATGAGAACTTTTGGGGATCATTGCAAAACATTTAAGTTTGTGGAAGACCACAAAATGAAATAAAATAAGATATAAGTAAGATAAGAATAAGTAAAATAAAACAAATTAATCAGCCACACACTACATACTACATACAAATGACAGTTGTTAAAACTGGACCAGGTAACAATTGCTGGTTTTAATGTTTAAATTCAGAATAATTTGTTTTCTTACCATAAGTTTAAACTTGAGGTTTCTATTAACCAAAAACAACAGTAATGCCAAGAATCTTCATTGTAAGTTTTTCCTTGGAATTCTATAATTTTATTCTTTAAGGGTCTCAGTGAGAGAGCTCAGAAGAAGCTGAGGTTTATTCCAAGTTTTGTCTTCATTGATGGTAAGTTGCAGATATGATTGTTGCTCTCAGATATAATTATTTTTGGCGAGGGGGGAACAATAAAAATATTAAAAAAATTCCAGTCTCCCTTAGACTTTGATCTGGTATTGTTTGTATGGATAAGTTGTTAACAATATTCTTCACTGTTTGCATTCCAGAGGGAGCAGTTCTTAACCAAACTCAGGAGGAGAGGTCAGAGACGTGCCAGCAGGTGGCGGCACTGTTGCAGCAGTCTGGGTTTCCATGGAACATCATTTCCTTGGAGAAGGTGTGGAGAAAATCAGTCACTTGCGTAAACCGTTATGTCTCAGCAGTGTGAGAGCAATAAGTCAATTGTTGAAAATGTGACCAAATTATCAGATGTGTTTAGAAGACATAAAGTAAAGTTGAAGAAAATTGAGATGATTTATGCAAGGATGGTGAGACTGAATATTTAGTTGTATTGATGTAGCCTTTTTGAACTCATTGTGGCCTCCAGTTTTATGAACATCAGACCAAGAGATTGTTTTGACTCTTAGACCGAAATTTGTGGTCTGCTTCAATTTTGGATATATCTGTAGTAGCCTACTTTATCAGAGTGATAATTTGTCTTTAGTATCAGCAATTCCTTTCTTTTTATGAAACTACTGTGATATCTCATTCTAGATCATGCAAGAGAGCAATTCACTAGAAAAGTTTGAACTCTCTGAACAGTTTGAATCTCTCCATGTCAGTGAGAAGGATCAGGAAGAGTTAAAGTCTCTCTGGAACTCAGTGAAAACTCTCAGTGCCAAGGAAGAGATGATCAGAACTTTGAGGTGTTTATTTTTATTTAATTTTTTTGGTTCGTTGCATCGAATATTTTGTTTCAAAAATGTTTGGCTTCATGTGTTTATTTTATCTCATATTCTTTACTAAATCAGGGGCAAAAACAAGATAATGAATTTTTTCTTCCAATGGATTCATTTTCTTTTAATTTAACAGCATCTCATCGTTTGTTATTTGATATGAACATGTTCTCAATCACTTACCTGAAGCTAGCAAGTTCAAAAACTTTTTTTCTTTACCCAAGATCTAGGTTACTAGTTTCCATAGCAACAGCAGGGGGATACAGCAAAGTCCTGGTTGGTGACACAGGGACCAAGTTATCAATCCGTCTGCTTTCTGATGTGGCACAGGGAAGAGGAATGCATCTGCCTTTTGAAACAGTGAGTTTATGCAAGCTTTGTCATTTGATTCCAACAAAAGCAGACTAGAACATTTTGTTTCTGTGATAAATTGACCATACACACTTAACTTGCTTCTCCAACAATATAGGGCAGGATGGGATTGTTCATACGTGATTTATCAACTTGAAGGTTTTTCGTAGATAATGTCTTTTTACTTCCTGACTTTAAGAATGGCTAAGTATTACTTCTTAGTTCAGAATTGTGTTGATTCTGAAATATCACTATTTTTAAGGGTTTTGCAGATTGCAGGCACCCTGAAATGAAAATAGTAAGACCAGTGAGGTGAGAGTTAGTTTTCAGATTTTTTATACCTGTGGAAGTTTTGCATGACCTTAAAATAACCCAGCAGATAAAAAAAGCTAAATTGCTTATGATTCTCAGAATTCCTTTACCATATTGAATTTATTTAATAAGACATTATTTTTTAAGTGTTTCAAATATGAAAAATTTAGGTATGTAGAAAAAAAGTGAATATTATTAACAGAAGTTTAAGAGATCAATGTTGAAAATAATGATGTAAATAATTGTATAATTTTGTTACAATTATCATAATATTTTTCAGAGATTTTACTGCCAAGGAGGTAGCCATGTATAATGCCTTCCATAATCTTCAGCCTCTAGTTTTACCTGCTTTAACTACAAAGGTAAAATGTCCATCAGATATTTATCAGTATGTTTAATTTATTTCAAATTGATCATTGAAATGTATTGTTTGAGCACAATAAGTGAATAGATGTGTAGATAGTCTAAAAGATAAATAAAAATAGATAAATAACAAGACAAATCAAAGTGAAGAAATATAGAAAAGAATAGGAGTAAATAATAACTATATGATAACTAAAGACAGAATAAAAAGGAAAAATATGGATGAAACCTCTGTGATTTCATTATCTCAGCTCAGATTATATTTCTGTGATCATTGTATTTCATGAGGCTCAGTGTGATATTTGATTATTCTGTTCCTAGGCAGCATCCAATGCCAGCATAGAGAGACTGACGGAGACATTTGTGACAGGTCTACAGGCTGACTTTCCTTCCACAGTTAGCACCATATTCAGGTACTACTATTATGTTGAAGGTCTCCTTTGTTTCTGCTTTTGTATTTTTTAGCACATTTGTCCTTTTAACTTTTTTCTAAAGATGGTGGAGCAATGTTAATATTTTTCAGAATAGTTTTGTTACATTTAGGATTCCTTATGTTAAATCTCAGGAATGAGTTGTTATGGCAATGGATGTCTGATGTCATGGTAATGGATAACTGTTGCCATGGTAATGGGTATGTGTTGCCATAGTTATGAATAACTATTACATGTACCCTTATGGAAATAGATATGTTGTCATGATTGAAGATTAACAATTAATTAACCTCAGGTTTTCTGGTAAATACTATCAGTACACTAAATCGTAACAGATATAGTGTTGTCATATTATATTTATGAATATATATATTTTTTAATTGAGTTAATTGCCAGTTGAAATTATATTGATGAATTAATGGTGTTAATTGTATTCTCTGTTAGGACGGGAGAGAAGTTATCAGTAGAAGACATGGACAGTGAAGTGGATAGGTGTCAGTTTTGTCAGGTAGTAATATTTTGATATTCAAGGAATGACTTGTCAACAATAAAATTGATTTATTTCATTATTATTATTTTATTGTTGTTGTAGATGTTGTTGTTATAATTATGAAAATTTGAGAAGATCAAAGTTCATGAAATCCAATCGGTATCTATTGGAAGCAAGCAGGAAGTAGCTTAATATATTAAATGAAAAATTATTTTTAATGTACAGAAATGGATATCATTACTAATCAGCTGACTTGTTTGCTGTTTCAGGCCCCTTTGGATACAAATGTCCCAGCATCGTCTGCATTAAATGCCACACTGTTCTCACAAAGCCTCTCTCAGAAGTCGTCCACCTCCACAATAGGTGGAGCCAGTAACTGTGATAAGACAGATTCATGTTGTGGAGAAGGTGACGGCAGCTGCCAGACACAGAAGGACTTCAGGTGAAGATATTTATTTTTATTCTTTATTACAGACAAATATTTGGCAATAACTTTGAATTGGAATGAGCCCGTGGTCATTTTAATTTGTAGATGAAATGACATGGGAAGTTATCTCTTTTGCAGATAATTGGTAATTCTCAGTAATCAAAAAAGCCAAAAATTGGATATTTTTTTAAAATGTGATCAATTTATTATGATTGTAGTATACAAAGAATGGGATTTAGTTTTAAATGATGTTCATACTATATCATTATGTAAATTTTGTACTTTTTTTAAAAAAATTCAGATTAACTAAAGAAGATTTGGCTGATGTCCTTTGCTATGGATGTCGACTTGTTATTAAGGACATGGTAAGAGTTTTCGTCACTGAAATTGGTTTATGGTATTAATTTATGGTAACAAATACCTTGATCTTTTTTTGTGACATTAATTGGTCCATTTAGAAATTTTATATCATAATACTAAGTGCTTCCAAAGATTGTTGACAAGTTCTCGCCTATTTATAATCTGATAAAAAAAGTCAGTTGAATTTTCATTTAATATTATTAGGCACCTCATACTTGGTGCATGCTGCATTTTGAAATAATGTCAGATGTGAATATATTTCTTTTTTTGCAGAACTCTGTAGATGACCTTCTTCCAGCAAATGTTTTACAATCTGCTGCAGCTGCAGTAAGAAGGTACATTGATTTTTAAAGACTGATTAAAATTTTTTTAAAAAGAACTTTGGTAATTGAAATGTACACAATATTATCAAACATGGTGCAAGAATGTGTCAGTTAGATAAGTCATTGGTCATAAGTCATTGGTATCCATACTTTTCTACACATTTTGATATGTATTATATCAATAATCAGCAATTTTCATAAAACATTGTAGGAAGAAGATGAAAGATGAAATACAAGATTTTCTTCTTCCAAGCTGATGCAGCAGTTTTGCTTCTTAGGCAATTAAAAAGCACAGACAAGTGATTTAAATTAATGTAAGAGAAATCTAAGCAGATGAAGTAGTTTCTTCATTTTTAAGTGTGGAGAAAAAATGCTGGTCACCAGCATTTGAACACTGCCGGAGGCCATTTTCACATTGAGTGGAGTACTTAAATGGAAGGATCCACTTTAATAGACTGTCCACAATTAAACTTCTTGATGTTTAATTCATAAAGCCCAAGTAAGTGTACACCTTAGTGGATACAGGGGGTTTCAAAAAGTTGAACTTGTACTACAAGTCTAGTTATCAGTGGGTCAATTCAAATACTGACAGATAACCATTTGTTTTTAACATGTATAACAATATGACAACATATAATACAGGCTAGGTTCAATTTTGTAGTAGATTTTTAAATAAAAACATGTAATGCTTCTGAAATGTATTTTTGCACAAACTGGATCAGGATTTTCAAATGAGATTGTACAAAATGGTTGTAGTACAATTTGTATTTAATAAATTATTTTTTCCTTTGTACATGCTTTGTAGCTTTCTAATTTAACCAGGGTACACTTGATGTGTTGAAAAGGGCATTTTCTGATTCCTTACAAAACAAAAGAGTGAAATAATCTCCAAGTTTCTTTTATTACAAATATACTTCTTTCTTACAACAGAAGGCTAATTTTCTTTGGCCATATTACCCGTTGATAGATTTCCTTTGCTTCAGTAAATATCATAGTCAAGTCACCATAATTGTCAACTGGGACAAGTCACACAGGAGAACTTGAGACCGAAAGTTGGTCTTAACTTGAATAAATAATTTGGTCTATTTTGATTCCAGGTAAATAGTCAGTAGTCCACTTGAATAAAGTGACTTTTTGTTAAAAACTGGCACAATACAACCTGCAGGCGGGAGACTACTGGATCAAAGCCCACTAAAATTTTGACCAGTTGACAGCAACTTAGGGTCTCTAGGCATTTTGTGAAATCTACCTATACATGATCAAAATGACTGAATATACTTGTGGGATATCTGCATGGTTTAGGCACCTCAGAAAGGAGAGCTTTCCACAATGATTAAATTACATTATTGCTTATAATAGAGACAAACACAATAACCCCTATATAAATGTCTACATTTCTGAACTGTCTCATAACTGGAGAAATCTTTCAAAGGGAGACAAATTCTCTGCCCTACATACAAGCTGTAGCTCAAGCTTCAAAAGCTGTGTGCCAGCTTCCTCATACATTAAAATTTTCTGATATGCTTGCTTATCAGATAATTTGTATACGTGGAGAATTGACAATGAAGACGCTGGTAAACATCAGAAATGAAGCTCAGGAAAAGTTACCCATGGCTATAGAAAAAAGTTTATCCTTTAAGTAAAAAACAACAAAAAAGGATTTTCTTTATCCATAAGCTGACTAATTTTGTTCTAGGTAATAACACGATGAATAAATGTCATTCCAAATCAGCACTCTGACTCCAAAATAAATAGTAGAGAATGTGTTCACAAACATCACCTGTGTAGTAGTGTCTTGAAGAACAGTTTCTTCACTGTCATTAGGTGAAAAGAAAAATTGACACTGCAATCATTAAGAAATGTTCAAACTGGGAAACAGAAAAAATAATTATTTCTACAGAAAAATATGTCTAAAGATGGAGACAGCTGTTCTTGAAGTTTCATTCAAAACTCACATTTTGTAAAGTGACCAGAAAATAGGATTAACAATACATAAATAACTTGATAATATTCTATAAAACTTTACTACCAAATATTACTCCAATTACATTGTCTTGGGTATATAACAAATTAATCAGCGACTAGTTTATACAACAATGAATGAGATATTATAACATCTTGATAATATTCTATAAATCTTATTACCAAATATTACTTCAATTACATTGTCTTGGGTATATAATAAATTAATCAGCGACTAGTTTATGGAACAATGAACGAGACATAATTGTGCAAAAATATGGGAAATGAAGTCATCAGCGTGACAAAAGCATAACAAGCCCTGCTTAATATATATAATAAATATTATAAATTATAGACAATGTTGCATATTTGACACCATTTGTCACTGTCAGCATGAATACTGTGATAAATTTCACAAAAGCTAAATAAGAGCACACAAAATGTGGGAACCATTTCCAAACATGCTGAGTACACAAAAATAAAGCTTCAGTCCATTTACTGTAATTCTCAATGAAGATGTTATTGCATTTAGAAAAAACCCTGAGCAAAAAATAACAAAGTAAATAAGGAAGTCACATTTGATTACTGCACTTCCTCATTATGAACATCTTCCCCTGTTAAATATCATGATCAACCTGACTTTTTCTTACAAACAGTATTGTCCAGAAGTAACTAATAATAGCACAGCAGATGAGTGACTTTCAATATCTGACTAGCCCTTGGCATAACCCCCCTTCCCCCTTCTAGTAATCTTTGAAAACTTCAGTAAAATAAATCTAGAAATTTGAGACTAAATTTTTCTTTCCAATAATTTAATATAATATATTGAGACAGCTTAGTACCCTCCTTGGTCTTTGAATATTTTGAGTATCTCCTCATTATGTGGATTTTCCTTTCCTAGGAATCCAGGGAGGTTCCTCTCCAGGTAGTCCCACACGATGTCTGAGAACATGGCATTTGCCATCTGGAAATACAGAAAATCACATTATATTTCATGTTTAATTATATCATATTATTTATGTGTATTGTTATAGGCCCCATTCAGAATAGGGGAATAACTAGTCTGAGGGTCAAATATGGCTGACCCACTTGAATACTTCCCCACGGAGAATCTATTTAGCGTCTATTAGTGGATTAGACAGCAAGCTTTGTAGTAGATCACCGTAGTTGACCCCTGTTCTAAATGGGGCCATATTCTATCATATATCATTTTATACCTTGTTTGGGTGGAAGCCAACGGCTGGTTCAGCAAGTCACCAGCTGCCAGTGCCACATTACATTATGCTGTGTTGCATTAGGTTATAATACATTAAATACAGCATTTAATTTACCTGGTTTGGGTGGAAGCCATCTACTGGTTCAATCAGCTGCCAGCCAGTGCCAGGACCATGTGTTTTCTCCCATTCAACAAACACTAGAATCAGCAATACATTTTACTTTCATCCAAAATATTTATTTATTTATTTATTTATTTATTTATTTATTTATTTATTTATTTATTATTATTATTGTACTATTTCAATACATGTTGGAAGGCAACTTCAAAAGTTTTCAAACGGTAGATTTTAACCAAATAATTTACAAAAAAAAGATCAGTGGTGTGCCCATTTATAAAATAAGTATAAAATTTTATGACAATATATTTGTATGAAACACACGCGCATGGTTTCACACACCCACTCACACACTCACAAATAAAATAATTAATAATAATAATTTAAAACTTATTCTGGCCAATGGGGCAGTCCATATATATTATAACCAATATCGCACACACGCAAACACTCACACACACATGCATGCACGCACACACACACACACACACCAGTAACTTACACTGGCCAATGGGACAGTCTATATAACCAATATCAAAGTTGGGGTAAGTGTGGTTGTATTGCTTAGCCATATCCTTCATCACCTGACTCAGCTCCTTGGATCTCTGGAGGAAATAAAATCATTTAAACCGTCACAGTTACTTTACATAAACATCATTTTAACCTTCATGTACATCTTTTTGGTTTCGTAATATTAGAACAGTCTAACCAGTTGTGGTAGATAAAACTTCAATGATGGAAAATTATATTCAGTCAGTCCAAGGGTCTGGTAACAATTTTTAAGAGCTGCCATTTTTTCAACGCACAGTCCAGCCAAAGTTCTTCAGTCAGGCAAGTTTTTATAAATGCCTCTCCGAATGTCCAACTGTTAAAAATTTTATCATATCTGGTCATTTACTCATAAAACTATTCCAACTACCTGTTAAATTGAATGCTAGTATTTCTTGCACTACCATCTTTCCCTTCCTTATAGCCAAAACAGTGGTGTTGATTTTCACCAGTAGCCACTGACCCAGATGTAGTACTGCCAGCAAATATCACTGGAAAATATTTTTAGCTTTAGTTCAGCAAAATCTTCTTAACTTACCTGAGATGTCAGATCTCTTAATGTGGAGTTGGTGCTCAACCAGCCCTGACATGGTGTCACCTGGAGATAATATGTGTAATAGCATTAGTCTCTGCAGTGTGTTAGGTGTGACAGTGAGTTAGGTGTGACAGTGTGTTAGATGTGACAGTGTGTTAGGTGTGACGGTGTGTTAGCTGTGATAGTGTCAAGTTTCCTTTGTTCTTATCAGTGTCTGTGATGTAACGATGTCGTAGCTTATAAAAATGCTGGCTGTTATCATAACTTTTATAACTATGTTGAATAATTATGCTCTCATTGCTGATTGTATCAGATTTAGGAAACAATGTCATTGTCAAAAATTGTGTTTTCTTTTGACCTTATTTGTTTGGTTCCTTGCCAGCAAACATGCATGCATATGTTGCTTGCAGGTGCAAGAGAGAGGATTACCTCCGGGTCAGCTCCATTACTCAAACACTAACCCCAAAAGAATATTAACAGTATTCACACACATGCACATGTGCACGTGCGTGTATACAGCTTACCTGTAAACATGAGAACCACTTATAGAGATCTGGATACGTGACATCCTTTTTGTACTGTCCTATAGGGTGGTAACGCTCGTGGAGATATTTGTACAAAAACCTGCCGTCAGCCATTCCTATCATCAGGAGGTGGCTGCCTTTTGGAAGCTGAGAAGCCTGCAAGTAGAAAGATCATATTAACTGTAATGGTCACTTTAGTAAGGATATCTCTGAAACAACAGAAAAGATTAGCACGGCATATTTCATTGTTTATTTCAACACTGTACAGACATGATACTACTGTGGTGTCTGTCCTTACCCAAAATTATTTGATCTTTACACACACACACACACACACATGCACGCACGCACGCATGCACGCACGCACACACACACACACACACACACACACACACACTATATAAAACTTTTAACATACACCCAACTTTTAAAATAAAACTTTTGAACAGGTTTTCATATACTTGTATTATATATCACCTCTATTTGTAGATAAATTTTTGTCAATATGAAACTGGTTTATCACAATAGAAGCATGTACATGACGAATATTTTGTATAAAGAAATAAGCAGCTACTGTAATATATCTGATATTATAAATTAAAACTAGAGGATCAGAGAGGCGATACCGCCTCCGAATATTGTACCACCAGCTGGAGTAAGCGCATTCGTATAGACCCCCACATACACAAAATAAGGGACACAGCCACCAGTCTTGTGCTTGACAAGCTGTAAAAATGCAATCAACAAGAATTTGCAAAATATGCAAAAAATATATATAACTAAAAATGGTACAATCAAAGTTTAGTTCATCGTAAGGTAGGTCAAAGGTCAATTTCAAGGTCACAGTAAGATTGCCAGTATATGACTTCCTATTCAACTTCAATAGTAACTATGGACCTATCTCTGCCAGGTTTGGAGTTATAAGAGAAAGAAATAAGCAGAGTTCAGTTCATGATTATAAGTAGGTCAAAGGTTAATTTCAAGGTCTCAGTAAGATTGCCAGTATATGACTTCCCATTCAAGTTCAATAGTAACTATGGACCTATCTCTGCCAGGTTTGGAGTTAAAAGAGAAAGAAATAAGCAGAGTTCAGTTCATGATTATAAGTAGGTCAAAGGTTAATTTCAAGGTCTCAGTAAGATTGCCAGTATATGACTTCCCATTCAAGTTCAATAGTAACTATGGACCTATCTCTGCCAGTTTTGGAGATAAAAGGGAAGCAAAATTTGCAAAGTTTAGTTCATGGTGAAAAGTAGGTCAAAGGTCAATTTCAAGGTCACAGTAAGATTGCCAGTATATGACTTCNGGCCCTTACCGTCTAGGAGGAGAAGCGGTAACGGTGAGATGGCGGCGGAGCCAGAGGAGCCGGCGGAGCCGCAGGAGCCGGCGGAGCCGCAGGAGCCGGCGGAACATGCGGGTCGGGACTAAAACCATGTGTACCGCCAGCGCCTACGCTGGTGGTACAATAAAGTTCTAAGTTGGGAAGTCTTAGCTAATTCATTTTACTTACGAGATAGTGCAGTGTGCCGTTAATGTTTTTTTGCATATCTTCAGTTGTTGTCATGTGCTTTAATGTGTCTGGATAACTGTTTAAAGCAACAAAGTTTATCAAAAATGTTCATAAAGCACAGGTTGGCAATGATTACATGTAAAATGTTTACAAATTAAAACATTAAAAAAATGGCAAATTGTCAAAGGTCTGGCTCAATACAAACAAAATAACACCAACAACAGCAAACTTTAAAAAAATTAATAATACATAAAGATAATGATTGTGAAAATAAAAAAATATTAAATACAAAAGTAAGCCAAGACTAAGGAATGCTCTGGGTATGTTAATTCAAAATAAATACAGTGCACGAAATTTAAGACAAAAGCAAACCAATATCATGCATCTTTGGCAAAACTTACTGGTTGCAAACGTCGTTCCCTACCAATTCTAATATTACAAGTGCAGGTTGATCTCTCTGTATATGACGCTTGAATCTGTGGATAAAGAAAGTGAAACATATAACCGCATTACACTTTATTTTACTATTGGAGTATTTGATAAAACCATTCATACAATTTTATCTCTCCAATGTCTCTTTTATCAATAAAATATGTGGAAATGCCAAGCACATTTTATTCAAATGATCGTTTATCAATTTAAAAGACTAATCAAACAGATAATATGACGGATTCTAATCTAAGCAAAACATGATTAAGATTTCAAACTAAAAAAGACAAATGTTGCTGTAGATCATATTTTTTCTCACCTTTTTTGATATTTTTGAAGATCAAATGAATTAGCACCTAGAATTAATCAAAAATTAAAAACAAATTTCATAAATTTGATGACATATTTTGAAGCCTACTATTTCATTTGACTGTACATTTGATTGTTCATTAAAAATAGCAATCAGGTAAAGGAAAGAACGCTTATAAATGTTCAAAATATTAATTTATACTTCCAAATTGCAAATGGAAGCCTTTTAAGAGAAACTAAAACAACCCAAAATCACAAATAACAGAATATGATAAAGATTAACAAAAAAAGCAAAAGAATTACTAAATATAATTACAGAATAAGTAAATACACACATATATAACTGTAAGAGAGATATGGAGCAAGAGAGAGAGGAGAGGAAACAGAGAGAAAGAGAAAGAATCCTAAATAAAGAGAGTTTCACTTTACCATTGACGGCCAGGTTATTGTAGTCCCTGTGATTGCACCTGTTGCGTAATTTAAGACGGTGATATACAGACCGTGTGGGACCAGATATGATAGGCCAGCTGATGTTCTTGTACCCTGAATTCAAGTGATGCATAAGAACATATTTAACAGACTGTGCCAGTGTAGAAGATGTAAAAGTGTGGTAGGTGTGGAAGTGTGTTGGGTGTGATAGTATTGACACTTGACAGGTGGACAGTGCACTGATGTGCCGGCGTGAAACATGCATCTCAGATGTACCACTGTCTTAGATATGACAATGTGTTACATATGACAGTTTGCAGATTGTGACAGTATTTAAGATAAAACAATGAAACAGAATTAAAATGTGCTACAAATCCCAGTGTGTTAGGTGTGACACTGGGGACAGTCACAGCAGCATTAGAGGAGACAGACTGTCCAAGTGACGTAAGTGACATCACTCACCAGTTGAAGTGAATGTATTTGGTATATTGTGTTAGAGAAGACAGACTGTCACAATGCCATCACTCATCAGTGGAAATGCTGCTGTATTTGGTATCATATTGTGTTAGATGTGACAGTGTGTTAGAGAAGACAGACTGTCACAATCCCATTACTCACCAGTGGAAGCAGACAGCTGAGGCCAGTCCCCCTCATTTTCTATCACAAAGCTCAAGTTGGCAAATGTGTCCTTGGTAATCTCTGAGGGTGTAAACCACTGCGGTGGGGCATGGAAGTGTGCACCCACTGAGTCTCCCAGTGTAACCACACCTATACTGCCAGTCTCACTGCAGAACTTGTCTTCATACGGCTGTCCTGACTCTGGGTCCACACCCTGGGATTAAAAAAATGTTAAAAGAAAAAAAATTATTTTTAATGACTCAGAATGTTCAACAGGTGCCAACATGTGTATATAATCTCTACAACGTTCCTAAATCCTTACCTTTGGTCTAAAAAAAAAATACAATGTTTATCTCTGACTTTTAAACTTATATTTATTTATGTTTTCTGATCATTTGTACAAGTGCAAAAAATTACTTCAAGTTGAGACATCGTAAAAAAAGTTTATATCAGATTTACAAATTTATCATATTTTGTACAAAAAATGTTTTACTTATTAAAATATTTAAGAGTAGAAGTTAATTTTATGTATTCAAGTCTAAAACATATTTTTTCAGTGCATGAACGGAATTTATCAAAATATCTGTTTTCTGGAATGTTAAAAAAACTTACATATATTCCATTGCAGTTGCTATCTCGCTTTCTGTCAGAGTCTACTGGCCTGCAAAACACAATGAAAAGGAAATAATTCTATGAGAGTACATATTTTTAAGTCTGACAGATCTTTCAAGGAATACTTCTATCATGGGAAACAAAAAAAAAAAAAAACTCTAGCATTTTTTGAATTTTATACAAACAAGCTTAAAAAAATGAGAGAGTATCTGTAGTGGAGGTGGGAAATATTACCTTGCTCCTGGATGATAGTCTGCCACCAGGTCGTGACAGTCTTTGCCTCGCCAAGATGAGCCACGCAGAGTCTTAAAGTAAAAAATGTATATATTAGTGCAAATAGGTTATTCAGAATTTTATAAATTTGGGTAAATTTTCATGCTTGCCGGAAGAAGATAAAACAAAAAAATGCAATTCACACCTGGGCCATTAAAGTATCTGTAAAGAAGAAAACAATTCTGATATGATCTGAGATAAGAATTTTAATCAAACAAAACAAACATAAATAAATGAATAAATGGAGGTACTTACAGAAATGATACTAAATCCATCCCCATCCAGATCTTCCCCAGGTTGATGTTCATCAAATATCCTATTAATAGAAATCAGAACTAAAATAGCAACGTCACACATGACTGTGCAAACATGCTGCCAAGCACAGGACCAGACAGACAAACACAGAAAGAGACAAACACACATGTATCATGTATTATTCAATGTTTATCTTTCCAGTAACTGACAGTCTGTGGGAGTAGTAGAGGATGAAACCCATGTTACTTGCATTATATCACATACTACACACACACATGTATGCACATACTGATAAACACGCACACAAACACATACAAAAGCATGCCCACACCGTCTGCATTTGTCTTATAACCTTTAGTGTCTTGTGCCATTGGAACTTTACCACCTCCCTTTAAATCAAGACAAAAAAGTCACTCAACAAAATCCACACCAAGACAGCCACATGATATGGGTCACATATATCCTACATCCACAGGTTGCATACTCAGCTGCCATTGTCACAGGGGGCTTCTATCAACATACAACTAACAATGGTTCAATAGACAGGTCCATTTACTGACCGTTGTCACTGGGAGCTTCTATCAACATACACCACACAATGGGTCAATGGACAGGTCCAGTTTCTGACCCTGGCACAGTTACAAACTCTACTCTTTTGTGCATATTCCACACGCTGACTGGATTTGGGGTTGTAAGAAAAAAGTAAGAAGTTCTGAAAGGCTTACACCCCATTTCCATAGATTTTTAGATCGCTCTATCCCTGTGGGGAGTCTCACTAGATTACTGTCAGCTTGGCCGGCTTAACTGTCTGTCCCGCCTACTAAAAGCTGTAAGGGGGTAATTAACTATGGTGCCCGCTCGGCTGACTGCAATTTAGCGTGAACCCCCAGGGAGTTAGGTCGATCTAAAACTTAATCCTTAGATCGATCTAAATCTCTGGGAAAGCATCCTTAGTGGCCATTTCATCCAAGAAAATAGTATTTGATTTGGCACAAAAGTCCGACTTCACTAAAATGTCCATACTTTTGGCTAAGATGGGTCCAACAGGCTGTAGGAAGTATTAATTTACATACAAACACATTACTTCTAATGTGTACAGGCAAATGCACACACACACACACACACAAACTTTGGCCTATCAAAGTACACATGGCTTTACACAATCCTAACAATACCCCTACAGATCACGAGATACTGACAAGACTTCGTACTGCATTATACCTATATATAGAATGTTTACTAACAACATTTCTTATCTCTCTCAGTTTTCTCTGTCTCGAGTCAAACTTGAAGCCTGTTTCCAACATGTTTACTTTTAATTGTCATCAGAGGTATATTGTACTTATCAATTACTAGTTCACAACAAGCATATTCAGCTCATCTTTGTACAGTTCAGTCACCAGTTTAAACACACAAACACATGAAAGAAAAATAGAAAGAAAAAGAATGATGACTAACAACTATGAAAAGAATTCTGCACATAAATTTATGGAAAGAATTTTGTACACAATGCACATATCATCTCATATAAAAGAAAATATTTTATATTCAAAAGATCTATTGGTTTATTTTTCAGATTACCTCTCTAAGTAGTCACAGAGATATTTCAAACCAGGAAGAGAACAAATATCAAACTTCCTCAGCAAGATGTTTGCCAAATCTTTTTCAAACTGAAAGTAAAAGTACATATGATGTGGTAAGTTAGATATTTCCCCCACTGAATCTCACAATAAAACTACTGGCATACCTAAACTGCCATTAGACAAGCATATAACTGATTAAATATAATTTTTTAAAAAATCAATTAATTTGGGCTATAGATTATACGAAGTTATAAAACCATAAATGCTACATTTAAATTGTATAATTCTACAGGCTTTTTAGCATATAGAACATTGTCTTTATCTCAGTTCTACAAAGTCAGCACATGTTGCACAGTTAGATGAATGTGCTCTTTTGGGTAAAAGTAACAAAATTAATCAATGTACCGTCTGTATGAGATGTCTTTTCATTCTTTCCTGTCCTCTCTTTATACCTTTGTGCAGGCCATGCTGTAAGACAACACAAACAAATTATACAGTAATGAAACCAAACATGATAAGAATTGCAGTGGACTAAATTTATTTTGGACTCTCACTAATATGCCATTAAAATTTGAGGGCTTCCCATGAATCAAAAGAAAAACTGAATTAAAACAATAAAAAGCAGTGTCATGTGTGTACTGGTCAAAAGTACAGAAAAGGAACAAATGAACAATTTTGGAGAATATTTTCAATTTTCACCTTTGTCTTTTTAATGCAGCTAATAAATAATCTCAAGCTAAATTGAAATATTGTGCTTTAAAACTATCATATTTTCATTAATACTTTCATTACAAAAATGGCTAAAAATAGTCTGTCATCTGATTTTAGCAGTTTAAGCTAATCACCTAAGACTTTAGACTGTTCCAAGATACAGACCACAAGTCACACTAAGTCACTCTTACCTTTGGCTCTGGAAACAGATGACACGTGTCGCTTCCTTTTTCTGTGTAGCAAAGTTTTAAACTGTGACAGATAACATCTGGTGTCTCGTTGTTCTCAAAACTGGAAAGTTGTAACATGTAAGAGAGTGTTTTTCTAAAGTTTCCATGTGTCAGTGTTGATTATGATATATAATTCACTTGAGATCTCTTACAAAAAAGTCCAATAGGATCCTATAAGATCCTATAGGATTCTACAGGATATCGGCCCAATTTCCTATAGGATCCTATAAGACTTTGTCGTTAGGGATAAAATGCAACAAAAATGTGTGGCTTGTGTAAGCAGAGCTATTACTTCCTCATAACTTCTTTCATAATTTTAAAAAAGTTTCCATCACACAAATATGTGTCATTTTCCTGGACCAAACACAAGTAATAAGAAACTTAGGGTGTATTCCCAGAGATTTAGATCGATCCAGGGATTAAGATTTAGATCGACCTAACTCCCCGGGGGTTCATGCTAAATTGCAGTCAGCCGAGCGCGCACCAAAGTTAATTACCCCCTTACAGCTTTCAGTAGGCGGGACAGATGCTTAAGCCGGCTAAGCTGACAGTAATCTAGTGAGACTCCCCACAGGGATAGATCGATCTAAAATCTATGGAAATGGGGTCTTAAACATGAAGAAAATATTTTAAAAAAGCATTTGATCAAATTCCATATACAGTATACTTAGCACAACTCACTAAACCAATGCCACCTAGCATTTCTCTTAAAGGGATCACACTCTGCGCCATATTTCACAATAGATACATTGTAAACAACTCACAGAAATATAATATATTCTATTTTTTTTCACAAAAGTGGCCTTTATAGTAGTTATTCTTAAATATGTGCTTGTCATCAGACCACATGACCTCCACAGGTGGCTATACTCTGTAATAATCTCTTAAGAGATTATTGAAAAAAGAAAAAACTTTTTAGAAAAAAAAAACAGGGACTAACTTTGAATGTATTCATTAACCTTTGGTAAGCATGTGAAAATTGTCTTTTACCCCAGGAAAATTCTTTTTTTTTTTTTTTTTTGGTCAAAATGAAAAGTTGTTATCCTTTTAACATTAATTTCTATTCCAATTCCATTAATATCTATGGAAAGAAGGGCTCTTCACCCTGAGAATCCACTTACAGTTCAATGATAATAGGACCAAAGTACTGTATCCCCAGTTTACAATATACTTGGTACTGCAGGGGCATGTATGTACAGAGTCTCTCCAGAGACATGGCTACCGTCTCATTGTGTATTCCTGCTAACTGCTCCACCAGTCCCAAGGCCACTGTACAGGCTAGACAGGGAGAGAAATGACAGACTATATAAATATACATATAGAGGTACAGAGTCTTTCCAGTGATCAACATGGCCACTGTCTCATTTTGTGTTCTTGCAAACAGGATTAAAATGAGAGACTATAAATATACATGTAAATACAAATATAAATGACACCTTAAATTAATTTTAAAAAAATGACAAGGCCAAACATTTTAAACATCTCCAACAGGTTTGAGGATAATGTACAGAATAGACACAGTAAAAAAAAAAAAAAAAAACCATTCCTATAAAATATTTAAGTAAATACAAATAAACTAAATACATGGCTTGCAATTTAATCTAAATCTCATTCTACCAATTTACACGAAGAGAAAAGGATAAACAGCATATAACCTGAGCTATTCACCTAATTAATAAATAAATACAATTATAAAGTTAAATAAACTGAAATACAAAAAAATATTTATATAAAAAATAAATTAATAACAAGTATTATTTCCCAAAAAATGTCAACATGTACATCTATAAACACAGAAAAAAATAATAATCTTTAAACCAATTTTAGAGAAACAAATGTTATATTTAAGCATCATGCCTATAATTCACTAGTTTCCAACTCCATTATGAAAGGGACTCAAAAATAACATTCCTGTAATTACTACTATAAATTGTATTATTAATATATTATTAAAATGTACAGGTATCTTCAATTTTCAGCACAACTTCACCTCATGCACATGTATAAATATCTCTCAAGGAAGTGGTAACATTACCATGTATTATCATATTCCTTTAAAAAGCAATTGGTTTCATCACCACGTTTACCATTTGCTTTTATTCAGACAAGGAAGCGAAACTTACGACTTCTGCCGTCTAGGGTTTTGTTTTGTTTTCGTTTTCAAATTTCTCAAACACCAAAACCTTACAAAATTTACCAAACATAATTATTTGCAACCCCATGTGATAGGCACCCAAATTAAATGAAGTTTAATAGCCATATGACTGTTTTCTTAAAACTCTACCAACGTCATGTCGCGTGAAAAGTTGTCAACTCGACACCTGCGAGTAATTTTCAGTTGCCAAGCGAAAGAACCTACAAAAATATCTTTAAATGAATGAAAAGAATGAACAACACGTAAAATATAAGCGGATAATGATACATACTAGCACACGTAAAACCCCCGTTGATTCCTCGCTTTTCGTTAATGATGAAGAACGGGTTAACTATCGGTAGAAGTGCCAACACCAAACAAACTTCAAACAACCCTCCCTTCGCCATGTTCCACTGTGTTGGTCAGGTGGGAGTCATGTGACCGTTAGAAAGCGGAAGTGATTGCTCGAGATTTTGCGAGATTAAACCGCCAATTTTAAAAGTTGTTTGTCAATGCCAAAGGCACGGTTGCGGGCGTAGGACGAAGAAGACCGTTTAAAACGAATTTATGAACCGCTGACGGATTTAAAATGGATCCTTTTACACAGGTAAATGAAACGATGACTTAGATTCACAGAAGTTGGGTTTTAACGAGTTCTGATCTCATGTTTTATGGGATGATGAACGACCCATCCCAACCGGCTATGTAGCTGATACTAATACTTCATACTTTTGGAACAGATCAACCTCATACGTTAACTAATATAAATTTTATTTGATACTGTGAAGTAAAATTGATTAGAATGCTCATTTCTATCGGTTGTAATTTGTGTTTCTTTATTGTGGCATATTATTCAGATTTATCAGATTAGAAATTTAAAATGGTGTCGACTAGCCAACCCCTCCCTTGGCGCACGCCTAGTAAAGGTTGTATTTGATTGCAACAGTTTAAACATAAGTGTCCTTAATTTCTCTAATTTCACAGAATTGTGAAATGGTGATTATTACTAGTAACTAATTACAAGGCCAATCAGAAAACTGCCCTCATTAAATTGGAGCTGCCAGGATTCGAATTTTGTAAAACAAATTTATCTGTGGAAATATGCTTGCAAAGTTCTATAATTCTTTAAATGATTTTGATTTTCAGAGCAGTGATTTAGACACCTCAGTTGCGGTAATATTTTCAAAATAATTTGCATGTCAAATGATCCCTAACAATAGCTATAAAAGTTACTGGAGGAAACTTCAAAATGGTTTACTTGTAATAACATGTTGGGTCAATTTTTTTTATTTTCTGAGGGTTCTCAGTCTATTTTACTTTCATGGTTCTTAGAAAAAAGTTTAATTGGGACACTAATATATTATAACTAACAGTATTTCCCTTCACTTAAAATAACTTGTACAAGGCATGCACAGATTTAACACGTACTAGTCTGCATGCTTCAAATTTGACATGCTTAGATTGAGGATGAGGTGAGAATTTTAAAGGCTTTCAGGGAAAATGGAACATTGGGAAGGTTTAATGTCTTCAAGTTTATCATCAAATCAGGAAATCTGAATGAACAATATGCAGCTTTGCTTTAATTTAATTTTTTTGTTCCACTCACTTTAACTGTTAACAACATGTTTTGCTTGAAGCTGTAAAATTATTTGATCATTGGATAAAACTTCAAATAGTAACTGCCCTGCATTCCGATGAACCACAACATTCCACTTGCTCTGTCAGGTGCCAAATACCAAGTCTTGGATATCTGTGTCATGCTGCATGGTTCATGGCATCTTAATAACCTTACAACATGTGTACAACTGTCTACATGTCTTTGAATGGACCAGCTGAGTAATAGGAGAGCCTGAAGAAGTGCAAATTACAAAATCTTACTCAGTACTGGCTAAGTTCAAACTTGACAGACTGGTATTTGGTGCAGGGCCAATGTTCACATTGCAGACTGATTGAAAACAGTTGATTCATTCCAGTTTAAATCTTGGGGGTGGAATTTGGTTTTTCATTGGAATGTTAATTTAATGAAAGATTAAAATTAATTCAATGAAAGATTCTGCTTTTCTTAGCAAAGGTAAATTGTGTTCTACCTTAGTTTTCAGAGTTGACTAGAAACCAACTTTATTTTCATCATGTTTCTGGAGTTACAGAAAACTGACACTTGATGGTTATTATGTAAAAAAATATTTGGCAAAAATCCTAAGTGCTGATTTACCTGTGGAAAAAAGTTGATATGAAATTCAGAATCATGTGAAAGATGGTTATATTTTAAATTCATGTTTGCTTATTTTGGAATTTCACATTGTTGTCAGGTGCTTTGTCCTAGACGTTGAATGCTGGAGTCATTATTTACAAAATACACTGGGGCTAAATTTTAGACATTTGAGGGGTAACCTGATACCTGTTTCTGTTAGTTTAGATGGTGTTTGGTAGTTTATCCGGTGGATGAATATCATTAGGACATTTTTTTATTCAACCTTGGTTAAAAAATTGTCTGACTTATGCACTACATTTATAAAACTAGCACTAGAGATACTTACATACTTGCCAAGTATGGTTCATTACAAGCTTATTATTGAAATTTTCAATTGAAGAAAGTGCTTAGTACTAATAAGCTGATGTAGAATTATCCATAATGACCCCTTCCACAAAAATAAAGAATGGGGATTAATGGTAAATTTAAATTTAAGGTTAATGATAATCAATGGGCTTGTTCAATTTTTTAATCATGACAAGGACCATTTTCTAGATTATGCCCTTTTTACGCTAGAATTGTTCAGTGTCATGCTGTTTTTTGTAGAAATTGTTGGAGCGCACTCGTCAAAGGCGCGAGCAGCTCACTCAGAAGATGGCAGAATCTCCGCGTGCTGCTCCACGAAAACGACGCACGCCTCTCGCTGAGGATCTGACGGATAATATTGTGCAAGAAGAAAATATAGGTAAATGAAGGAGCTTCATGGATCAACTTTAAAGTGCTAAATCCAATTTAACCTCCATGCATTAAGTTTTAAAAATGTTAGACTTGAAAAAAGTTTCAGCTGTTTTTATTTTTGATCACATTCTGAGAATTCATTGATCACAGTGGACTTTATGTGATCAGTTCAGTCATCATCATTTGAACATTAATTATTTGTATTTTTAAATCTCAGATGATGACTCCCCAAACAAGCGCCAGTGTGTGCGCGAGGCAGAGCGCGAGATGAAGGCTGACACGCCTGCGGTACAGGGAGTGAAGTCAAGAATGCAGAAACTGGTGCAAGAACAGAACAAATGGAAAGATGAGAACGGTAAGGGGGCTAGGGTCTAAATGATGGAATAAAATAAATTATTATGTTAAAACTAAAGTTAAAAGTACAATGAAACTTCAAATACAACAATTAACTAACTACAATCAACAATAACCTAAGTTTACTTTATTCATTTCTTAAAAGGCCATGTTTTAGGTATTTGATCAAATGGTATTCTTAACAGTTATTAAATTCAGTATACCAGCTCCAAGAGTTATCATAACAATAGATAAATAATAACTAAAGCTTACATGTTTAAGTTCATAATTTCTGAAATTTTGGTTCACCCCAGCTTTGTGAAGTGTAGCTTTTTATTTAGTTTGAAATATTAATTAAGCTAGAAATTGTCCAGAATCTGGTTGAAGAGTTCAACATAACCCTAATGTCTTTGTTATATTAACTTTAAGTGATTATTGCAATAAAAGTAACTTGAATAATTATGATAATAAAAAAAAATTTAAATGAAAATTATAAATTTAGGTGGTGAGAACATGGAGGTTGAACAGCCAGTGGCAAAGCCCCGGGATCCCGACCCCGCATCCCCTCCCCAGCCGACCCCCACTGCCAGGAAGAACCGCCTGGCAGCCCTTGCCCAGTCCATCAATAACTGGGAGGATGACCTCACACACCACGAGTTCAGGTAGGGAGTTGTGACATGTGGCTGTTGGGGGATCTGCCAGATACAGCTTTTACTGTGAATTTAGAAAATTGTACAAGGCATCTGTTTGATCATTGTGTTATAAGTTATGTCAAGATGCTAAACATTTTGATTTGGTCATATGAAGTTAAAAATATATTTTACTGTTTTAATCAAGTTTATCATTTATATAGTTTCCTTTTTTTTTTTTTTTTTTTTTTTTTTTTAAGGCATAGCCTTCACGCTGTCTTGAAAATGAAATCAAAATTAAACATTCCCTCTAAGCTTAAAGACAAAAATTACCAAGTCTCAAACTTGAAATATGCTTTGCTTTAATTCTAGACCTAAAGAAGAAAAACCCAAGAGAGTGTGGCAGCCTCCACCTAAGCCAGTGGAGACCAAGCCCGCCTCCCCCAAAAAGTACCCAGCGCCCCAAAAACCAATTGAAACCAAGACTGCCTCCCCGAAGAAGTACCCTGCCCCTAAGGCGCCATCACCACAGGAAAGCACGACCACTATCACCACCAAGTCTAAACCTGTGGAGACGACAGAAAGAACAGAGACCATCGAGACCACCACGACAAAGATCACGGTGACGCGTAATGGTGGCAGCATGAATATCAAGGTGTCTGGGGAGAATGGGGATTTCGAGGTCGCGCCGAGCAAGCCGCCCAGGACCTATGAAGCTGAAATCCCTGTGGTGGTGAGCAGGCAGAGTCAGAGGTGAGAGTTGTCTGTCTCAACCTACCCAGTTCATTTTTCAGTTTGGATCCCCCAAATAAAAAAAAGATATATGCCAAATGAAAATGGACATATTTCCGTCTGTCTGATTGGACTAGTAACTTCCAATCCAAAAATCTCAGTTTTAACCTATGAGATACCTCAGATATGTCACTTACATTGAAAGCCTACATCCTAAGATATAAAAATGAATTGTTATCCATTGCTGCGTATGTTTTCCCAGAGACTAAGATCTGAAGATGTAACTCGGTATTATACACAAACAAATAATGATTTGGAAGATGATGAATAAAGTAAAAATGATATTAATCATAAATCCTTTTTTTTTTTTCCTGAAAGATAACAACACTGTAACCTTTCATTAAAATCAAGTTGCTTTCTGCTACGTACAGATAGTGCCACAAACAAACATTCAATTTCAAACACTTTAGGAACGTTTCCTCTCTATTTCAGCACCACATCTGTGCAGAAGTCCACGGAGCCAACCTCCTCTCAGAGCTCCTATGTGAGTAAACTAACACTGAATGTTGGCAAGAAAGAGGCATGTAATAAGCCAGTGGAGGTGAGAGCTGACCTCAGAGGCCTTTAGGCTAGTAGAGCTTGCGGTGTGAAGTAGAATGAATTTGAGTTTGTGGTGGAGTTCCTCGTAACCTTCTTAACCTGTTTAATTGTTTGTTTGTATATAATTTGGCCCCTGTGCCTTTTCAAGGAATGTTGAGACAAGAGCAAAACCCCTGAGGTAGCCTTGATGTGGATTGAAATTAATTCAGTTGTCCCTCACCCTGTCCTCTGTTTGCATGTCTGGTATATAAGATACATTAGGATGTGGTTTGGACTTACTTGGGCTCACTCTAGCATAGAAGATTTATGCCTAATGCTGAAAATTTTCTTATTAGGCTAAGGAAGATCTAAAGAAATTAAAAGTGAAATCCTTGTTTCTCTCTCTCTCTCTCTCTCTCTCTCTCTCTCTCTCTCTCTCTCTCTCTCTCTCACACATGAAAATTAAAAATTCTTGATTTGACTAAAATAATCCAAATTGTTAGCTCAGAGTGAGTCCAGTAGTAGTAGTAGGCAGTTTTAACTCATGGTGTCTGTTAGTGTATACTATGTGTGATCAGTACAATGGTTTGTGGAGTTCCTCTCTCCTGTTTTCCCCAAATGTCTGATTTAGCATTGCATGGTTAATCTTATTGCATGTGTTTGCTGCATTATGAGCTCTCAAAACTTAATTGGTTTCACAACTTATTATAATATCTATATTAACTTTTGCATGTGGCATTGAAGTTAGTGCTTCACTGCATGTGTTTATGTCTTGAAACTGTTTTCTCTGAACCAGTGGTGTCACATTTATTCTCTTGTATTCTATATATACACAGTAGGTAAGATGTTGTCAGATATGAAGGAATTCAGCTTCAAAACCATAGCAGCTTGGCTTTGAATGTTAATTATACATCATTACACATGTCCAGAGGTAGATTGAAAATGAAAAATGGTACTGGTGTCAGAATATCAATAATCAAGTCCTAATAATTATGAAATAATGAAAGCAAAGTAGAGGCAGATTTTGAAAAAGAGATTATATTTCTATTTAATTTCCCCATCTCAGGTTCAGATTGGTATAGATGGGAAGAAGAGGATCGCGCCTGCCCTACGCAAGGGTGGTATCCGCGAGGACGAGCCAACAGCCAAACCAGTCAACCAGCGCATGGCTAACTGGGAGAAGATCACGAGCCAGGAGGACGGCAAACGCCCGTCGGCCCAGTCAGCCCCCTACAAGGCCCCAGAACCCAAGAAAGCCCCCTTCAGCAGGCCCCCTGTTCCAAAGTCCACCACCAATGCTAGCACTAAGACTGCCCCTGCCAACAGCAACCCTGGCAGGCCCCCTCTTCCTAGAGGTGTAGCCCCTGGCGGAGCCCCAGTGAATGCGAGGCCAAGAGCCCCTGAGTCTAATGAGCCGGACCCCACTGACCGGTCAGTGATGTCCAGGATGGGGATGTGGGAAGACAGAGTCCGTAGCACTGCCCAGAATGCTCCACCCCGTCCCAACCAGCCGTCCACTGCCCCCATGACCAGACCTGCATTGAAGCTGCCCCCGGGGTCTGTCCCCAAGGTCCCTGCGGCACCTGTCACCCCGGCTGCAGCTGTGGGATCCTCTCCTGCTAAGAGCAAGGACTCCCCAGTCAAATCTAAAGTGCCTGGAGTGAAGTCACCTGCCTTGTCACCTACCAAGGTAAGCCTCAATGGTGACATATGTTCATTGTGTTCTATAAAAGTGTCTAGTTTTCAGTCTTGTGTGCACATTTTGATTGATTTTTTTTCATTTTCATTTGCAGCTCCTCGATTGAACATTTCTTTCCACATTAATTTATTTATTATCTTTTAATATTATCATTTTCAAATAATTTATTTCATTATTTATTTCTCTGTCACAAATCAGGCCAGTGCTCACATGCGCGCCATGCAGGAGAAGCTTATACAGAACATGAACAAAGGCTGGAAGGATAACGAGATAACCGCCAAGGTCCTGGCAGAGCGCGAGGCGGAGATGAAGCAGCTGGAGAACCGCTGGAAGGACGGAATACCTTTGGAGAATGAAAATGAGACAAAGAAAGCGGAGCCTGTTGTGGTGCCACTCAAACAGGAGGTCAGTTGTTCACGTTGCTTCCTTTTTCTCTGAAATATAATTAATTTAAATAACTGCTGATCAAGTATTAAAAAATATACTGTAAGTTGTAAGCAAATCTGAGTCAATTTTTTTGTACAAGCATATTTGGTCTTTTTTCCATAAAATACATTTTGAAGATTTATAAATGATTCCATTTGGTGTGATATGCCTTTCTCTGTTCCAGAACATCTGTACCTTGATATAAACATCAAAATCATTTCAGGAAATGTCATTGTTTCATATTACTTAGAAATGAAAACAATCTGTAATGAATAAATCAATATTAGCACCACAGTATAGGTATGAATAGATTTAGAAGTAGTGTTATAATATAATATTTCCCAGCAGGCCTCAGCACAACCTGTTCCAGCAACCAGGAAACCATCTGGATCAGGCAGTAGTGGCAGTAGCAGCAGTTCTAGCGAGACTGAAAGCAAAGGACCAGGTATATCCACTTTGCTTCCTTTCCTCTCCAGGTTTTTGTGGTTTTGTTTTGTTGCTTCATCCTTGCAGCTTTTTTCCCCAATATTGTCCAGAAAGGAGACCAAAGTGGATAAAAATTGGGTGCCAAGGTTGTATTGGGTTTTTACGTAGAAGCTTCTCGTATTGATTTTGAGAATCTTGATTTTGTGATCATGTGACAGGTAAAACCGGTTCCCACACCTCAGCCAAGAGTGCAAGTGCCGAGCGCTCCAGCGCGGGCAATCCCTGGCAAACGGGAAGACGCTAGGGCTAAGCTCAGATCAGGTAGACTGGTGTGGCATAGATGGCAGGCTAACCAAGGCGGGCTTCAGTAGTTGCTTACCTTATTACTCCGTAGCAGCTTGTAGTATATTGTCTGTGTGTGTTGTCAGTGTTCATGTTTTGATGGCTTCAAAACTTGGTGTTTTGTAAAGTGTTATATACAGTCTGTAGCGTGGTGTCTTACACGTCTTACTTGGATGCCAGTTCTGTTAAGTTTAATGCTTCATTCATCAGAACTAGTGTTACCATTGTGACATTGTGCATGTTGTTTTGTCTCCTTGAGAAAGCTTAGTGGTAGCCAGTTTAACCTGCATGTGCTTTCTTTGTTTGTTCTTAAAGTGTGTATCTGAATAATCAGTTATATAGATATAATTGTGTCATGTGCAGTCAGGAGATTCTTCATAATGTTCAGAGGAATTCAGATCTCTACATGTCCGGTTTATTATAGATTTTGCCCAAAATTCCAATTTATGCCAGTAAATTCTTTTGTTGTTAAACTCCTTTCTCCCCCACCCATTCTGTGTTACATGTTGTGACCTAACTTTTTACATTCTTTGTTTAAAATATGTCTTTCTTGGCAACACTATAAAAGTAAAGATGTCTAAGGCTAAATTTAGATTATTGTGGCTTTGTGTCAGTTTTAATATTGTAATTTGGCTTTAATAAATAATTTAGATTGAAATTTACTTGAAATGGAGTCATCTTATTAAGCAAACCCTACTGAGTAATTGAGTTTTTTCTTCCCCTTTGTTCAGACTTTGAGGGCAAGTTAAATGCCATGGGGTTTGAAGTCCAAAGCACAGCTGACCTTCAGGGAAATAAGTCAAAGGTCGCGACCCTCACCTTGGCCCAGCAGCAGCAGCAGGCCAAGATGGCAGAAGCAAAACCACAGCCAAAAATCACTGTAACAGAGGAGAGTTATCAGAGAACTACCGTCAAAAACCAGAAGACAGCCCATGATTCTTTTGATGACAGTGAAGATGGGAGCGATGAATCCTTTGAAGCCACCATGAGCAAGTACTCCGCTGTGGCTGACCCCAATTATAATAGAGGTCAAGCTCAGACTAGTCGCCAGGCAACACGACAGGCATCAACTGCGTCTATGGCGAGCAGCCAAAGTGCCACCAGCGAGACCAGCAGTCAGTACAGTGAGAGGAGAGACAGAGGGGAGAGGAGCAGCGCAGATGACGAGTACGACAGCCAGAGTGACTATGACGACGAAGATGAGGAGGGTGAAGAGGGAATTGATGATCTTTTAGATGAAGCCATGGATGAGTCTGAGGACTCCATGCAGGATGAAAAGGTATCATTTTTACTTCACCTTCTATGTGTTCTGATTGTCTTTGTTAATATGAATTAGCTTGGTGATTTTTTTTAAAATATAAATGTTAATTTATGAGTGTATATTTTTTATTCAGGTTTAATTTTCATTTTAATTGAGATTAAGTTGTCAACTTCTATATTCTGCTGGATAGATGTGTATCAAAACTTGGAGATATCAAGTTCTTACTATTTCCTTGGTATTTTCTATCCCAGGGTGCCCCACAGAGAAGACCTCCAAATGGAAAAACGGAGCGTTTGATGTCTCCCAAAGTGGCGTCGTGTGAGAGTTTGGTCAGCTCAGATGGAGAGAAGCCTCTGGTCCACACTGTCTCTTTTTACAGGTCCACCAGGTAAAATATTTTAATTTATTAGTTTGTTTACAAATTGTTATGATTTTTTATTATTATTATTTATTTATTTTATTTATTTATTTATTTTTTTAATAATTCCAATCATAACTAGTGTCCAGTAATTGTGTAGATCTTTTGATAATGCTCTTTAGGTGATAATCAATCCTTTTAAGAATAATGATTATAAAACCAAAAGATCCTGAATTTTGTATGAAACGTTTCATTTTCCCTCTCTGCACCTTGTTCACCTCCAGGTACAGTAAGAATGGCCCAGCCCCCAAGATGACCATCGTCCGGCACACCTCTCACTCTCGGTCCACTGAGGAGGAGGAGGAAGAGGAAGATCTGCCCTATATGCCTGAGAGGTCCATCAAACAGAAGATACAGGTACGGATTGAGAAATCTCAGACTATTTGTTCATCTTGGTACTCTGTTTATTTGTATTCCATGGAGTTTCAGGAGGTGGAGAGTGAGGGGCATATGGCGATTTTTTTTTTATTGACGTTTATCGCTCTCTTGTTGAGCATTACTTTTGTCTGTTTGTTTGTTTATTTATTTATTTATTTATTTATTTATTTATAAGAAGTAGATCATTGCTTTTATTATATAATTCCCTTAAGTTTCAGGACACTTTAGGCAGATGCTTAATGAAAAAATAAAATTGTTATACATTATTCTCTTTAATTTTCTGTTTGTTTGCTCATTTATTTATTTATTTATTTATTTATTTATTTATTTATTTATTTATTCCCCCAGGAGCTCCAGGACCTGGTGAGTCAGGAGCAGAATGTGATCATGCAGACCAGCAATGCTCTGAACCAGTGTTGTGGTGGGGGCTCCAGCTTTGCAGGCTCCACAGAGGCTGTGGAGTGCAATCGACTGCTGCTCATGGCATGTAGGTACTCTCACAGTAACTGGATTTATTCTGATTGAGCATTTTTCGAGAGAAAAAAGTTTCAAGGAATCATTATTTAGTGATCATGAGAAAAAATATCCCATGCACACTATGATCTATTGTAAACTGCACTTAGGCTTAGTGTGCTGTATACAAGAAGTAGACTTTACTTTTATAAAAGAGTGAGGAATATACAGTGTTTCCATAGTCTGTTGACAGATATTGTAAGTCCAGGAATAGCTTAAAAACTTGGGTGTTTATGACAAGCCCACTATTTCCTAATTTGTCTCTTCAGGTAAGAGACGCGAGGCTTACCTGGAGGAGATTCACCGGCTGAAGAACAGACACGCCAAACCCGACCAGAACAAGGGGAAGGGCTCCCTCACCATTAGCGACATCCGCCTGCCTCTCAAGAAGGACTTTGTGTCCAAGATAGGGTCCAAGGATGGTACGTTTTCAAGGGTCTTATTCAAAAAATGCACACACACACACACACACACCCCCTACCTATGCCAAAATGCTTTTCTCATGTTGTTAGCATATTCTCTGTTAAAGCTAGTCAATCATAAACATTTTGTGTATGTGGTCTGGCCATTTTTTATTACCCTCTTCAATAATTAAGTTCTGGTTTTACTTATTTATTTATTTTTTCTGATAGATCTGGTAGATCTTTAAATGAATGAACAAAGAAAAGAAATGTTGTTAGATGTATCACAGAAAAAAATGGACTGTAAAAGAATGATTTTCTTAAAATTCCATTAAAAAATTATTTTCCAGACACTGCTGTCCACTACTTCCTGATCGTGCTGCGTAACGGTCCTCATGTGATAGTGACTCAGATGGTGTCCACTCATGACCCCATGGTCAGAGGAAGTCTGGACTTCCCGAACCTCATCAAACTGAACGACGTCAAGAGTGGGTTCAGATATAACCTGGAGGTGTATGGAATGGTTAGGATTATTATTATTATTATTATTATTATTATTATCAATAAGTGGGTTTACATATATTACCTGGAGTTGTATGGAATGGTGAGGTTTATAATTTTTAAACATAAATTGTTTAAGGTTTGAGATATGTTTTGAAATAGATTTTGATCATTTCATGCTAATATTTGAATGCACAAAAAGTCACTTTTATTATAACACATCCATATTTATTTGTAATTCCAGACTGTGCGTCGTGATGTTCATATCCCAGCCAAAGATACACCTAAGAAGAAGGGTTTTACTCCTAAGAAGTTACTGGGATTCAAGGGAAAAGGACATTGTGAGTAAAAAAAAAAAAAAAAAAAAAAGCATTCTGCGTTAATGTTTCAGTATATTTCTACAAGAATACAATTTCTGCCCAAAATATCATGTTTTTATTAACATTACTATTTAGTTCATTTCATTGTTTGATTTTATTGCATTTTATGCAAGAGAATTATGTTGGACTATCTCTCATTGGTATAATCATATCATAGATAAACAAGGTATAAAAAAAAACAAAAAAACTTGATTTGAGAACCCTTTTCAAAACGTTTCTTTGTAATTATTAGCGTCATTGCACAGTCCAGGAGGTCCCACAGCAGTGCGTTCCACGGCGTTCCAGCAGATTGCCCTTCTCCCCATCACCATGGACAGCCTGCACCAGTCATCATTTGGTCTGGAGAAGGTGCCGTTCCTCTGCCCCCTACAGGGGACCATCCACCTCAAGTTACGCTGCATCATGGAGTCCAGGATAGAGGAGCATGGGTTCCTGGTGGGTTCTCTCTTTCTCTTTCTATCTCTCTCTCTCTCTCTCTCTCACACACACACACATACACACACATTCTCTCTCTCTCTCTCTCTTTTGATTTGGCTAAAATTTTCTCAAAGTTTGTCAAAAAATTACCCAGATTATTACACAGTAAGAGCCTTTTCCTTGATACAATTTCTTTACTGCAGTATGTAAAATTTTCAGACCATGTTTGAGGACGTGAGCGGGTTTGGAGCGTGGCACAGGCGTTGGTGTGTGCTGAAGGACAACAAACTAAAATACTGGAAATATCCAGATGATGAGAAGATTAAGGTATGTGTAGGACCAGCCAGGTGGTCTTTTGGAAAAATTGGAATAAAATTTTTATTCTATCAAATTGATTTTTTTTTTAAATTACAAGATTTTTTACAGCTATATCTGTGTAAAAATATATATGCCAACTTTTGAAAGGTAGATATTTTTCACTCACAGAATGACTGAATAAAACTTCAGTACAAGATTGAGACGGAAAAAAAAATGGATATCTTGTAATCCTGTATGCTAGAAAAAAGTGGAAAAGATATAAAAATATGTGTCTTTCCAAACAAGCCAGTGGTATTCAGTGTCAGTGTATTTATTTCAGGAACCCATTGGTTCTATTGACCTGAAGCGTGTAATCACAGACGTGGTCGGTCTGGTCACCAGAGACGTGTGCGCGCGACCAAACACCTTCCAGCTTCTCATGGTGAAAGATCCCAGAGAGAACACGCAGACACTCACCACCAAGTACTACAACACAATTGCCACAGACTCGTAAGTTTTACTACTAAGAATAGATTCTGGGAACTACAATACAACTGCAACTGTGTTGTATGTTTTACTACTTTATACATCACGTCTCTTCATGGTTAAGTGTATGTTGAAAGCCAAGTGATGTTCAGCTTAATTTTTTGAAATAATATTATATTTTATTTTTTAATTACTATATTCTTAATTACTTCAATAACTAATTATATATATATATATTTTTTTTTTTTTTCATTGATTATTTTATATATCAAAATCCCGTGTAATCTTGAACACCACTATCTTCACCTTTCAGTCACCTGCTATCTGCGGACACTAAAGAAGACAGACTGGTATGGTGCAATAAACTGAATGAGGCGCTCACAAACCTACGAACATGGCACGCTGACGCCCTCAAACCCATCAAGAAGAAAACATCCAACATTTAAGAAAAATATAACTTTGCATAATGACAATTAAAAAATAAACCCTGATGGTTGGCACTGTAGGGGGTTTTTGTAAGAATTGAGTTTTCATTCTTTGTGCCCTCTTCTTCATTTTCTAATCTCCAATCATGCCCCTCAAGCATACACATTTTGAAGACTTGAAGATGAAGTTGCTTTCACACATTGCGCTGAAACTTTGGGTGTGAGAAAATTCAAGTGGGCCAAAAAGAAAAAAGGACTTGAATAGTAATTGGTTTCTTTCCTTAGAGAAATATTTTATGAACGTAACTCATATATCATATCTATTTAAAAAGCTTAACCCTGAAGCTTAAGTCACATAAACTTGCCTCAGGTAATACTCCTATATCACTCGTACCTGAAATTTTTTTAGATCATTTTACCAGCATGTTAAAACAGTGAATGTTATCAAAGCATCATGCCATATGCTACCTATCATAGCTCTTGGTGAGGACAAGCATGTTGAGATTTTATGTGTGTGGTTGTGAACATGAAAGAGGAAAATAGGACTGTAAGTGGATACTGATATTTATTTTTTCCTGATTATATAATCTCTATGAACCTCACAGACTATATATTATTATGCAGGAAAACTATTTACTTTGGATAGATCCGACCATTATTATTGTAATGGTTATTAGCATTGAAACGAAGATACATGAACTGATAATTAGAATGATTATATCCCATAACATTAATTTGCCTGCTCTGGTGACAATAGTAATACTTCATTAGTATATATGACAATATAATACATATATCTGCCAAAATCATGACACATGGATTGTTCTTTGGTGTTTTGAATAACTTCTTAAACTGCTGAGATGTTGAGTTGTCACTAAAAATGACAAATAACTGGTAATTATCAGTGATGGTGTAGATATGTATGGAAAATAAAATGTAAATAGATAACCATGAACGTAGAATATGAAATGTGCGTTTTGTTATTTTGCTTCTTTTTTTTTTATGATAAAAAATTAAAGATGCATACAAAGTCAATTTTTTGTCACAAAAACCAACCAAATGCCAACATATAGTTTCAAGTAGTATAACTAAGAGAATTACCAAAAGGCATTGTGTAATTTTACCCGAAAATGATGTTTGAACAGATTTTTCTGCTAGCATTCTATGCTTTATGTCAACGGGGCAGAAAAGTAGGTCACGAAAGTAGATTAAATTTCTGACCAAAAATTTAAAGAAAGGAGCAGTCTACAGATCTTTTATGGCTAATCGAGTGATCTATTCTGTTTATCCCTTGGGATGCCAAATTTATTTGAGTCATATAAGAAACTAGTAGAAGTAGTTTACATGTGTTACTGGGAACCCACGCTCCACCAATTCTCGGTTCGTATGTACCTTTAAGTGAAATGTTTATTAAACACATGAACATTGAAGTCCTAAGTCCATGACATATTTGAATGGCATTTATGGATAATTTTGTATCTGCAACCCTTCTACAGAGGCATTGGCAACTACATTGACTGCTACATCATTGGTTGCTTCAACACATATTAGACTAGTAAACTGAGCGAAAAATAAGGCCCACCCTAGGACTAATTGCAAAAAAATTGAAACAATATTTTTTAGAAAGCTAAATAAAAAAATTGTAACATTAAAAATCTAAGAAGTGGAAAATGGTTTTTAAGGCAGTTTTTCCAAGATGGCTGCCATTATATTAAGTCACTATAGCTAAAGGGAGTCTTTATATTTTGGGAGTATTTTTGCTGGAACAAATGGGGTTAAGACCTTGAAATATATCCAGACTTAGAGACAAAGAACTTTTTATTGAAAAGAAAAGCTTATTCAATAGGAATTATTCACCAATGGCTTGGGGTCAAAGGTCATTTGTACAGATTTTTACCTGAAATGTTGACTAAAAGTTTGCAATAAATGCTTTTAAAGATTGGTTATTGACATTTTTGGTGTTAATTACAATTATCACATCACTCACAACGATTCTCTGAAGTTTGGCTGAAAAATATGTATTTTTAGGAGAAATATAAGACAAATTGTGAAAAATCATATGAATGAAAATTATGTATAAGTGGATAGGGTAAGTATTAAATATTGACTTCTTTTCATTTAATAGGATTTGTTCACCAAGGGTCACTGGCTTGGGTCAAAGGTCAGGAAACGGCCATTTGAACTTTTAAAGAAAGGCAATTGATTTTTTTTTTTTTTTTTTTTTTTGGTGTTACCTATAATCATTATATCATTCACAACAACTCTATGAGGTTTAGCTGCAAAATATGGCTCTTTAGGCGAAATCTGAGTCCAAGTGTGAAAATCAGACAGATAAGGATTCTGAGTAAGTGGACAGGATAGGCCTTCTTTTCATTCTGGGAACAAATATTTATATGCTAATATCATAAATGTGTAATATATGGAAAACACTTGTTATTTTGTATTATTTATTATATCCATCTATGCACCTGTTCAAAGCATTTTCCAATATGGCCATCAGCAAGAGTATTTATAAATTTAAAAAAATTCCAAACAGTGTCTCCAGTAACTAGAAAAGCACTCTGAGAGCTCAGACCTCCGCCAAGGCAGGGATTTTTTATTATTATTGATTATTGATTGATTATTGATCCAGATCACCACCAAAAACTAATCACTTCTAAGATGACCCATTTCCGACCTACCCTGAAAATTTCATCAAAATCGGTCCATAACTTTTTGAGTTATGTTGATGATAAACAAACAAACAGGGGTGAAAACAGGGGCAGACAAACAGGGGTGAAAACATAACCTCCTTGGCGGAGGTAAATATTCAACTGTATATTACCCCCTTTTTCTGAATAATGTTGATGAATAAATAATGGAGCTATTTATAATGTGGTAAATGTATTTATGTAGTCCTTGAAAAGTAATCAAAACCAAAACACCTGTTGGAATCATTTGCCATTTGTTGATACTGCAAATCCCGAATTCAGCTTCGAAAGTTTACTTTTAGCTAAAACAATATCAAAACAAATATGGTCGCTGTTGACCTAGCCTCGGTTACCAAATTGCTCTTTTTTTTTCTTTTTTTTTTTTTTTTTTTTTTTTTTTTGAGCATTGGATATGTATGTGCTGATTGATCTACCTTCATATCATAACAAAATAATAGCACTTTGTTCATATACAACTAGAATGAAATAAAAGCAAGCATGTCCCTAATGATTTCTAAAATATTTAACTTGCAATATCTCAGGCTTTGTATTTATAGAAAATGTGTGACTTATTACCAAGGTGTTTGCACCGCATTTTCTACAATTGAAGAGAAATATTAAATAAGTAACAATATTTTTGAATTCATACAAAATCTTGGTAATTGAATCAAAAATGGAACCTGAGATTTACGGCATGATTGAAATATAACCTAATTTAGATGTTACCTAACCTCCTTAACAAAAAAAAGTATTGCACTTTATCTACACGAGCATATTTCTTTAAATACAGTGATGGCGTGGGTTAAAATTCTTCTGATACTCTCTGAATACCATTTCATTAAAATATTGTTGAAAGTTTCCCTGTTTTGCATATTTCTGCATTTCTCGTTTTGGAATTGTACCCTTTTTCGTGGAATGGCGGAGAAAATTTTAATGCATTTTGATGACAAAGTTCATTATTATTTTGAATTCAGGTAACCAGTTTTCAGATGCTTGTTACCTTGGATACTCCTGTGGCTCGAGAAGAACTTCATTGACCGCCACATCTTTAGGTTGCTTCAAGGCATATATCACTGCTCTCGCAACGTCATCTGCAGTAAGTTTTGCAATCCTTTCAACAAAACTATACAGTCCCTTGCACTGAAAAGAAAATAGGAAGTACGTACATTCGTGTTTTCTTTCAATTGAGAATGCTGTACGCAAAGCGTAGGTTATAGATAAAAAAAATCATATGATTTGTCATTTACAACGAATATAACAGCATTTTATTCAATGAACAATTCAAAAATAAGGAAATGATGGACGTTAGTAACAATTTCAATACAAATTGTTGATTGAAAAGGGAAAAATGCCGCATTATTCACAGTTTAATGATTTTACGTGAAGCCACAGACATTGTCGTAAATCGAGAGAATAGAAAGAGAGAATATCAGCATCAAGATAGAGATCATTTTTACACTATTGTGAAATGAACCTATTCGATTAGATTTAGATATCGCAATATGTCGCAATATACATCTGTATCAGCGGGCGTAAGTTAACCTAAGAGGTTTCACACAGATTTCTATAACCCCATATTATTTTAGAGTTAAACAACACAGTTCTCACCTCATCGTCCATATTGGATAGAGAGACAGCCAGTCCAGGTGTGTCCACTAGCCCCGGCTGGACATTGGTCACCTTGACCCCCTCCTGACACACCTCCTGTCTTAGCGTTCGTGTCATCCCCTCCAAAAAATGCTTCGTTCCAACATACACTGCCGCGCCTATTAAATTCTGAAAGCCCAGAACAATACCCTTCATATTTTGGGTTTTAGTAAAACTTTTACACTTTCATTATCAAGTAACATGTTCATGTCGACTTCATTTTGAAGACCCAGCTTCAGCATTGTTAATAAATTAAAAATTACCAACTCTTGCAGTGGCGGATTTAGAGGGGGGTGTCCTGCCCCCCCCCCCCCCCCCCTTCGGTTTCTAAAAAAAATCACACTGATATTCTCCATTTGAAATTATAATTTTGACTAGCCTATTTATAGTTCGTATCCGTTCCAAATGGTACCATTTGCCCTCCAAAACACCATAATATTTTGGGGTTATTCAGCGGGCCCCGATCCCCGCCACAAGGGGGGCGAGGGTCGGCTTCGTAACCGAGGCCTATCATTTCTGAAAAATGGGACCCCCTTCAAATAATACTGGATCCGCCCCTGTCTTGGACGGTTATCATTTTATAAATATATTACAGAAAAGCACATAGCACTGAAACTTTTTTGGAATTTTCCGCGCCACAGAAAGAGTTTGTCTTCTAACTGAATATATATATATATATATATATATATATCTGCTCGTCCACGATACTGGGTAACAAAATTTGGGCATGAGCATCAAAATTTCAACCTGGCGCCGATCTTGTGAGCACGCTTTCCACTAAGAATATGCATCGTATTTTGCTTTATATTAATAATGTTTGGAAAATGTAACATTAAACACATATGAAAAATAAATCAGGGAAGAATTCACTTAGCTGCACAGAGTTGGGAATCGGCGGTTAAACAACAATGACATGAAATCGTTTTTCGTGAGGTACATGTCAAAAAGTTGGAACCGGATTTAGGTAATTTAATAAAGGGTACCGAATGAGACAGGATTGTGCCGGAAGTGTGACGTCATATGATGTCATGTGGTGTAAGACGTGAAGCTTTAACTGGAAGGTGAACGGGAGTGAAGACGTGGCCTCAGAGAAAAAAGCGGTTGCAATACAGGATCGGACCATAACAGCTGTGATTACACGCTCAGATGACAGGATTTCCTTACACATTGTTGTTTTATGAAAAGCAGAGTGTATTTCAGATATTTTAATCCCGAAATTGAACGATTTGTATAGTTCACGTGTATGGGAGATAATACTTTGTACTAAAACTGAAAACGGAAACGATGGTAATGCACAACAACTCGTATTTCCTACCCATCCAAATTTGCGACGAAAAGCAGTTTTTGTTTTTCTCTAGTGTGTGTGCCGAGAATGATCCCACTGATGACAAAAAAAAAAAAAAAAAAAAAAACATGACAATACTATTTCGAGAGCTTTCTTTTCCATAATGTACAGCTGCAAAACAGACTGGTACGTTCTTGTGCCGGATTTAAGCACTGTTTAAGTTTCATTTTCGGCCAAGAATTAAAAAGCTTAAAATTTAAAAAGTTTAAAATGCACAGCAATGTTTTGAAACACAAAATTGTTTGTTATAATAAGACAAGAGTATTTTGACACACCTTTAAAGATGATAACCCATTGCTGTTACCCAGTACCTTGGACATGCATATATTTTCTTGCTCGTGCTTAATACCTTTCTTGTACAATTTGTAGTTATATTGATGATATGTCCTCTTCTTCTCTCACACATACCACTTATGACCGCTCCGATACAATTAAGGACGCCCTGCGAAGGGATGATAAATTTATGGGCATAATATTGTCCATTTATTTTTATTTGATAGTACTATATATTCCCCCTATGAACGAAGAAATGTAGTGTTAAACTGTAAGGCACAGATGTAAAGCACAAACATTTTTTAAGCTTTTTTTAAATTATAGATATAGAAAATTAATTATATTTTCACCTTGATATTAATGTCCACGATTTCTTCCCAGAGGTCTTCTTTGGCATATTTCATGAAGGTGAGGTGCCACAACGCGGCATTGTTGACAAGAATATCTACCGGACCAAATGTATTCTCTGTCTGCCTTATCATTTCTTTAACCTAAAAGCAGGATCTTTTGAAATACAGTGTAATGATGCCTTCCTAATATTAACCATGTTTTCGTATTATCAGAAGCGTGTTGGGGGCATTGCAAAGAGTTCTGTTTAAAGTTGAGAGAGAGGAACAGACGTGTAAGGTGGTAAAAGCGAAAAAGACCTCACTCGTACCTGAGTTTTATTAGTTACGTCGCATAACACGGCGTTTATATATATATATATATATATATAAGGGAAGAAAATATATATAAATAAAAGGGAGAAAAAACACAGTAGAACCTCAATTCTATTGGTTATGTCGCATTTCACAGCGATCACAACGCCGCCTTCTTTCTCGATTGTTTCTTTTGTCCATGCAATAACAGTTTTTCTCCCCTGGCTACTAGGACAACTTTGACGCCCTCTGCTGCCAACATTTTAGATATTGCCGCACCAATCCCAAATGAGGCTCCTGTTACCACGGCTACCTTGTCAGATAGAGGCTTGTCTTCTGAAAAGTTCATTTAAAAATTTTCAAAGCATGGTTTTATTATATTTGCAAGGTGCTGCTTCCCGAAACTGATCGATGTCAAAGAGTCATTTCTTTAGTCGTCACTGAACACAAGGGAGGTTGGGGTTGGGGGGAGGGGGAGTGGGGACATATCTTGACTTTCTTGGTGACTAATTCGCACATGTAATACGACAAGGTGTTGGTGCCTGTAGATTTCCCGGTGTCACTGTTTACATTTAGTCAGCCGTTAAGTGAGTCTTGAGATTAGTTGGCGAAAATATTCGTCTGCTGTGATCAGCCACGTGGAGTTCCGCCTCCAATGGACACTCACCATCATCAATAGTTTGCTGTACGTTTTCTGTCAGCACTGATGGAAAGCTTACATGGCGAGAGACATTGCGAGTTATCGCCGGCGTTTTTTAAACTCAGTGTGCTGTTTTCACAAAATTTTCACCTGACAAACATTCACACACACACACACACACACACACATGCACACACACACACACACACGACCAACTTTACCTTGTTTGCCGGTTGCAGTTGCCATTGTACAGTAGCTATTGTAGAAGACAATAATAACTTAGTACGGATAGCAGTGACCGAATGGATTGAGTACTGTTCTGGTAGGAAATAAATGCACCCTGGATGCTGCACCGCTGATATTAAAGTATGATGCGTGAGAGCGCTCAGTCTAGACAGTTGTCTTTTATGAGCTGACACGCATTTAGAACAGAAGTACAGTAGGTCAGCATTGTGCATTGTTACGGGAGTTGAAATTCAAGTCGCCTGCGGGAGGGGTTTGTAAAAATGTATAATGCCTTAGATGAAGTTCGGTGCTGATAAATAAGCAGCCAAATGACATTAGACTATGTTAATGTTAGCGTCACGCTTTAGAACCGAGTGATTCTGAATATAGTGGCACATCAGAAAATCCCAACATGGCCAACAAATCTAACATGGAGCAAGTTGTTGGTATCCTAGATTTTAGATTCCAGTTTTGCCAGCTCAATCTTAATCTTATATATAATCCATATCAGCATATCAGACCAGACAAGAAGCAAAGTAGATGACGCGGAGTTTGAAGTTTGAACTAAGAATACCTTATTATTATAATAATAATATGTATTTATTTGCAACTTAAAAAGTTGGATTTTACAATAAAGAACGTGAAGGTCAGTGTCACATCACAAGCAACTTTCTGCTTTAAAAACTGATTTTGGTCTAGCCATTGCGCAGCCCTTATAGTGGTATCGGGCATATAGAGTAGCTGTCAAACTTGGCACACGGCAAGCACGTGTTTTGTGTTTATATCTCCAGGAGCCAATGTTTTTTGATAAGCAAAAAATACAAAAACATATGGTATATCTTTTTGTTTTAAAATATATATTATTTATTTTTTTCAATTTACATCTTATATACAGTAAATAAAATTAAATAAAGCAAAATTAAATCTGTTTTACATTTCATTTTGGACTAATGCCATTCAACTGCAGATTCACTGCAGAGCAGTTCTTTTTGATTGACGGATACGCAGCATTGTCGCTGTTCCTCGGGGCCACTGGTAAGGCTACTCCATGAAAAGTTATGAATAGTTAGCAAGCTAGCTTTCCAGTGCCCTGACACTCAGGGCAGTTGTTGGGGACATTCCAAAATTCACCAGCGATTTTGGTCACTTCACGTAATGTCTTTGTTTGTAGTCTGTAATTCCTTAAATTACTTTGTGTAAAGTCTAAAGAGCTAAAGTAGGCTTGTTCATTAGACCCCAATCTGATTAAGAAGTTAAGTGCAAAAATCCTTTGGTTAGATATTAAAGAGTGGGATTCCCCACAGAGCCTCAGAATGTACCTGAGCAAACGACAAGTAAACTCAAGTTTCACAAAAGCTATTTGTAACGTTTAGAGAGAGAGAGAGAGAGAGAGAGAGGGAGAGAGAGAGGGTTCGGGAAAACGAAGAAAAGTACCTCAGATTTATCGCTTACATCACATTTCACAGAAATTGTATCACATTTTAAAAGCAGCATATTTCCTGGTATTTACTGATGGCAAGTACATCTACATCCACGCAAAGTAAAATGCGATCGGAAACCAAGGCCAAATGTTTGTATTTTGATAATTCATCATTTTTTATATCTGTAGTTCGCACATGCAATTTTATGTAGGTTAATAAACTTAGTTTCTTAAATCTTTAAGTTTTTTCTTTTGTTCTTCTCCTACTTCTTCTGCTTTTTTCCTCGTACAAATAAAACAAGTTACAAAAATAAATAATTAATTAAAAAACATAGATGTACACGTAATTAGAGGAGAAGGAGAAAGAGGAGGCAAACCCCATCCATTGGCGCATTTAGAGGGGTGTCAGGAAGTCCTCCCCCCTCTTCAGTTTTGGAAAAAATAGAATTTTGACTAGCTCAATTGTAGTTCTAAAGCCTACCTAATGGCACTGACGCCACGAGTTCGTATCCCAGATGACGCATGTCAGTCCGTCAAGAATACCACCCGACCCTGGGATCAGGAAGGCGCGATAAACGAACGCAGGCTCCCCTGGGTCCGGGCAAATTACCTTTTGCATATAAAAACGGACTAGTTTGAACAAGTGCTCCATTTGACAACTAATTGCTGGTTATTATCATAAAATCTGCTACGCCACAGATCAAACCAGGGATGTCGCATGCACGTCATACTGCCCTTTCATCAAAAAGTTCTATATTTTCTGTGGAGTTATCAGCAAGAAGTTTTATTTATTTATTTATTTATTTATTTATTTATTTTTACGAAAGTCACGTCGCCGCTATTGCTTTACCCAATATAATATTCGGGTTTTTTATGCCCGCTCCCCCTTCTTGCATTTGGGCACCTGATTATCAAGACTGCTCGTACCCGGGGCAACTCCAAAGTCGACATTAGAAATGACAAAGACTACTCAAAAATAAACCGCCAAGGTGTGAACCGTTTTGGCTCTTGGTGCTCTGTAATATCACAGGTGAAGTCTGAGATTACCTCAGTGTAAAACAAAATGAAAATAAAATCATCTGAAGTCATCTGACTAGGACCGTTCCTTGCAGGTTTATTAATAAAAGCGACCAAACTTGTGTTGATTCATTAGCTTTCCACCACGTCATACCACCTGTAAAACGCGTTCACGTACACCGTGTCTTCTCTGCGGAATTATTTGTCAAATATGTTTTTCTCAAAATTCGCTTCGTCACAATTGCGTGAATGGAAAGCGCAACAACTTTTACCCATTTGAACGTTTTCCTATGATTTCCTCTTCTTAGGGTTTTGCTTAAACCAAAACCACCCCGATGTGGACTGCATTTGATTCCATTGTGCTCTTTAATGTCATTGGTGAAACCAAACTAAATCTCAGCATAAAACAAAGACACAGTAAAAAAGTAATTTATCTGGGAAAGCTCCTAGTCGACCTCTCATACAAGGCCTCCTTTACATCATGTATTCAACGTTGACGATGTTCGGGGACTGGCGTTGCGAGAGAGATATAAAACATTTGTATGTCGTTACGTAAGGTAGAAAGATTCTGTTTGGTCTGGAGCCTATCAAAGAAGCCTTTGTCACTTTGTGGCTCCGTGATAACTCCGCTGGTTTGGACACAGCTAGACACTTTTTCGCGGGTTCAAATTCCATAATGTTCGGTGTAGCTTTTCTTGCTAGGAATAATTTCTAAAATTTGCGTCTGATTACTGTAAGAGGAAACTCGTGCGCAGGGAAGGTGGGCGGCTAAGTCACGGCGCAGTCGGTAGCGTGCATACCTTCAGAGACATCATCAATGGCAACGGAAAGTCACGAGTTCGAATCCCAGATGACGCATGTCATTCCGTCACGTATACCACCTGTCCACGGAAACAGGAAGGTGCGAAAATCGAATGCAGGCTCTCCTGGGTCCGGGCAAATAACCATTTGCATATAATACCGTGGCCGAGAATGTCACTGATCTCTACCTTTTTCCAGCTACACCACAAATCAAACTTGACTTGAATCAATACCTAACCGGCATGGCGCCATGCACGTCATACTGCCCTTTAATCTAAAAAATCTATCAGCAAGAAGTGTTTTTATTTATTTATTTTTACGAAAGTCACGTCGCCGTTATTGCTTTACTCAAAAATTGATTTAATTTCACAGAGATTAAGATAGATTCAGAAATTGTTAAAAACGTGAGTCATACTAATAATGGTGGTCAGCTTCCAAAAGTTTCTAAAACGCGGGATGAAGGCTCAAGTTAAGCGTCTCTTTCACAAAGAGGATAATCTCTGCTGGCGGAGCAGTAACTTCTGCAGTAGGCCCACTGGTAGCTTTTGGACGGGTAGTACGGCCCGGTCATGACCAGATAGTCCGCGTAACTGGGCTGTCCTTGCGACCAGTTGGTGTAGCCGTCCAGTACTGTCTTTCCGCTATGTGTCCACACTCTGTCTCTGCCGATACGCCGGGCACCCAACCAGATGTACTTGTCAGAGCTGGAGCCTGTTAATATACAGAGAAATCGATGTTATCTGGGGCTGGTTTCACAAAGTAACCTTTGCCGGAATCAGTGTTGTATTGCTAACAAGCAAAGCACTCGGAAAACGCAGTTCTCCGCCAAGAAAATTTAATTTAAAAAATGGCGCATGCGTTACAGAACGGGGGGCAAACGAAAAGTGCGGAAAATTGAATAAAAATCCCCCACTTATACCTTTATGAGTTTGGCTGTTGACAAATAACTACAATTTAAACAAACAGGCAAGCAGAGGTGAAAACATAAAATACTCTTGGCAGTATCTGTAATGTTTTAAATGAGAAAATATATTGTAATCTTATGCTGTAACTGTTTCGGCCACCTTGTTACCTTTTTTTTTTTCAATAGAAAAGTTTGAAGGTGAAATTCATGTCGCACTTACCGGTTCGTTTCAGAAGTCCTTCGATGAACTTCTGCTCTGCCTCGGTGTCTATTTCCGCTAGGTAGCCTCCATTTCGTTGGCAGAACTGCTCTGCCTCTGGCCAGGTCATGGAGACACTGTTGTCATACAAATAACAACTAGAACCGAATTTCTCAGTGCATGGGAAGTCACGAGGTGCTGACATGGAATTTACATACAAATTACACACAAATATTATCAATGATTATATTAGCAATATATCAGTTTGGAATTATTCTAAGGTAAATTGTTTATTGATTTGTAATTGATTTTTACCTAATTCAAATAATTACGAAACTCCACGAATGCTGAAGGTGTGGGTAATTAAATTGGATAGCACTGCATCTTCTTAACGACTTCTATACTTTGCGGCACCATGAAAACGTATTTTAGGAACAGAAGTAATAACTTACCGGGGGTTGTTGTGCTGGGTTTCTGTGTTGTTGGTCTGCATTGCTCGTAAAGCTACAAAGATATCATAAGGGTGGCAGATTAATATAACCAGTATCTTATGATCATGGTAATACCAATCTTAGCGCCTGACATACCTGTGACACCGTTTGGATTGGGGATCAGTTTTAAATATGGCACTCGAATAGAAAGTAATTAATTGGGTCAAAAACTAGGACGAGTCTTACCTGCACCAGCACATTTAAAGGGAAGCAGAAGTCTCTCTGAGTTACTTTAACCTCATATCTGCACTATGTCAAGGAAATGAGGGATCCTGTAACAGATCCATACAGGTTTGGGTTAAACCCGTCTTGTGGATAGGTCAAAATCTAGGACGGGAGGGGTCAAAATCTAGGACAAGTTCGACCTATACAAAGTGATGGGCACTGGATGTTATATCATTGTCAACTGTCTGGCAAGTGGCACCGGGGTGCTCCTACATATGTGATGAGCGTGCTTGCATCGGTGTTGCATGCCGGTAGCCTATATCATTTTATATCACACCGTGTAGTGTTCACAAATATAATTCCCAGACATGTAAATTAATTTGATTAGAGTCGATTGCTTGTGCACTCGACTAGTTTATGACTTTACCTGTAATTATGTAACTGAAGTGGACGTGTGCAATTTGAATAATTAAAATTAGTATGTACCGCCAAATAATGCAGCACAGAATCCACCACTGATAAGAAATATTGTAGAAAAGACGTTCAGAATTAATATCGGGGGTTCAGAAGGAAGAACACTCGAAGGAGACCGCTCGACGGAGCCATGGGAGACGGCCTAGAGCTTGGAGATTTCATGTAGATGATGTACTTAGACAGAGTCAACCAATAAACCATTAAACTGGTCATTATGTGGACTTGGGTTTTCTTTGGGCGACCTTACGTAAATCTGACCCGAACTGTGGAATCTTTGGATCGCGTTATCCACTAAGTTAGACGAAAACGTAATGTCCTATTTCGAGCCCACGCTTGAATTAAGCGTTCAAAATTATATAAGTTTAGGACATTCATCTCATATGTATATGAAAAGGTACATAACAACCTGGTGCATTCTGTTTGAAGAAACAAATATCTGTTACAAGTTTAAAATGTGTCTCTCGATGTAGTTTCATTCCATTTCAAGTGCAATTCATGCAAGTGTAGTTCATGTTAATAGATTTTGCTTAAAAAAGTCCGAAATGATAAATATTGCAGACCGTTTACCCCACAATAAATGTGCCAATTTTTCAAAAGTGGTCAGTGAAAAGCTAAATTTACTCTTTGTCCTTGAGGAACAATTTTTGCCTTCCTTCCAATAGGAAGGCCTTTAATGCCTGTAATGAGGCTAATTTGACATTAGACTGTTTGAAGGGACTGGCTTGTCCGCTGAGCAGTACTCACTGGGGACTTAACGCTCTCCTTGCTCTGTTATGATAGTAACAGTCAAGGTCACAAGAAAAGATGCGTCGACTTGACTGCTCCTATTGGCATGCCAACTTACAGGTCCGGAGCCAGCAGTTTCAAAAAGGGGGTTCTTTTTCCCAACAAGTGGACCTTTTATAATGAAACTATGCTGCACCTAGATCAAATTTTACCTGGAATGGACCTTTTCCTGACAAAAAGGGCGGTTCTTTCGAACC